CGCCTGCACCCAAGAATTTCGCGTGCACCTTCTGCGACAAGGCGCTCAAATCGAAGCCGTACTGGAAATCGCACGAGGAGGAGTTCCACGAGCAAAGACTTACTTGGAGATGCCCAGACTGCGAGCAAATCTTCCACGCTGGAAAGCGTTTCCGCGAGCACCATACCAAGCTTCATGTACGTCAACTGAGTAATCATGTCCGCGACCTATCACTAATATCCAAAACAGGGCTGTGAGCACTGCAAGCAACCAAGGGAGAGTGGTCAACCAACGAGCAGGAAAGCATCTCCATGTGTGAAGAAGTACGAAATCGTCATGCATGACAAGGACGCCTGGGGATGTGGATTCTGCGCCTCTCTTCTGACTACTTGGGAAGAGCGCTGCGAGCATATCGCACTCCATTTCGAAGAGAAGGGATCGTCAAAATGGAACTTTACTAATGTTGTTCTCGGCTTGCTTAAGCAGCCAGAGGTGTCTAGCGCCTGGAACCAGATGATGACGGATCGGTATGGAGAAGAACAGAACTGGCCGTCGCTGGCATGGGAGTCGAAAAAGTGCAACCGTTTACGATACAAGCTCGAAACGAAATGGGACACGCGCGTTTTCGACATTGAAAAGTTGGTGCAGGACACCTTCGACTTGGCAGAGATCGAGGCCAAAGACGTTGAATCAGCAAGCGAAGCTACTCCTGATGTTTCCGAGTCGAACGATGCTAGCCAGGGCGAAATGGTGGAATTCAAACTGGAGGCTTCTGACTTGGCGCCTGACTTTGGAACTGACAACAGGCTCCAGAGCTCACACGGTCTTCCGCAGGAGCAGATAATGATGGACATTGACCCAGTAGAGCCTCCGCAGACGATGCAGCAGCAAGAGATGGCCCAGTCGCAATGGCCTGTTAGCACAGACATGTCTCACGGCGGTATGAGCGCCGCAACCGGCATGGATGGGTTCAACGCGTTCGACACCAGCATGACATCGATGTCAACAGATTTTTCTCAACCAATGGCCCAAAATTTCCAGCCACAACCACAAGGCTGGCCAAATGCAGGCTTTTCATCGACACCTGACCTCCTCAACTACCAACAACAAACGTCGTACATGGACTTTCAACAGGCCAAGGAGATTGTTTCTGTACCGACCTCTCAGTACGCCAACTTTGCGCACTACCCACGGCAAAGCCTTCCGCCAAACTTTCTTCAACAGCAGCAACAACAGCAGTCTCAAGCCCCTAGTACGCCAACATCGCGCCGTTACGTCCCAAGGTTGATCAACATATCGAACAACTCGAGCCACCGCGGTATCCAGATGGACCAGCCACCTCCACCCCCACCGAAAGACGAGCACCAAAATCGATTCTCAAGGCTAATTATGAGGCGGCGTCCCAGCAACATTTCGCAACATAGCCTGGCATCTCACCGTGAAATGGGCGGTACATGGGGCGACGAGCTAAACTGGGGTTAAACCTTGGAAACCATCCAATAATCAATATTCCAAGACATATCTCATCAAACTTGTCAGACCGGCTGGTCCGGCACTGGCACACCCACCCTCCTTTAAACAACAAAAACCTTGCAAAAAAAAAACACATACATCACCGCAAACAAGGTGACTCCGAACCTCGCTCCGATATCATCGAAGCGAGCTACACGTCACCTCAACGGCGCCAACCCCCCCGACCCTGCATCTCTGCAGCCTTTTCTCCTTACGTACACAACAGTCACACGCACGTCTCCTTTTTTTATTCATTCGACCAAGCAGGATAGGATTCTGATGGGGTCAGAGGACAGTGAAGGAAGGAGAAGAGGAATATACCCATTTATGCAGCGTCTTCTTTTTGAATTTTTTCATCTTTTTTTTAACCCCAGTTCCTGATTTTTCTTTGGTCCATTTATTATTTTACGTAGCAGCGGTTCTCTTTTTTACTTTTTTTTTGAAAGCTTGCCAGTTGCTTTCACACAGCACATAGCTCAATACTTCACTTAATACCCCCTTTACTTTCCTCCCCTCTCCTCACTCACATACTCACACATTCACACTTTTTTCTCCTACTTCCCTTTGTTATTTCCTCTCACGCAATGCGATTGATGTAATGAACGTGTGGTACTTGTTTCGGGAATCTAGATGCGGGGACTTGGGTAAACTCTGGGGGTTAAATTTCAGACTAGGGTCAGATACCATATAGAAAGATTTTTTTGGAATTTTTCTAACACCTTGGGCCCAAAATAGCCCTTCCCGTGCTCCAACATACTATCACTACTTCTACCCACACCGTTTTGGGCCCCACAAACCAGGCAGACAAGCACCACATTATCACGTGAGACATTACACGAAAGAGGAACGTGGGGTCCCAAGTCCCTCCCAAATTAAAATCACTTGCTATTTCCAACTCGGTAGTATGTGGAGGCGCGCCCACCCGCTCATACTACCCGGTACGTATTCCGAAACGAGTCTCCTCATCTCTCCGTCGTCTTTCTTAGCGCCACCCTTCTCTCAGCCCTTTTCCCATGCGCCCCTCCCACCTCTCACCCCAGGCGGCATTACTTTTACAGTCTCACCGTCTTACCAAGCAATCAGTCATCATTAATCGTTTCTGCCCCCTCCCTTCCCCCTCCCTTCCCCCTCCCCGCTCTCTCCCAAATCAAATAACTTGATTCGAACAAAACATACTACAACACGCGTTACAAATGGCTGCACCAACCCATGTCACCCTTTTTTTTCTTTGAATCCCCCTCCCCCCCGGTCCCCTTCTTTTCACTTTTTCACTTTAGAAGCGATCCGAGAGGGTGGAAGGGAAAGGGGGGGGGGGGGGGGTTGCACAGCCACACTCGCGTTTAAACGCCAAAGAAAAGAGTAATAAGTAAGACTTAAAGTATATGTATGTTGCTCTTGTCACTCCCAAGCTCGTTCTTTTTCTTTCCTGCGCAAAGTAATGCCTTAGAAGGACCGAGAAGGGGAGGGGGCGTTGAGGCGAAGTCTTTTGGGGGGGTTGCGTGAGCCTGACCCGAATAACACACAGACCCCTGGGTTAATCTGTGATGGCGGATTAGTGAATGGCGGCGTCATAGGCTTACGCAAGAGTCAATAAAGTTAGAAAGATGATAGGTGGGTTTGTTTGGTGGTGAGAGTTTGGGAGTGGCAATTTTGGCTGCGAGTGGTTTTTTTGGGGGAGGGGGTTTGGGTTTTTGGGTTAGCTGGGGTTTAGATTGGTTGGGGAAGTGAGTTTTTTTTGGCGTTGTCATTTTTTAGTGTTGGTGTGATGGCTTCTTTTTTGTGAGTTTGAAATACAGTTTTGTGTGTCCAAGTATATGCGTTCTCCCCTCTTTCTCACTGCACCTGGTCTCGTATCGAGATATGCTTTTTCTTCTATCGTTTCTAAGTTCTTTCATCTCGATCAGGGCAAGTCTATTTTAGCTGTTGGGTTGCTAACGTGTATTCTTTGTTTTCCCGTTTTGTTTCAGAGTAGTACTAAATACCTAGTGCTAGTGTGGCAAGATGGGATTGAAACGTACGCTACTTACGCGCAAACCCCCTCGCTGGAACACCAAAAGTGTATTCCTTCCTTTGGCCGTTTTTGTTTTTTTCGTCTGGTGTACATTCTGTCTTGCATCGTGTCGCGCGATCGGCGATGTGTACGCGATGTGCTATGTCTCGACCGCGTAACATGTTCATTTGCAGCGGTCCCTTGTCCCTTACCCTCAGGACACCCGAAGATTCTCGGCCTTGGTGCGGCCTTCCAATCATGGTCTTCCGTGGCTCTATCTGGAGTTTCCTGTCTTTAATCGGTCATGCGGCCTAGAGAAGATGTGTAACTCGTCAATAACTGGGCATTGTACACGTGTGCACCCTGGTTCATTCAATAACCGAGATGAGCAGTTCCACATTCGCGGATGTCCGGTCAGCCGCTCAGGCTCTTAATATCTTTCCGTACTAACATCTGAACTAATACACATCATTTGTGTACTCGGAGAAGAGACCGCCGCGTTCATAGGCGATGCGGGGCTTCATGACGCATTGCTCCTTGTTGTTGCCGTGCGTTGTCTTCGTCTCTCCCCCGTTTCACCTTATGACCTCCAAGTAAGACGTGCACTGAATCAAGGCCTTGGTAACCCGGAGCAAACCTTTATACGTGAATAGTGGCTTCATGGCTGAGTCATCTTTCACATGGAAAAAAGGTGTAATAGAAAAATCTTCCCGGAGATGACTTCGTTAGGCTAGACTGTAGAGCCAATGACATTATGCACTAAATATCGAAGATGTCCGCAGCGTTGATAAAACCGAGAGCATTAAGAAGATCTGGCTGGGGCAGGTGTTGCTTACAGCTCCATCGCGGGGTATCAAGTATCTTGGACAATTCTCAAGCCGGAATTTGAGATGTTCGGGCTCAGTGCCGAAATGATCAGGAGTTTCCGATATGCTGCTCTCGAGCCTCTGAATGACAAGAAGCTTCTTTTCTTCATACGAGACAAAGGACTTATCTATCCGATTGGTAGATCTCATCTGAAACGCTTTGTGAAGGGCGCCTATAGAGAATTTCTATGTCAACAATCATTGATGGGATTTCATCATTCCCTTGCCGTGGTACACTGATGCTAGGGGCTTGACTAGAAGAAGCACTCTGCAGAGAGTGTGGTTCGATTTTGCTCAGCAGTGTTGGCGATGTGAAATGACGGGGTAATGCTCAATAATTTTATACCGAGAATTGGCATATGAAAAGAGTAAGAGTGCGCAATACACTTTGATCGCTAATCCCTAGAGTTCACTATAGTGATGTATCGAAGCAACGAGGAAATGAATCTGTGAAGTGCAGAGATGGCGGTATGAAGCATGAATAGATTTATCTGAAGAGGGCTATCGTAAAATGGCATACTTGCTGCTTTTCTCAGACCTATATTTCCACTCTTTGTGCGAACTTGAGCTCAGTAAAGTCTTGTTCACAGTGATAGTAGAAGCACTAGCATATCGGCGAACTGAGAAACACCAATATTTTGAACCTTTTGATTAATTATGATGATTTATTGAACCTAGTGACGCTTACGACAGCTATCATGTCGAGTCACTAGACACTGCATAAAAGGATATGGATCGCCACGTGTCGACCAACTTTATCTTGTACAGTCAGGTGGTTTTTGTGCTGTCATTGGAGAAAACAACTCCAATCGAGATCTCGATCCGAGGTTTGCCAGGAATGGAAATGATTCAAGCAAATATGGTCTCTCTTGGAAGCCAGTAATGCGCACTCCAGAGCCTGGGAAAGGCTGCTTTGATTAACTCCACCCTGTATATCACGCTGGCTTCATTTTAGGGTACTCATATCCTACTCGTAATGCATGTGGAGGCGTGCGTTCAAGGAATGTAACTTATAGTCTTGCATTCAGAGAGTTCGTCGTAATCGGGCAACATATCTTGAATCTCATGCTCTCTGCCAAGCATGTATGCAAGATACAGACATGTTGTCACAAAGCGCAGGCAGAACCATATCCTAAATGAGCACCACGTCAGCTGAAACCTCTTCAGATAAGTCTTTGATGCAACAAAAGACTCTTGATCCGACTCACACAGCAAATACCGTCACGCTGTATGACACCCTCATGATTTCACATCCACCCCGTATCCGCGCCCACGCATCCTCACACCCCCGTTCCAGATACCACGGCCTCAGACTGATGTGCTTAGGATCCGAGAAGTCCCCTGAGTTTTGAAATGCTGCACTAGATGCATAGAGCCCGACAAGAAGTATGTCATACATCGCATTCGTCATGATATTCGCATGAAGGTCGAGAGCGTATCCACTGAGGAAGTTGACTTGAAAGCGCACGATCCATACAAACAGCGTTATGACAGCGATGACCAGGTGAAACACTGTAGAGCTGCTTGCCATGTCAGCCTCCAGTAGATACACATACTGTATATGAGGCCAGTGACGTGAGACTTACCTTTAATCCCAAATCAAGGGTATGGGAGGCGACTCGCGGTAGTTTGCATAGTTGTACACACGCTGCTGGGGATCCGGGTTCCAAGCTTCAGAGCCACCGTTTTGCCATAGGGCGGTACGGAATAGATCGGGGTATGCGGACGCGAAGAGCGAGATAAGTGTGATAGCCAGGACAACGTCCATTAGCATGCCATAGAGGAAGAGTAGGGGCGATATACGGAGCATGGTGACGATGTAGTATGATGGAACTGGGCAAAGGGCCACTATAGACAGATCGACACCTTAATGTGAGCAGAGTGCTCTTAAGCTGCTTGGATAAAAGTACTTGCGTAGTGCGATGGTGCTGCACGTAGCCCATGGGGAAGGGGGCGGGGGTGCACTAGAGAGTATGCGGGTAAAAAAAAAGAGATATGCTGATAACAGTGAAGTGTAAGCTTAAACTCTCTCACACAATGCTGTTGTTGAGGTGTGTAGAAAGTGTGGATATCACAAGGATGGCCTAGCGTGCCTGCCTCTGGTAGGCACGATAATTAGTAAACGCGAGGGTGTGGGTTCTAAAGTTGCGCAAATGCTCTCATCTGAGGACTTGAAGTGGTAACACGCTCTTCTTGGGAGCACCAAAAGGCACAAATACTTTTTGTTTCTGACAATAAGGAGCAGTGCATCAATATGAGTGCATTCGTATTATGAAGGTTGGGGGGTCGGTAGCACTGGGCATGGTCAAACACGTGACAATCTAAGGCACTTGGAAGAAATGTAGCGTGAAGGAGCAAATGAGTAATGTATGTTGGTTTAAACATTGATTAGATTTTAGTGTATGCCGATCAATAGCTGGTATCGGTGGGTGCATGCTTGAATGAACAAGCGAAAGCACAGAAAGTACATGTCGGTGTGTCCCAACTTCTAGGCCCGTCGATCGCGACTGTTGGTGGGGAATAATGTATGTCGTTGCCGTTTAGTGTCTAGTCTCGCGTAAAATGCATCGTTCCCGAGCCTAAGGATTGCTCCTTGATTTCTTCTTTCGTCCCCCCGAGCACAGCAGGGGGTTGGCTTGACGCTCTTCTTTTTTATATCACTGTCATGCAAATCCGTCTTTCTTCTGAGCGCTTCTGCATGCCATCTGCTCCTTCGAGATTACGACTTCTTTTTGGGATCATCCACGGCGCTCTGTCGGCGTGAATCTTCTGATACTTTCTGGTCCGGACTCTTTAAGAAATACCACGCTGCAAATCCGGCGAAAAAGACCATGTTGACTTGATATGTGTAACGGAGGAGGGTGGTGATGTGAGCGTTCGGTCTGGGCGCCATGGCGTGTGCTTGTCGGGTTCGGTGGGTAGTTGTGTGAAGAGGTGTTGATCAAGAGGGATGGTTGATGTGGATGGTTAAGTTCGGCAGTGACGTCATCCACATGCGTTGGTAACGGGAAGATCCGACCGCAGCTGCCGTCGCTGCTGTTGGCACTTGCGGACAATTAGGTTGGCATTCTGCATCCAGTAGCAACACACTCCAGAAACATCTATTCTTTTTCTCAACACCGAAAGGCATCAGGCTCGGGTTTGTATAATCTTGATATAATTATCACTCTAAAATCACAGCCGGTCGAGATTGTACTCTTTGGTGATTTTGATCTCGTTCGCGCCTAGAGATCCGGTCCGCTCAAGGGTATCCGAATCGCTAGTCAGGGTGACGAATGCAGCGGCTTGTGGTTTCGAGGCATGCGGCATCCATTGCGAAGGTTCATTCAAATTCGATGTAGAAGAACCACTGCTCGTCGTCCGGAACTTCAGTCGTCGGAGACCGTGACTTTCATTGGACGCGATTGGAGAAGCCCTACGCCAGGATGGCAACGAACGAACATTAGGAACACAGCAACAGACAATTCCGACAGCAACTTCAATAGGCGAGAAGCAGACGCGCCACCAAGACGCACCAATGGGATCTTCGTCCACATCGCCGAATACGTTGATTGCGCAATCGATGCGCAGGACGGCTAGGATTGTACAGCTGTACACTGTCAATAACTCGTGCACTAGACTGTTGTGCGCTTTGACTTACAAGCATCCGAGGAGGAACAAAATCATGACGGACCACCTCTTCTTGGCCGACAACTCGGCTGCCAATATCGCCGGTACTGGGGCAAACAGGATGACGCTGTTGAAGAAGACATGTAGTGATCCGATGATGATACAGGATTTTTTGCTCTGCAGCTCACACTTTCCAGGTGGGTGGCACATGCTGATCCAGCCGGCAAGCGACCATATGTACCAGATGGAGATCAGCCCTATGGAACACCAGCAAGCGGTCTGGGCAATGCGTTTTTTCTCGTACAGGCGGAGATAGGCCTTGGCGAAAGCGATTTGAACAGTGGCAATGGATGTGGCCCAGCAGATGTCGAGTGCGAATTGTAACTTGAATGCGAGTTAGCGATGAGTTGGCTGCAATGGCTGGCTTCAGACGTACTCGTAGCCAGAAACGATGTACGACGTCGAAGTCCTTTGTCGGGTCCGCCTTGATCTGATCACTTGTCAAGCCCTCGCCACCTAGGAAGACCAAAACGTAAACTATGGTAACTACGACGGAGCTCATAGCCTTTGGAGTGTCAGCCTGATTCAACATGAACCAAGTATTCAGCCTTACCAGAGCAGCCAGCATGAGGATATCCTCGGTCAGCGTGTTGATCCTTCTCACGCTCCTGGTATACCATCTCGCGGCGACAGCGGCCGAGGCTACGACAAGGCAGAGGAGAGGTGCAATAAGCAAAGCCAGTTGCTTTCCATTGATGATGTCAAAGCGATTGTCAGTGATTGAGCCCGCCATGATGACTACAAGGCAGCTTCTGTCCTCACAGCATAACGAGCGTTTTTCTGCGGAATCGTCGCGAAGGGGTTCAGTTGCAGCTGGAGCCGGGGGTATAGTTATAGGCCCCCCACTGCGCGAGCGGCTTACGCAGACAAAAGCCAAATAGGGTGGCTTCCAGTGCCATGGTCCGGGCCAGGGCAGTGTCATGCACCATGCCCGTTGAGTTTACCTTCAACGCCTATCTGGCCGCACTCAGGGTGCTCTGACCCTGCTGGCCATGCGACATGGGGCTGTCGCTGGACGGGCTTTTCGGATGCGAACAAGGTTAGCGTGAGGATGCACGGCGCTGATTTGTTGTACAGCATGCGGGCCGACGCGGTACACGGCTAACTACGCCGCATGCCTGTCAGCCAAGCTTTGCAGCAGCCAGTGAAAAGACAAAACGCCCCTGGCACCAACTCGTATCTCCGCTTCTGGGGGGTGTGCCGGCGCTGACGGACGAGGATCCACCTGAACATGCGCACTAGAATGACAAAAGAAATGCCAGCCTTGTGCTCTTCCGTGGGACTGGGCCGGGCCTCGAGCCCTCTGGTCGTTTCACCACCACGCCTGATGACAGACAACCGACACGTCCGCTACCAGGAACCTCTCCTCGTGTCTATACACATAGCACACCACCCAGACAGACGGCTGTATGTGTGCATCATGGTTGCGGAGCTGCCGGAAACACCGGGCCTCTGCCCTCAGGCTAGCAGTCGTTCTCCTATCCACCATGCCGCCCCAGGCCCAACACCGAGCGCTGAAACAAGCCATGGTGTAGGCCGCCTTCCGATTCGGGCACAATGAACATGGGTTCCCAACTGCAAGCGAAGTGGCGCCTCTCACATACAGCCCAGAACGCGGCCTCGAGTCAGGCTTGACCACACAGCTCTTTTCTTTTCAAGCCCCTCATCTCTGCAACACGGCACAAGTGAGGCCCTCTCGTACCTCCTCGCTGCTCTTCCAATAGGACTCCACCACATTACTCCATACACACGTGGCAAGCACGTTCTGACGCTCATCCTTCAACCTCGAGATCGCCCGTAACCTGGCAAATCTCCGACGTTATACCGTCTGCACCGAGCAGTTTCACCGAAGATGCCCTCCTGAACCACTCTCTTCCCGGGGTACATAGGGCCAGCCTTGCCATGCCTTGCTATTGACTGCCTGTTCCTTCCCCGTCTTTTGAACATGTGCTTCGCTGTGTTTACATACATACATACATGCATGATGCGTACATGCAGCCCCATGACGTTACACAAATGCCTCGGGGCCTCGTGTCCTTAACATCAACACCCTCAGGTTGATAGTCTTTGACCGGTTACTCTTCGCTTACAATCTCGCACCACGGCCTTACCAGCTCGCTCACTTTATTTTTTTCCTATTTCCCGTAGATTTGCGTCATTCAAAAGTCTGTCCCCGACCACATCCTGGCCTTATTCGAGGCAGGGAAGTAGTCTCAAACGTGAGTCTCTCACAAAAGGGCCTTTGTCCGTTGATCTGCACCCTATGATTGGCTTTGTTTGGTCGGGGGCTCACGTCTCTACCGATAGCCACTGTTTGCAACCATGTCCATAAGTCGATCCGCATTTTGAGCCTAGGAGGCCGAGAGTCAGATACGGGTGGCGTGAGAATATACTTTTGATAGCCTCTCTCCCCCACCACCAAAGTTTGGCCGCGCTGAATTGGCTGTCAACGCAGGTCCCAGAACTGAATCGATAACCGCAAACCGATGTATGTGCAATGACGAATTTCATCCGCTTCAAAACTGCAGTGATCGACTTTGCTCGTCATTCCTAGTGGAGTAATGTACTCAGGCGGGGCAGGGGGCGCGCGGACCGCCCGCCTCGAGGCCCAAGGAAACTAGGAAACCGTCACTCCGTACAAGAGTTCGTATAGGTCATTTTCGGTAGGAACTATTTCGGCGCAGCTGATGCTGTGACTAGAGGTGGGTTGGTCAAAACAATTTTATTTGTGTAATCACATGGTGAAGGTGACCATCAACCCAGTCCTCAGGAGCGCACGGCTCGGTAGCATGGCACCCACGTCGTGATACAACCCTGCAAAGGCATCATGCGAGAGCCATGTGTGTGCATCTGATGTTACACTGAATGTCACTCTAGCTTACAACCACTTTTTCCGACAATTCTTACTCTGGTGCAGATACCTGTGGGAACATTGCTGCTGAACAGTCAAAATGAAAGGCATTCTCGCCACGGACTACACTATGCGAGCTATCCAGACAGCTATACGAGGGGGATTATAGTGTAGCAAGTCTGCGCATGGGTTGTGAGTCGACTCCTTGCCTTCATGGGAAGATGTATCGCAGTGACATTCTTTAAGTCCAGTCGTGTATAGCAATGCGATTAGGTTTTCATTCCTTCCCCTATCAATAATACTTACACAAGGCCCCATATTAACTAAACTAGGACATGGTGTATAGAGCTCTGGCAGCTTACAAGGCATAATGAGACGGTGATATTACTAGGAACTTTTCCTTAATAAACCAGCTAATCGGTGCATCGATCACCTCCTGCACCCCGAGACATCCCACGTCGACAAAATTACTCCGTGAGAAAAAAAGGGAAAGACTTCCAGAGGGGCATGACCGCAGATTTTGAGTTGGACGACACGGTCTATTGTTATTACATTTCATCTATATCTCGAAGATCTTCGGGCCGCCAGAGAGCTTGATAGTGTCGAAGAAGGGTCTTTGTCGGCGACATTTGCTGACCTGCGAACGTACTTCCTCAAGTCTTCTGGACTGCTCAAAGCGTCAGGCGATAAAACTTCAGGTGTGCATCAAGACACACATGATCTGGAAAATTATGGGTATGTTTATCTAAAATCTCCAATAGCGTTATTGGCTTAGCAGCACTGTGTGGGGGTAGGCAGTATCGAGCCCCTCCCAACTAGTATCTGCGGTCCGAGTTGCCTCGGCAGCTTCTGTTATCTCTTCTACACCCAGTCCTCCTTTGCTACTCATAGTTTTCTACATCTAGAGCGACAGCCATAAAGAGCATCCCATAAGGAAACCCAACTGCGAGCTAATCAGGGCAGTTTCCCACTTGTTGTCCAGAGCACCACAGCACCAAGCCGAACAAGTACTCAACAATAGCGAAGTTCAACGAAATCAACGAAATCCAGGCTATCACTAAAGCTTTCTGCGCCGCTAGTTTCCGGTCCTCGAACTTGAACAGAAGCATGGTCGCAGTCATGATTGACATGATAGAAACTAACACTGAGTTACAAAGTAGGCCTTCCGAAGCGCTGACAAGGCCCGATTACGCCGGTTGAAACTCGTCACACGTCAACACTACTAGCGAAAAACGAGCTAGCAATGCAGAGTACATTGAATGTCTTGTAAAAAAGCGTAAGTAGAAGCCGCTGGAAGACTAGGCATGCGCGCAAATAACCAGGTTCCTTGCTAGCTGTGCTCGGTTATCGAATTGGACTCTGGCAAAGCGGCAGTAACCGCATGCTTCCATTTTAGCCTCTCCACCATGCTTGTTCATCATGGTGAGATGGGGTTGACAGGTTTCTTCGGGGGGATGCGTGACTAAGGCATGTGGCTAATAGAGTGGGAAACATTTTTTTTTAGTTTACTATGGCCAACGTCAGCCACCGGTCAGAGCAGAGGCCGCGTATTCCGAGGCTGCAAGGCGCACGCAGTGTGGAGCGCCAGGCAGTGCAGGTGCAGAGCTGATGGATGGGTTGGCGGGGTTGTTTGAAGAAGAGAAAGCCTATTGCGTCGCTTCAGGCCGGCCCCCACGTTCCAGCAAGGGCTAAAGCGAAGGTAGGATGACACGCCTGTGTCCCAGCATGTCTCACTTGATTTGCCATCATACAAAGCCCCCAAACTTTGATTTTTCCTCGCTTGCAGTGGTAGACGCTCCGAAACCTAAATTGGGAGACGATCCTTTCGCCTATATGCTTTGCTTCCTGGGTTATAGAGGCACGGTATTCAACGTCCCAGATGCTGCAAGGTAATCTTTCATTCTATTTTCATCTTCGTGTAGCCGATACTTGCTGGGTTGTTGCATGAAGATGGCAATCGTGATGTTGACGCCAATTCTTTAAAGAGCTGGGGTCTTTTTGAAACGCTTTTTCAAATACTGCATGACTCACTCAGCAGCACTTGATCACAATCACTACCAATTTAATGATTCAAGTATGCTGCCTATAGACAATTGGTGCTACACAACTTCCCAGGGACAACCGATGGAGAAGGTAGCTCCGGTACTTACATGAGAGGGATTCTGCAGCTCGATATCGTCATGCGAATTTGCCATGTGCATGCTAGAAATATCCTTACGGCCGATAACATGAAACCCCGGGGATCTGCATAGTAGCTTTGTAATAATGAGACAAGGTGTAAGGCGTGCAACATCAAAGCTTCAAGAAACCTTGATTTGTATTAGGTTGATGCAACAATACTAGGAAGTGCTAGTCTCACGTACGTACTGTCGGCATTCAATGGTGCCCCTGCTACTGCCCAGTTCAATCTACAAGTAGGCAAGGACCATTAATGATAAGCAATATTAAGCTTCAATTAGTGCCTTTGCTCCGTAGCCTAATCCGTTGACACCAAATAAATGCATCTGCAGATTGCAGACAGACACCGACCCTGGACACTTGTACAGCCGAACAGACACGAAGTCATGAGTAAGATTGAAATCTCCTATGACGCATGCATGCTGGCGTTGCGGTTGCTGAGAACCGAGGCAGGATTCAGGGGTCAGCTGTCAACATATCTTGAGGACTGGCTGCAAGATAGTCTGTTTTATTTAGCGAACCCTAACCGCATAGGTGCCCAGTGCTATACTATAGAATACCCAAATTTGAGTACTCAAGTCGCAATCTAACTTACTCCTAATGACGGAACACATCACATGTTGGGGGACTTTGAAGCCTTTCTCGTGTTACTCCTATCGCCTGCTTTGAGAAGATGTAAACAATCTTCGTCAAATCCCCTCAATCCTGTTACCCCTATCTTACAAACAGTGTTTATCCACTTGGGTGCAACAAAAAGCACATGTAGTTTTCCCTCCTGCAGTCTGTGATTCCAAATCCGTTGCGTCGACCCGTACCACGAGTGCGACAGAAAGTACACAAGAAGGCATAAGGCGCATACTATGCAACCCTAAAGAAGCATCATTTCCTCATACCAGCTTCCTGTAAGCCAGTCATTATCATTCTTATCTCCATGTATATTGCATCGTGCGTATGGCGTGTGTATCAGGTCATGTCGGATACGAAACAGCAGAGTGAGAAGGTAGCACATGATGAAATACCGTAGATACTGCTGCAGTGTCTTTCTCTACTACTAGGCGCCAACAAGAAGCTATGCATCAAGATAAGTGTGTAAACCGCAATGATGCACAACACTCGAAAGGCAGCTGTTGGCAGTGGCGGACGCTCAGACAGTAGATTGTGTGTCGCTAGACACAAGACATGCCTTGCATCACTCTAAACCCTGGGCTTCGCCTGCCTACATTCCCCATGGGAAGCTTTCAGATAGGACGTCAAGCACGCACATGCATACATACATGCATAGACACGACTTGTAGGTCATCACTCTACTGCATCAAGGCATCAAAGCTGGGGAAATGATTCTGGGTTAATGCTGTCGATCATCAGCTCATACATGGTACCAGTTCAAGCTACCCTAGCTGCGTTTTTACATTGCGAACATGGGCTCCATGTAATCACCAGCACGGCAATCATGTAGCGGTGCACTACCAGCTACAAGCAGTCTCATTTCCTTGACCCACTTTACCCAACCTCATCCGGCACTCTATTACGCAAAATTTTCTTCCTCACGCCATCCGGAAGTATTCGACCATAGCTTTGTGTAACACAGTGTTTGCGCTACCTTGTACATTGCCGAACAACAAGCCATGTAGTGGTTAGCCATGCGGTGGGCTGTCACGGTTACGAAATGAGCGCCAGTGCCGAGAGTTCTTCCGTATCACCGTCTTTCACGCAAAGAATTCTCACCTGTTAAATACGAAGGGGATACAGGTGCGCACGTGCTTATGCTCTTGAGAGGTCCTGGCAGTGACCTAGGGCTATGGGAATTGTGCATGGTGGAGTCATGTCACTTATGCGAATACATGAATAAATCTGGCAGACCATCATGCAGCGATGTATCCTTGGAAATGTGCACTTCAAGGTAAAATTTAATCCAAGTCTTCATACCTCATTGCCAGTGCAATTAAATTTGAGATAAGGCCAATACTCCTCTCGGGTCCATCAAATTCATTTATTGGCTCTTTACAAAATTGGTTAGACACTTGATAAGAAGCCCATTTTGCTCGAGTCACGAATAACCACTATCAAACAAAACAAGTCATATCAATCAAGAATTGAATTGATGGAACAGAGCTCACAGAGCGAAGGGATTAAGTAAGAGTTCCTGCAGACGTAACCATTAAAGCATCTAAACGTAACTAGGCCGAATTGCTGTTATCTGCGCACGAAAACGCTTTATCAATCGAACCATCTCTGTACGCCTCCTTGATCTGAACAATCACGCCATATGTGCCTCCAACAGTCAAGAATGCAGAGAGACAGATAAATCCAACGTGCAACAAGTACATCATCTTCTGCGGAAATGATCCTCTCCAGTGGTCGCGGTGGTCGTAGATCCACAACCAACCCGGATAACCAATTCCCAGGGGAGCAAACGCAAGACTTCCGGCAAGACTGAGTAGATAGTTGAAGATTGGCACTCCCGAGGCAATCAGAAAGCTGACAATGGTCATGCCGCCTACGCATCCAAACCATGTGCCCCAATGGACAAACGTGTTGGACTGCAGATGTCTGGACTTGCGCAGAATCCGGACGAAAATGTACTTGGCACCAATGTGAACGTATAGGGCGCCACTGACGAGCAGCCCGATGATACCGATGCCGTATGCCACTTTTTTGATGGTAGGTCCAGCACTGCCCAGGGACGGCGAAGCAACCCATTTACCACACCATTTGTATACAACCAAACTGAAAGATAGATAGGCGGCACCGACAAAGGTCATGCAGGTCATTACCGACCTGCCAAAGTGGCGGGGATTGCGCATTTCTGACATGACGGGGAGGAAAGCAGACGTAGCTGCCGAAGAGCAGAAAATCGTGCTTGCGGCTGTGATGCCAGCTGCAAACGTTGGATGGCCGATCACATGGTATCCGAAATCATAAGGGCCGGTTTGAGGTGCTGCAGCAGGGCGATCGCGGGTCGTTACCCCAACTCTGATATCTGTGTAAGCCGAGCATCAAAAAAGAGAAAAAAAAAATGCTCCGTTGGCATGTACCGAGCTGAGCAGATCAAGGACGGAAAGACACTTACACGACGATGAAGACGGCAATAAAGACTGATACAAAGCCAGCCCAGGTGATCCAGGCAATCTTCTCAAACTTCCTCACACTCGCACAAAGGCCTACCATAAGTGTGGCAATGAGGGAAAAGTAATTTGTGCACAGCGAGTGGTTGGAGAGCGCGTTGAGTGCAGTTGATACACCCACAATGCCCGACGCAGCCACAATGACAAAGGCAACCAGGAAGAGAATACCGGTGATTTCCTTGACGATAGGCCCACCAACAAGCAGACCCATATCAGCAATCGAATGGCATCCTGGGTGCCGCATGCGAAACTGTCCAAGGACCAACGCAGCCCAAGTATTGACAGCTTGCCAGCCGATGACATTGATGGCCCCAGGCAAAGCACCGAGGACATACATGGCCGAGGGAATAGTAAGCACACCAGTTGCGAAGATGACTGAGTTTGCACAGTCAGCGATTCTGCAAATATTGCGCCAAATGTTGACATTCACAACAACAACAACAACGAAAAAAAAGTTAATGTCTTACTCTTCAACAGAATCATAGTCGTCTGGATCCATCCCACCGTGCGGAAATCCTCATATCCCTCCCCCTTCTTAAACACCTCGTTGTCATTCTCAAGGTCAGCTTTGGCCTCACCAATACTTCCTGAGCTGTGGCTCGGCGCCGGCGCAATGACATCCTCATTCTTTTCAGCCATGATTCGCTCGCAGGAGGAGGAGGAGGAGGAGGACGACGACGACTGCAAAGAAACAAAGCAAGGCAGGCGAACAAGGGAAGAGTGGCCCAAAAAGAGAGAGAGAGAGGCCGTATATATACACTCTCTGATATACAGAAAGAGGAGAAGAGAAGAGAAGGGCCAAGATATCAAAAATCGAATAAGGTGACTCTATTTATCTAAGCGCTCTTTTTGCTGGGTTCACGCGGGCGGTGGACCCCAACCACCCCCCGACTCCCCTCCCATATGTTGACGTTTGAATAGATCGCACAGGCGCCCGGGTGCACCCTGGATGGGACCCGAACTCACCGTAGGAACACCGAGGGACTAGCATGGGTCAATAGGGAACCAGAGCAGGTAGGCCGCGTTAGGCGAGTTTCTAGACATAGTAGCGTGCTTGGATGGGATTTTTGAGATTTATTTCTGCATGTACTTGAGTAATGTGCTTGAGATATTAGAGATTAAAAGACTTTATTATTATTATTAAGAATGTTCTAAAGACGGGGTGTGATTTGTGGTTTGTAATAGTGTAGATGTGTTTGTTAACGATACATACTTGATGCAATAAAACTTCCTCGAAGAAACCAGATGTTTCGCTCTCCAATTTTTCTCCACCCTATTTTTTTTTTAAAAAAAATGATTGCATTATACTCATATCTTCACGTTTTGAGAAATATGTTTTACTAAATAATATCTTAAAGATATTCTAGTACTGGGCTCAGCCTAGCACATTAGGCACATATGCCTCCACCAAAGCCACCCAATCACACCAAGCAGTCCCCCTCCCTCAGCGCGCCTCCCGTCCAGTGCATGTGTGTCTACTCTACACCACGAGCAACAGCCGCGCTCGCACTATCGCAGAATCCGGGGGTGGGATGTGGGTCGCGGAAACTTACGGCCCGGAGGAGTTTGGAGGTGGCCCCGCAAGATAGTAGGATTGCGTAGCGGGACGGCACGGAACAAGTTACTCCAAAACGTTGACGTGTCACAACCCTGCCCAAAAAAAGGAAACCCTGGGTCCAAAGGGATTTTGGGCCCGCTAGTCTGCAATGGAGTGAGGATTTTTTTGCCTACTCCTACTTTTTACATACGGCTTACCCATTGCTCCAACTCGATGGATGCAAGGAATATCCTGGGGATTTAGTTTGTTGGAGATGATTAACGGGTAGGATGGTACATTGTGTAAGATTGCTAAACTGATGCTAAGTTTTGTTGTTGGGGATGTGTTGTTGCGCACCCGGAGGGTGATTACCGCCTATGGAAACGGCTTTATTGGACATGGTTGGTGACTCGCTATCACGAACGGCATATTATGTAACGAGCGAATGCCGATATAAGGGGCATTGAGTCAAGATAACCGAGTATTTATTCTGTATCGAACCATGATGATTAAGCCAGCCTAATAACGCGACAAAATCCAATATGATAACAAGACGGCTGTCAACTCGGCCATGTCCTTTGCTTATTCCCTCAGTTTAGCTCCTACGGGAGCTGGAAGTAGGGCACCTTCAGCTGGCGCGTTCTTCTTCTTGAACTCGTCTGCCATCTGCTCCATGGTTACAAACTCGACGCCTTCATGCTTTTTGAAATGTTCAATCAATCTCTCGTGCATGAGAAGCAAATGTGGTCGTCCAGACACATCAGGGTGAATTGTCAAAGGCTATTCGTGTCGTGTTAGCTATGACTGTGGGATAGCAGTATACACTCTGGCGAAGACTTACAAAGATGAACTCGTCATACTCGCGATAGAAGTAGTCAAAATGGTCCCTCCAGAGATCCTCAGTGTCACGTGCATTCACAAAGCCGTGGCTGTTGGGAGAGCCCTTGATGAACATGTGTGGTGGCAAGTCCTAGACGCTGCGTGTTAGTCAATCTGAAGGCCAGTCGATCGATATCGCCCTTACATCAAGGTACCAATTGGCAGGAATTTCTACGAGGCCAGTGTCTTGACCTGCAACTAATGGCTTCATCCACTCCTGGGCTTTCTTCTTGTAGTCAATTTTGGTCCATGAGTCGCCAGTTCTTAGATAGTAGGGTTGGCAGTCATGGTGGCTCATGCTATGGTCATACTCAATGCCGTATGAGAGCAGCAGCTCGGCACCTTCACGGCTTGTCTCCCACCTTTGACCATCATTAGCATGGTACACAGGCGTATCATGTCAAAAAGAATCATACCATGGGGCTACGCTGCCTCGAGGAGGCTTTCCGGCAAACTCGGTCAGCATGCGATAAGTCTTATCAAGGACATCTCTTTGCTGCTCGAGACTCATGTCAACAGGGTTCTCATGGCTGTATCCATGAAGGCCAATTTCGTGGCCAGCATCGCGTACAGCCGCCATGTCCTCAGGGAACGTCTCTAAACTGTGCCCCGGAATGAACCATGTAGTCTTGATATCGTACTTCTTGAACAACTTCAGTAGACGCTGGGTGCCAACGGTTCCCGCAAAGAGCCCACGACTGATGTCGCTGGTGCTGTCCTGTCCGCCATAGGAACCCAGCCAACCACAGACAGCATCGACATCTATCCCATACGAGATGAGGACACGCTTCTTGCCCATTGTTGCTGGATGACGTGGAAGTGGGGGTGTACTCTCGAGTAATGTAGCTGATCGGTTCCGCAGGAAGTGTTGTCAACTGGAATTCAATGCGAATTAACAGGTGGGCCGGCTGTACCGGAAGTTGATCTGCTTATTACCTTGATACTGAGCCCAGAGGACTATCGCGGGGTAACGAGCAGATGGAGGGGTACGGCAGCCGATAGTGACTAGTCCGCTTGGTCACGGGAATCGGAGCCCTGTTACAGCGCTTGTCCCTGCGTACCACCCCCCATCTGTACCCTCGCTTATCTTATCTTATCGCAGTAACCCCAACCTCCAACCTCCAACCTCCAGTTACATCCGCTCGACCCAGTGGGAATACATTCGGCCCAAGTGGCGGCGGTGTACACACCTCCACAGGGCTCTTGGTATGAGGCGTGTTGTAAAATGCCACGATGGCGCCACATGATCTCTCGTGCATGTGCGGAGCCGATCAACGTACAAGGGGATGTTTGAGAGCATCGCCCGGTTTCGGTGACATCATCCCGAAAATGAGGAGCATAGCTTCTGGAGGCAGTAAGAAGAAGAAGACCAGCCTTGTCAGTGTATTGCTACTCACTGTGGAGGAGATGATATCATACGTAACGTGCTTGCATGTGGTTACTAACTCCTGCTATTGGGTCTTCAGGCGCTTTGGGCAGGTCGCACCAGAATTGTTCATACGTGTTGCCGGTACACGAGTCAGTCAGCAACATCAGATATCCAGCTACGCACACTCAGGGTCTGATGGTAGAATTATATATCGCTGGAAAAGATTATTGGTACTTTCGACGGAGCGGACATTGGTAGACGATGCGCAGGTCGCCGACAGCATACATGTACCCCAGAGTCCAGCCGGTCCAATGACCATATTGAGAGTAGAGGGTTATTGCTGGTACCGAATGCGGTGCCGCTTTTTCCTGCCAGTGTCTCTTCTGTAGAAGATGTGCATCTGATAAGTGTCGAGGTGGGGTTTTGTTGCCCCTCAGCTTCAAGCTACCCGTGATTGCTGACAGCCTGGATATCACGCGATGGTAACCTCGTGGCAAAATCTCACCTTGTGCTTGAGCTGTGTAAATACTTGAGCTAGAGATGGTCATGCTCTAAGCCGATCACAGATCTAAAATCGTATGAAAGAATCGCTTTGGGTTAAGGGCATGCAGCAGTTGTAGTCTAAAGAAGCTCGGAGCAGACAGGAAAGAGACATGTATCCAAAGTGTCGGAAATTGACTTACGTAGATTGATGAGCGGTAAGTTAGTCATATACTTGGGATATTGAACCATCTGTGTTACAAGCTCATACTAGATGGACTAGTGTCGGTACCCACTTTAGCGTGCGTGCGCCAGTTGGGGTCGGTTGGAGAGACTATCACATCAGCATCCTTTGGAAAACCGTCAACCCTCCACATCTTCAAATTCAACGCGATTGGCTGCGTTGTACGTAAAAGATTCCTGCTCATAATAGAGGTTTGGATACTTTATACATCGAGCAGCTCAACGATTTTCCAGCTGCGTATCCAACTTTTTTGAATCGTTTTCCTTTGTACAGTCATACGTCATCTGTTCAACATGTCAGTCTTCTTCGACTCACCAATCAGGTTTGTTTTATTCCGATTATCGAACCGTGAGCTTAATGGTATGCTGACACGTGGTTAGTGAAAACCTCGTGGCTGAGGGCGAGGCAGAGTCGGTATTGAGCAGCATCGGCGTCACCAATGGAATATTACCCAGCGAATCACGCGATTACCAACAACTCCTGGCTGCCGTACATGATGTAGCTCAACATGTACTGGACTTGCCAGACTATGTAGCACGTGCGGACTTCAACAAGTACCCACGAGAACAACTCCACCGGCCATCGAAAGATGAGCAAGACTATGGCAACGCCTGGGCTCACAAATTCCTCATCCGCGGCAATCCGGAAGCAACACTACTTCGAGGCAAGACGGTCTGTATCAAAGACAATATTGCAGTTGCTGGTGTCCCACAATTCTTTGGAACAGATGCTATTCCACCATGGACTTCCGACTCTGATGCCACAGTAGTCCGACGAACATTAGACGCTGGTGCTGATATTGTGGGAACAACAATATGCGAAAACTTCTGCAACTCAACCTCCTCGTTTACTTCGGCACAAGGACATGTAGATAATCCATATGCAGAGGGCTTCTCAGCTGGCGGAAGCACGTCAGGGGGCTGTGCTGTAGTCGGCGGCGGACTTGTCGACATTGCAATTGGTGCTGATCAAGGAGGTAGTATCCGTGTGCCATCATCGTTCTGTGGCTGTGAGTATCTACCGCTTGTTATACAACGTCCCCTGCTATGACGGTTGACTAATGTATCGGGATAGGCGTAGGACTCAAACCTACTCACGGGCTAGTTCCATACACAGGCGTGTCGAGTGGGGACCCAGTTAGTGACCACGCTGGGCCTATTGCGAGAACTGTCAAAGACATAGCTCTATGCTTGGAGGCCATCAGTGGAAGAGATGACTATGACGACCGCACTCTCGGTGCACCAATACATGGATCAACACACTACGCACAACGACTTCAAAAATCCATCGCTGGGTACAAGATTGGCGTTCTCAAAGAAGGTTTCGAGCACAGGATAGTAGATCAGGAAGTACGTAACACTGTTCAGAACGCGGTTGAGTCTTTCAAGCGTCTTGGTGCCACTGTCGAAGAGGTGTCGTTGCCTCTCCATCTCGAGGGACCAGCCATCTGGACTATTCAACAACGCATTGCCGGTACTCTTGGCATGCTAGGCTATGCACACGGACGAAGAGGTCTATTCTCAACAGCCTACGAAGCAGCACGTCAACCATGGACAGACGAATCGTTCCAGAAACTCTTTCCCTCGACCAAGAATACGATGATCAACGGCCTCTCGCTCATGCACAGTTATCCCGGTCTCTACGCTAAAACGATGAACGTTGCACAGCAACTGCGTGACTCATATGAGGAACTTTTCCAGAAGTACGACGTTATTGTCATGCCCACAACACCTTTTGTGGCACCACCTAATGCGGACTGGAAGCGTGGAGATCGACCCATGGATGCGCTGAAACCAAGCATGGGTATCACGATTAACACGGCGATTTTTGACGTGACTGGCCACCCAGCCATGTCACTTCCTGTGGGGTTTGCACCGTCGAATGCAGATGCACAGGTCATACTGCCAGTTGGCATGCAACTGGTAGGCGGTTTATGGCAGGAGCAAAAGGTGCTGAACGCCGCTTTCGCTTGGGAGTCAGCAAATGACTGGAAGAAAATCGGTAACAGAATGGAGCAGGAATCGAAGCTAGCAACAAAGCTGTGAAGCCCCATGATGGATAATGGATCAGTTGGGCGATATCCTTGATGTTTCTGCTGGGAAGCAAAAATACTCTGTTCTTTTTAAAACTCATTTTGACCTTGATGTCGTACGTAGCTAGACTAATTGATTGTGTAACCACCATCGACAACAAGGGCATGGCCCTGAATGAACGACGACTGGGAGGAACACAAGAAAAGAACTGCATCAGCGACTTCTTCAGGCTGACCCATTCGTTTCATGGGTGCAATGTCAATGGCTGGCTTTAGTGCCTCGACCATGGCTGGCGAAGTGGTGGTCATGGGCGTTTCAATGACGCCTGGACAGACACAGTTGACGCGTATTCCGTTATCGGAGTAGTCGATAGCATTAGCACGGGTCATGTTGATAACGGCAGATTTTGAAGCGCAATAGGCGGCTACGTGTTTTTATTAGCAATCGATCATCTCTAGAGTCGGCCCTACTCTGGGAGGACTGACCAGCACCAGGCCTAGCGACCACACCAAGTTGACTCGCGATGTTGACAACGGCGCCTCTCTGCTTGGGATGCTCTGCGAGAGGCTCTTGCTTGAGCATGTTCCTCAGCTGAGCCCGGCAGCTGAGCCACGTGCCCCTATAGTTGATGGCAGTCAAGCGGTCGAAGAAGTCGGTGGGCATGTCGACTGCTTTGACAGTGTCGCCCCCGAGAATACCAGCGCAGTTGACAGCGTAGTCCAGCCTGGTGAAGTGGGCGGCCACTTTGTCCATGAATGCATTCACAAACTTCTCGTCGGCGATGTCGCCAGCTTCATCGAGGACGCTCGCAGAGGGGTTGATGCGAAGTATGGCATCCTTTGTGTATCGCAGGGTGTCTGGGTTGATGTCGGTGATGGCGATTCGAGAGCAGCCAGAGCGCACGAAGCCCTGTGCGACAGCAGCGCCGATACCTACATTGATAGCATGAGATGAGTACATGTGAAATGACCATGTCACGTGCTTCACACGACGACCGCCAACGTACCAGTCCCTCCCGCACCCGTGACGACGGCGACACCAGGGAGCGATCTCACAAGCAATGACATGTTGGTGCGGAGAGAATGTACCTACACCCAAGACCACTGTATGGCAGTGCTACTATACATGTGCCGTTGAAGCTGATCGACACAAATCGTTATCTCGGCGTGACCGCCAGCGTTCCGGGGGCTTGGGGTAGACGCTGAGGTACCCCGCACGCCAGCATCGGCCAAGACGCTAAAGAAAGGGACATCTCGGGCGGGACTTAGCATAAGACCCACGTCGCTCCAATTTCTCTCCAACACTTGCCGCCACATGCATAAACTCACCCACACTTGTAGCCATTGCTCGAGAAGCTTCAAGCGAGCAGAACACCTGACCCGCCATCTCCGAACGCGTCGGTGCCTCCAATTGAGCGCTGCTTTGTTAAGCAAGCCTACAGTAGCTGATGCAATGACCTAGATACCAGAGAGAAGCCCTATGCCTGTCGATGCGGCGCAGCCTTTACGCGACGGGACCTGCTTACCAGGCATTGGCGCATTACGCACCATGCCAACAGCCCTGATGCTGCCACGTCAACATGCTCGACTGAGACGACGACAGCAATTCATGTAGCCGCACCTCAGCACCAAGAACCGTCCCATGTGCACACAATCGCGTCTAACGCGTCGACTGTCCCTGCCACGGCGCCTGCCGACTCCCGTCTCGTCGTCCAGCCCCACTCAAATCATGTCGATTTGCATGCCTCTACTCGCGTCTATCAGAATGCCCCGTCCCAGTTGATTCCCCAGGGTAAGTCCTACTCTTGTCCAACGTCAGCATGGTTCGGTGTCCAAGTAGCATGCTGAGTACCATTTTAGACCTGCCTCCACCGCCCCCGTATCGCGATGAAGGGCTTGATGACTTTCGCGACTTTGTCAATTTCATTGATGGCGTTGGCTTGTCGGCACAGTGGACGCCTGAGTATGATTATGACTGGATGCGAATTAGCGAACACCAGCCCGAACCAACAAGGGCTTCTCGCGAGCCCCAGACGTCTCAATCACCAGGTCCTGAGGATATCGGTACCCCTTTTAGCACGTGGCTGCCATCGGCGCCAGCTGACGATCAAATCCACCTGAGATCACATACAGAAGATAGTAGGTTTTCTCTTGCAGCACTAAAACACGGCCGTGTTAACCAACCATTCGAGACCCTGGCAATGAAAGGACTAGAAGCGGAACTTATACTGTCACTGATGATCATCGCAACTTTTTGGTATCACTTCTCGGGGCCTTCCCTCCTCCCATATCAAATTTTGAAATCCCATCTCGACATACTCTTACTCGCTACATTACCGCTTTTTTCGGCGGCTTCCATTCACATTTCCCCTTCATACATGGACCAACTTACAGCCCATCGACATCACCCCTGGAGCTGACCCTAGCCATGTGCGCCGCGGGAGCACAGTATTGCTTTGAGCGAAAGAGTTCAGAACGTTTGTTCCAAACCGGCAAAGCCATTGTTTTTGAGCGTCTGCACCTGGAAAAGGTGCACTTCAGCCCACAGACGATGGCTTTGGTCAGCTCTAGCAATGACATTATGTCAGACGTGCCCCCTACGAGTAGACGGACAGGTCCATGGTCACCTCTCGATATGGCAAAAACATTACTCATCTTAGTGGGATTTGCCACATGGGAAAGGACGGGACTACTGCAGCAAGCTTTTGCATTAAGAGGATTACTAGTCCAGACGCTTCGGGATATTGGCCTTCAGGAACGCGAAACATGTCTCGGTGGCACTTCCTCCAGATCGGCCATGTGGGACCATTGGGTGCAGAATGAGTCCGCCAGACGTACGAAGCTTGTAGCATTCTGCTACATCAACGTACATAGCATCGCGTACAACATCAATCCATTGCTCTGGAGTAGTGAGCTACATTTACGGCTTCCTTGTGGCACACAGGAGTGGCAGGCTAGCAGTGCTGCACAATGGGTGGCCCTACAACGTGATAGCAAGGAAGAGCAAATGCAATTTCAGCAAGCTCTGTCCATACTCCTTCAAAGCTCAACAAATGAAGGCGAGTCACTGCTACGATCAATGATCCAGGCTTTCAGTGTGATGCTAATAGTTTCCCAGAGCAAGTACATCCCATCCCCAGTCCTATTGGTAACTACATCCTTTTACATGCACTACTACAACGGATCCACGTGGTGCGCGAGCTTTCGTTCCCTGCGACTTCTCCTGCAACCATCTCGGTGGCTGAGATGCATGTAATTGGACGCGCTCTTCGTGGATGGACTTCACTTTGGCAACAAACTCCAGAATCCATGCTAGACCCAAATAATGAAAGCGGGTGAGTTGAAGATCGCGCAAATACATCCATCTGTATGCTAATATGTCAAGGCCTATTCCATTTACGTCAAGCGCACTTCTTGTGGTGGCTTATGTACGCCTCTCATTGAATATTGGACCGCATCGGCACCTGGAATCTCGCGATGCAGACGTTATCGCAGCCGGCCTCATGCGCCTTCCAGATATAGAGCGCAACGACATGCTCTTGTCAGCACTATTGTATTCCACTCATGCACTCAGTATCCCGGTGAGACTTGGAATCGATCGAGTTGCTAGAAGCCAGGCTTTCTTCTGGAGTGTCCAGCACGCCATATCAAGCTTTGAATGCGCCATCTTCCTGGGTAAATGGCTCATGTCTATTCCCAGGCCCTTCCGTGAAGACATGTTACCTCGATCAGAGTATCGTATACTACATTGGGTGCGCTGTATCACCAATGAGGCGTATACCGTGATTGATTTTGAGGATACTGAGAACAGCAATGGCCTTCTACGGACTCCTATCGACCCAGCTGTGCTTGGTCTTGCAGTTTTGAACATATGGTCTCGTTTCTTCCGTGGTAACAGTCAATGGCAATTTGTTGTGAACTTGGGATTAAGCTTGGAGAGGTATATCAAACTAATTACGTAGACCTAGTCTCTATGAGGGCCTTTGTCGGAATATCAAGCTTCACCAACCATTTGCCAACCCGTAAATCAAGTGTAGTTGCAGTTACATCAGTAACAACATTGGATGAGCCACTAATCTAAGAGAGTCCTGATCTCAACCGATACTGGGCCTGAAACTCTTGTCGCTCAAAAAGGGGCATGTAGAGCAGTCTGAAGTCTGCCAGTTTCCGAGTTCGAGTTGAGGCATTTAGCGAAGATGAGGCCCATAATTGAAGGGAGCTGTAGGTTTTGATTGGTTGGATTCCTAATAGGAGGTGAGTTAGTATCTTCTCGGAATATCCACTAGCGTGGCCTATCAGGAGCGAGTTTGTGCGGTGTCTTGAAGTTCCATGCAATATCTGAACTCGAGAAGACGGTTGCATCCTGCCATACAAACACGTACTCGTCTTTGTTCGATGTGAAAAGTATTAGAAGCAAGCGAATACCTATCCGGGCGCATGTGGCACATACGAAGGAGCTCATTCTCAGGAGACAAACTGGAACCATGTTGGTGGCCTGTGCGCCATAGCTTTTCTGTCACTTTGAACCAACTTCGTATTCATGTGACTTGCTTGAAGCTTTATCACCTAACCAATATTCATGTGGAATAGAGACCTCGATCGTTACGAATGTCAGTTTCTCGAACATCACAAATATCGCTCCAAATTCTCACTTAGAATGTCCTACTCAGTACCACTAAAGTCTCCCTATCCACGCTGTGTCAATCATACTCTAAAGTATTCCTCACTCCTACTGTGCACACCTAACTCCTAAGCCCTAGAGTGGCCTCAATATGCTGTGCCATCAAGTGGAACTGCTATTCTGCGAGACGAACTGATTGTCTACATACGTGCAAACACTGCAGATTGCAGACCGTTGGTTCTGCAGGAACATCGGGTTACCCCAGGTAACGGCAGTTCAGGAAGCCAGCAAAGAACCACTCGACTATGCCGTTTCTGGTAACTAATGTCCGCTTCTCTCAGGAGCCTACAGACGGGAATGCAGGGCGTTTCTACCGGAGAGTCTTATACCTTATTTTGGGCCAATTTCACATCTCACCCGTGTGGCAAGGGCCAATGATGCAGCACGTTGGAATGGGCGCGCATCCTTCGAGATGGAAGCGGATGCAGGTTGCCGAACCAGCCCCGCAAACTCTTTCCAGAATCATGTAGGTATAGAAGCACATGTGGAGGATGCGAAAATGGAAAACTCTGAGTTCAGGCTTTTCCTCCTTCCGTCAGCTATTTTACTAATAGCTGGCTTCACCCCAATTATTGCTGCTAGTGATTCATTCGTTGCAATAATCTTCATATTCACCTGGCCATGTACTCACGTACCATTCTCTCGGGTCTGCTGTTGGGAGCATTGCCCTTACCGACTTCAGCACAGGATGGCACGAACGCCACAATCCCCACTCCTCCGAAGCCTGATTCATCAGTAGGCGACTGCACCGGTGTCAACGCAATTAGCCCAAAATGTAACAGCCAAGAATCTGCGTACCAGAGAGACTTCTTTTATATCGGTGGTGGTTATGTCGACTCTGGTATTCCGGACCAGCAGATGTGGAGCGACCAGCTCTACGTCGAGAAGCTGACGCCCGCCAAAAAGGTTGACAAGCCTTACCCGATGGTCTTTGTCTCAGCGGGTATCAACACAGGTGCAGAATGGCTGAATACGCCAGACAATCGCAAGGGATGGGCTTCCTACTACCTTGACCAAGGTTACCAAGTCTACATTGTTGATATCGCTGCAAACGGCCGAAGCGGCCAGCAACTTCTCTCAAAGTACCCTCTACGCCTTGCTTCCACAGACGTCATCAACGAGCAGGGCTTCACAGCTGTTGGGAACTTTGCAGATTACCCACAAGCAAGCCTACATACCCAATGGCCCGGCAACGGAACTCGAGGAGACCCAGTCTTTGACGCCTTCACTGCCGCCAACGTCCCCCTCTCTTCATCCAGCGTAAACGTGGAAAACACCATGCGCACGTCTGGATGCCAGCTTCTCAGCATGATCGGCCAGTCATACACAGTCTGCCACTCTGCCGGCTGCACTTATACTGCCATCTGGTCAGACGCGTGTCCCGATCTCCTCCGTGCTAACATCAACATCGAACCCGGTAACATCCCCTTTACTTCATTTGTCGGAGGCTCGACAGGTGTCGGTGGCGGCCGTACCCCTGCTCGACCTTGCGGTCTCACATACACACCGCTGCAATACGATCCTCCCGTGACGAACTGCTCAGCCATTACCACCGCTGAGGTTGGAACAGACACCCCCGCCGAGCGCTCTTGCATTCTTCAGACCGGTACCATCCACAAGCTCACTCAGGTCGGCAAAGTGCCGTATGTTATGATTACGGGCGAGGCCAGCCAGCATATCACGTACGACCACTGCTTCGTGGAGTACTTTAAGCAGATGGGTCTTACGAATTACCAGTGGATCAAGCTGGCCGATCTGGGTATCAAGGGCAATGCGCACTTTTTGTTCCTGGAAAAGAATAATTTGGATATTGCGGCGGCTATCGACTTGGGTCTTGAGAAGCTGAATGAAGGACCAGATGCTCCGGGTCATCCTGATCTCCCCGTCTCTTTGGAATGAGAGACTTAGTGTATAGATGCCAGTGCCGAACCTGATTTCATGTATATAGTTCAATGACCACGTCATGTAAATGCAATGGCAGAGCATGGGGATCTTATACAGTGTAAAATTTGCATGACATGTCATCAATCATTCATTCATACATACAATATTACCGCTAGTCGTTACTAAGCACTGTTCCTCATACAAGCGCATTACAATTTTCTCTGTCCACCAGCAACCATCACCGCATCGTTACATAAACCTCACCTCGCTTTAAGAACACTATCCAGCACCCCAACCCTCTTAACCCAACTCCTCGCCCTCTTCCCATAAATATACATCGGAATCGTAAACAGTGTCACCGCCACCGTCGTGCCCCCAATCACATAAAACGTATCTCTCACCCCCTGCGTAGCGATCCAGTCGTTGGCGTAGAACGTCAATCCAAACGCAAAAAGGTTCTTGATGAAATTCATAATGGCAAAGGCCTCGGCGGACTCCTCGCGGTGACAGTCCGATACGTAGGTTACTACGGCGGTAGTACCAAGTTGCACGCCGAGATTGATGAGGCCCATGCAGACGATGACGGGGATGGGCCATGGATCCGCTTTGTAGAGCGCTTCGCCCCAAGCGAAGAAGCCGACGGCGGTAAAGGCGAGGTACGTTATCATGACTGGAAGTCTGAACTCGGGTTCTGTAATTTCCAATCAGCTATCACCAAAAACCTTTTTCTTTCGCATTTGCAAGATACATACCAAAAATGCCATTATTGTGCTTGGACATGAGCTTTGCCACGCCGTCGATGATGGGGCCCGCTATTAGGGTGGCCAAGACCGAAGCTACGAATGAAGACATGTTTGTTGCGCCGACGGCACTGATGGAGAAGTTGTATGGTGGTGCTGAGAAGATCTGGGATAGCGTTATGGAGATGAGGACGAGCCAGGATATACAGATTGTAAACAACAACGTCGCCCACATGACTACAGGGCTGGCAATCATGACAAAAGGGCGGATCAGCGTGCGCCAGAAGGATACATCATCCTTGTAGCCAGACCAAAACTGAAGCGTTTTCTTGTACGAATCGCGAGGTTCTGACGATGGTGATGTTTGGTGTGCGTTGTTCTCGATGCGTTCAACGGACTGCTCTTTGTGTTTCTCCGAGATATTGAGGGTGTGGACGCTGGTATCGATGTTCATGGTGTTATCGCGGTGGTATGCTGTCTCGGGCATAAAGAAGAAGACGAGAAGGAACATTATGATGAAGGCGCCGCCCATTGCGTACATGGCGATGCGGTAGGACCCGTATTGGATAATCGATCCAGCTAAATTGTTTAGTATTATAGTTATTGGTTTGAGAATTCGTTCATACCTATGGGACTTGCCAAGTTCTGGGAAAAGTGTCAGTGTATGTATGTTCTTTTTAGGGTTTTTTACAGGCAAACTCACGATTCCACCCAGAACCCCAAGATTGAAAATAGACATTCTGAACCCGCGCTCGTGTACATGCCACAGGTCGCCGACTGAAGACGGGATAAGCGCTTCGAAGGGAGCTGTTCTTGTAAGAATACGATATAGCAAGAGGACCGTCAACTCATCTTACCCATGCAAAGCCCCTGAATAACTCTCGCCGCGGTGAGCGAGCCAAAGCTGGAAGACCCCGCGACCCAGAAACTTGAAGCCGCCAATCCCAGTGTAGTAACGAGATAGATCGGTCTCTTTCCTATTTTGACGGCCAGTGTATTACAGAGAAGACTGCCGGCGGCAATGGCTGCGATACAGGATCCGTTTGCACCTGTTCCAGCACCAGTCAGAGCAATGCTTTTGCGCTAGGTGGGTATCGTATTATGTACCAATTGTAAATCTTTGCAAAGGGACGTCGAATTGCTTCGCCAGAGGTACAAAAGCAGATGATAACAGCGGTCCGACAGCTAAAACCCCTCAGTTAGCCTCGTAAAATCGAAGTCAATGGTCAATCTCTTACCTCCCACACACCCACATCCATACGCAATGACAACCGTAAACTACTCCTCATCAGCTTCTTTACAACATCTTACATATTCAGCACTCGACTCACCATCTCCTTCTGCCATCGCGGCCAATTATACGGATCATTCGGCGAATCCGATGGTTGAGGGATAAGCACAACCGTCCCCGTCACATCATGCTTGAGCAGCGAAACATCAATTCCCGACGTAGTCTCAAGATCGAGCCGCCCCAGCTCGCTCAGCGGCGCCGTCCCCGGCACCTTTTCGAGTTTATAGTCTTGCAGTATACCTAGCGGCATGGTTGTGCACAGTTTGTTTACGAAAAAAAAAGTTGCTAGGAAAAGAGAAGAAAACAAATCTGGTGAAATGCAGTAGTGGCACGTGGATTTGAATTAATACTCCGGCATTTACTTAGCGATTGGAGTATCAGAGAATATACTTACACCAGCTGAATATGTAGTCATAGAATGATGTGGGGTAGCACTCTTCACGCGGCAGTTGGCCCCCCCAAGACCAGGGGCGGTACAAAGCGTGCGGGGGTGCGGGTGCGGGGGACCTTGACAGTTACAATTGCACTTGTCGAGCGACTATGGGGTAGCATATAAGCAGGTGATGCGGCAGCTACGTAGAAAAAAAGTGGATATCGGTAAGACGTTGCCGATGGATCTACGTGCATGATGGGCTTGTATTGGTATAGTCAGTTCCTGTGCATGTGTCCTGCGACGGGTCCGCTTAAGTGACATGCCGCTTTACCGGGTTGTCGATGCTTGGGGATGCGAGGAGCGGGGGAGTTTGTCTGAGTGGTGTTTGTGTGTGCGAATAAGCATGGGAATATACGATCCGAGAGATGCTTGCCAGGCATAAGCACGAAAGGTTATTTCGAGTATGTTGCCACAGTCTCACTTCCTTTTGTTAACAGACAGGGTTTGGGTCTACCACCAAAGCCACCATATACTTCGGATCGGGTAACGGATCCAGCCCCACATCCACCCACATGAAATCCAGGTCTCGTTTACTGTTTCGAGGGGACGCCATAGATGTGCTCCAGCTCAGAGCAAACTGCATCCGTGACCTCATTCGTTGAGGAGCTGCCTCCGAGATCACGAGTCGCAACGCCTCGCTCAGTGACCGACTCCACACTCTCCATAAGCTTCTGAGCCGCTTGCTCCTCGCCCAGCCATGCTAGCATCTCGGATGCAGTCCAGAACGTGCCTACTGGATTCGCGATGCCCTTGCCCGTAATGTCGAATGCTGAGCCGTGGATTGGCTCGAACATGGATGGGTTTTGGCGTGTAGGATCAACTATTTTCCTTCAGTATCACTGCAAAGGATGAACAGAATAGAAGATACTCACGATTACTGGTCGGTGCAATACCAATCGAGCCAGCCAGGGCGGCTGCAAGGTCCGAAAGGATATCCGCATGCTATGCAAGTCAGTTGTTGAAATGCCACTCGAGGTAACATAACTCTACTCACCAAGTTTGTTGCCACAATCGTATCCAGCGACTTTGGATCCAGTACCATCCTACACGTCATAGCATCAACAAGCATCTTATCGCACTTGACGTCTGGAAACTCTTTGGCAACCTCCGCAGCAACCTCATCCCACATGACCATCCCATTGCGCTGTGCATTGCTTTTCGTAACAACAGTGATGTGCTTCCTTGGTCGTTTCCGCGCCGTCTCAAACGCAAAACGTAGCAGACGCTCTACGCCGTGTCGCGTAAAGATGGAGACTTCGGTGGCGATTTCCCACGGTTGACCTTTATGCGATCGGCCTCCTTGACCTGCGTATTCTCCTTCAGAATTCTCGCGTACGATGACCCAGTCGAGATCGCCGTGCTCTGCTTTTCGCAGGGGAGATGAAGTGCCACGGAAGATTTTGGTAGGTCGGACGTTGGCGTATTGTTGGAAGGTTTGGCAGATGGCGAGGCGTAGGCCCCATAGCGAGATGTGATCTGGAACGTCTGTGCAGTCGATTAGCAAGTTGGGTGCTTGCACTCTTGGATCTTCTATGTACCCGGAGCGCCAACGGCACCGAAAAGAATTGCATCGTGCTTCTTAAGTTCTTCTAGCCCCCCATCGGGTATGTACTTTCCCGTCTTTTTATATGTTTCTGAACTCCAATCGTAATCTTTGAATTGTAGTTGGAATGATCCATCTAGCTGTGCGAGTTTCTTCAAGACTTGTACACCAGCATTTACGACCTCCGGACCGATGCCATCGGCGCCTATTGTGGCAATGCTGTGTGTGCGCGTAGTTGTGCTTGGAGACATGATGGAAGTTGTATGCTTTTGTTTTCTTTATGATAGAAACTTAACAATCAAGCACCAAGGGGTTCATGCTACGACACTGATTTATACAAGTCTTCATATAGCGTAAAGTACGGACTAAGAACCCCCACTCGCGTTCAGTATTCATGCGCTTGGGCAGGTTTGGCCACAATGCTTGCCACTGGTGTTTTCCAGTCCCGCAAATGCGGGGAAGTACCGGAGAAACAAAGTCCGGCACATGTGTCGAGCACAAAATTACTGTTCTCTTATTTCGCTCTTCGCATTCAACGATTCTTTGTTACTGCGTAAAGTCCCAATGTTGCTCTTGATCAAACCAAAACGGTATATCAAAACCTGAGAAGGGGTCTAAGCCGTTTGGACTGTTGAATGCCATACCTCCAGTCCCTTCCATTGCCATGTACGTATTCCAGTAACTGTCGTCAATGCCAAAAATAGGCTCCACCCCTCCTGACCCGGCCAGAAGTCCAGAGTCAGGGTTGGCGACGCGTTCCTGATCTTCTGCTGTTCCACGTGGGGTTTTATATGGATGTATCGGGTCGTATTGAATCGAAGATATTGGCAGAGCGTTGCATGATGTGCTAGTGACTCCATGTTCGCCTGTGTAATCGCTTGGAGCAACCGCAATAACATCTTGGTTCGTTTGGTAAGACATGCGAGCGCGTAAGTCGCGTATTGCGGCAGAGCTTGCCTCCGGCCATGCGCTTCCACGTTGAGAAAGATGCTCAAGTATTTGCAAGCTTTTATCCGACAAGCTTTCCTTACAGATTAGCAGGAGAACTAAAGTAAGCTTCTAAGAGGCAATACCGTGTGACAAGAGCCTCGGAAACATGCTTTCCATTTGCCGCATAGAAGAGTATGAACGTGCTGATCCACACGGCCCAGGTACAAGAAGGCCAAAGTAATGAAAGAGAGCGTGAAGATTCTTCGACTCGAATAAATTCGGGTTTCATAGCACTGTAAAGGTTGGAAATGATGCTGCGGGCAGATCCAATGCATTTTTGAAGCGCCATGTCATATTCTACATCTTTACGTGACGCTGCTAAAGCAGGGCGGTAGAAGGAAATGACTGATTCATGCTTAAGCAGTGTTAGGACCATAGTAGCATACTGAGAAGCTCTATGAGGCCCATCTGGATCGATATAGTCTTCTACATCATTCCACCATTGGCTAAGTTTCGCAGTGATCGCGGTCGCTCGAGTCGGGTCGTTCTGAACAAAGTGTACTGATTTGTTGCGAAGTTCTATAATCTCGCCGCGAATTCTGGCTTGCTGAGCTAGGATATGAAGTAGGCGTAGCTGGTTTTCTTTACATGGTTAGGGAGGACTTCATCTAGAGACGGTAGAACCTACTGTGTTCCAACTGGGCTTCTACGTGATGTTCCGTGAGCGGAAAGCATACATCGATATCGTAATCATGAAGACTCAGTGGGAGACCCATGGATTGGCTGAGAAAACGGTCCATGGCATAGATTGACCAGAACACACGTTGCCGAAGCTCTTTTTCATCCGAAGAAAATGCCGCAAAGCGAGCTGGGCAGCGATGAAGGCCTAGTTGCACAGCCATACGTGTGATGAGTCCACCGACACGGGAAGCAGCATTCAGACGAAGCATAGATACAAGGAATATTTGCACACTCAGAGCTGCTTGCAATGCGAGTATGGTCGTAGGGCGTGATAGTATGGCCTGAAGACTGTCTAAAGCAGACTCATACGTTAGGAAGACGAGACAGGCAGGATACTGCGCAAGATCATATCCATTTGATTGTCTATGATCTGCAAGGGACGTGGAATGGATTGCTCGAAGTATCACCATGCGAAGATCTCGGAGAGAATTGTCTCCTGGAATGCCCTCACATGCGAACTCATCAAAATACCCTAGGACAGTCGGTGCGTGCAGAAATGGGTAAAACGGGTGCCAGTTTGCAAAATAGCTCGCTGAGAAGGCAACCATGTCTTGAAATGATATTTGGGCAGGTGCACCGGAAATTATCTCAGCTTCTTTCCACAGTCGCTCAGACGAATTGGGTTTTACCAACGGTAGATGGTCATCTTCGCCTGGTACTATGTCACTTATGGGTGTTTGAGCCACGTCAGGATTTACTGGCCGAGAACGGTTGATAGCACCGTAGACTGATCTGATGAAGAAGATTCCACTGGCACTGCCGACGAAACCCGTCAATCTGTCTGTGGGGTTTCGCATCAACCCGACTTCACGCGCTAGTTGCGCTGAAGTTCGCTGTCGTTTCGCAGGCCTCTCATCCCCTGCAGGTCTTTCGGACGATAGGTGTTCGTCATGCATATGCTCCATGGCAGCCACTGTCATGCGTGGCCTCTTAGTGAGGAGATTGGTGGGTGTCAAAGGTGGGATTCTCGAAGCAGAAAACCCCGCTTCGTTGCATGACTCGAGTTTAACCAGCTCTAACGAACAGATTGATTCAGGCAACGCCTGTCTCCTACGAACAGGCCTTCAGTCATTAGAAGTAATTCTCTGTCCATCGCCTGGAATCCGGGGAGCAATCCAAACGATTTGGGACCGTTGGCTGATTGCAAGTCTCCAGATGCTCCAGAACCGTCCTTGGCAGCGCTGTAGGATGAATTTGGAGCTCAGGTGTTGGTTCATCGTAGTTTGTTTGAGGTGCCGTGGTTGCTGCCAGACCTTCATTCTCTTGAGCTTGAAGCCACACCATCAATTGATCGCGTGTCTGCAGCGGCAAGCGCTTCCAATCTTCCATTTTCTCTGCCTTTGAGCGTTGTCGTAGTGACGAGTTGGAGTCCACGCCCTTTAAGTGAGCATCTATGTTGTGTTCGGCGGCTGAGTTCCGAATGGCGATGAGAGTGGCAGAGAGTGCGGTTTCGGTTGCCGCCAGTCGCTCCTCAAGAGCCTTGATGTAAGCAGCAGGTAGTCCGCGTTTCCCACCTTCTTGGTAATGGCATTCAGACGAAGCAGACTGACACTGAGAGCATGATGGACTAATGCCGTTAGCTTTCATCCAGGGAGTCTCGTGTAGGAGGTGGCAACATTCTACGGTCGCATTTGCATTTTTTCAACCTGCAAGCCTCACAAGCGATGGCGTGGAATCGCTCCTGTGGAGATGCAGTCAGCAGGCCACCCTCTCTAACACATGTGAAAGATTTTGGCACCATTTGTGAACAGTGATGTTGTTGGTGCAGTAGAACAGTTCGTGTTACTATGCGCTTCCATTGTGTACAAACAAGAATGGGTTCTCAGCCCTAGAAATAGTAGCCTGACACTACAAAGTAAGCGCGACCGCCGCTAGCGCTGAGGTTAGCCATCTTTAGTAGTGCAAATGCTTCAGTCTATGAATTTCTTCATGTTTGCTGTTATGAAAGAGCATTACTCGGGAAATTTACCACTGGAACAGATGCATTGTGGAATCCTCACGGCGAGCCTCCCATAGTTGCATGCCACCGATCTTGTGGACGCGCCAAATTCTTTTATCTAGTAATTGCAGCCAACTAAGATATTGTGGCATCAAGAAAGTATCGCCTAGGAAACAAGAAGACTTCGCATGTCACTATTCTCTCTTGACTATCGATTAAGGAATCGTCAATCTGTCAACCATTACCTCGTCACAGCATCAATCTTCGTCAACCTGGATGATGAAATATCGCAACACTCTGCGCTATCCATTAAAGAGCTTTGGCGAGTTTGAACGACACGCTCACGTTTGGGCGCTTCAAACCTTTGATAGTCGTTCTCAATCAATCGGTAAGTACCCCCATAGTCACGCCACTGCATCTGAAATGCAATCAAGAGTACCGGCAACACGCTAATGAGCTCACCCAACCCAGCCCATTGCGGCTTGATCCTGATATGACGGCCCGGTCGGACAAAAACGCCAGACGCAAGCGCGATTGCGACAGTGTTGTACAGGCCGGACCAGGTGAAGTTGGCGACAATACGTTGGTATGCAGCACCGGAAATGTCAAGCAATATCAAGATGCCATGTAGACGGGTAGTCATTAGAATGATGTCCGCAGCACTTTTGGCGACTTCAGATCCCCGGCTGATGTGTACGCCAATATCAGCCTGCTTGAGTGCAGCAGAGTCGTTTGTGCCATCGCCTATAAACATGACGGTTTCTCCCGATCCCTGGAGGTCTTTGATATATGTGCACTTCCCATCGGGCTTGCAGCGGGACTTGATGTTGTCTTTGTGAACATGGAGTGCACTGGCAGCATCATCCACTGCACTCTCGGTGTCGCCGCTGACTATATGTACTTGGATACCTTGAGCATGCAGCTCTTCAATGACCATCTCAGCCCCCGGGCGAGTACGATCCTTGAGCTCAAAACTGACTTGAAGGTCTCCTGCAATCGTAAAGTAGCACCTCGTGTTCGATTCTTGTCCAATGACATTGATTTTCAACCAATCAGCATTTCCAGCGCGAACCACAGCTCCAGTTTTTGCGCAAGTGCCTTGGACTCCTTGCCCAGGAAAGCTGACAATGTTGTTGACCTCCAAAGGTTCGTAGTATGCGTTGGTGGTCCTGTCCTGTATGAGATAATGTACAACTCCAACAGCTACCGGGTGCTTTATGTCTTTCAACAGCCCCATCATCAGTCCCTTGACGCGTGCTCTGTCAGTATTACGATATCGTGGAACGCCCACAACGTCCAATCTCCCACTAGTAAGCGTTCCAGTCTTATCGAATACCACATGCGTTACTTTGCGGGCGAGCTCTAGTTTCTGAGGGTCTCTGAGAATGATACCATACCGTGCTGCCACACCGCTTGCAATGAGGATAACCATAGGAACAGCTAGACCAATAGCACATGGGCATGACACAACAAGAGTCGCTATGGCGTAAGTGATTGCCGTAAGGACCGCGCTCTTCCATGTGTGCTCGCTACAATACCTATCGATAAATAGCCAGGATAGAAAGACCACCAGACCAATTAGAGCTATGGCGGGCACAAAGTACTCGGCTACGCGATCCGCCAGGGCTTGAGCTTTCGGTTTGCTTAGGCCAGCATCTTCAACTAGAGTCGCAATCTTTTGTATAGAGTTCTCATAGGGCAATTTCCTCAGACTAACGACAAGGGAGCCGTCTTGGTTGGTCGTGCCAGCAAAAACTTCGGAGGATAAGCCTTTCGCTTTGGGCTTGAACTCCCCAGTAATCATGGATTCATCGACATTGGAGCCTCCGTAAATCACGATACCATCTGTAACGACCCTAGTATAAGGAGGAACGATGAAAACATCACCGTACTGTAAAAGGCGAGAATCAATCGGAGTAGTTTTCACATTGGCCCAAATGTCATTGGCGGATGGCGACACCAAAAGCGCTTCTTCGATCTGAAGTGACCGAAAAGAGACGGATTTGGTAGCTCGGAAACGCGCAAACTCATTGATGACGCGACCCAGCAGGATCAATGTGACCAGCAGAGTCGATGTCTCAAAGAAAGATCCTGTTTCCAAAGGTTTCCCGCGGATTTCAAAAATGTACGACGCCAGACTGAAACCGTACGCCATAGTGGTACTGAAAGCAATCAAAAAGTCCATTTCCAAAACGTGGAAGTGATAGAGCGATCGCAAAGCGCCTGGAACGAACTCTCTGAAAGCAACAAGCTGAACTAGTGTTGCAAGAGCCAAGGATGCATGGAGAAAAGCCGGCTGATCTTGATCGACAGGTGCCCAGGCGAACACAAGCACGGGTATTGTAAAGGCTAATGTAGGAAGAAACCATAGCAAAGCTCGAGTTGTTTGCTTGGCTCCAAGCTCAATTTCAGGGTCTATGGTCAGAGGCGCCAAGCAAATATCTGGATCGTACTGTCGATAATGCTCAAACAATGTGCGGGCGCCTATCTTGATTGGATCGTAGTATATTTTCGTTGGATGTATTCCAACACTTGAAATTTCCTGCGTACGGTTCTTTTTCCTATTTTTGGCGCCGTTGTTTTGAACAGATCCGTCTGTTGATGTGTCGGTCAAGGTCGTCGTCTTATCAAGTCGACGTAATCTACGTAGAGGTCGCCAGGGGGCTCGCTCAGGTGCTTCGATACGGATGACACCTTTGGGCTGACCAGCACGCTCTAGACGCCGAGGGTCGGTGATGATGACCTCTAATACCTGTCCATTGAATCCAACGTGCTCCTCAAAGTTGTATCCCGTTTTTGTAGTCAGCAGCTTAATGACATCATCGACACAGAGGATGTTCATATCCAAGTCAAACTCCGCTCTAGCCAAAACCGTGTTCACTTGGTAGTTTCGGATAGCCACAATGCGATCAAGGGCGCGTGAAAGTCCTCCTTCGCAGCAACCACACTTCAAGCCCTTGATTCGGAGGACGACATGCTCAAATTTTGGGGGACCCTTTTCGGCATCCCTACAGTTATTGTAGGTGGCCGTAGAATCTAAGCATATTAGTAAACAGTCCTTGAACTATGCGAACGCAAGTAACAGGTGCCGGGTAAAGGATGGTTACAGTGTAGATCTGTAGTCTCGCAGTCTTCCTTCAGCCCACATTGACTCCCACTACTGGTCCCTGGTGCTGTTGCTGGAGATGAGTTTTGGCGGCTGATAAGACAACAATTTGAGAACGCAGCGAACGGAAGATGACGACCCATGCTATTTTGACATGGTTTGGGCTGTGAGCCTAGGGCTGAGGTCTCTTGAGGGGTTTGTACGTGAGACTGTGACGATGTTCTGCATTGAGGCACCGGTTCCAAATTTTCTTGCGCAGGCAGTAGACTTGGAGCTTTTTCGGGTAGTTCGAGATGCAAGCCCGATTCTTCTACGCGTTGGTTTTCTGCCTTTGACATTTCCGAGGGTGGTTCTGGTGTTGAGGGAAACACATCGGACGGATTTTGATGTAATGTCTTCCGGAATGTCTGTTCAGGCGGTGTTCCGTCAAGATCGACGCCAGAGGTATCAGGCGTATAAGGGGCCGAAGGGGAGCGTTGATGCTGTTGAGATGGAGGTTTGGCAGGCTGAGCATAGGGATTTCTCACGGGATAGGTCTCTGCGTAGGGGTTTGGCGTACCGGGTGATGCACGTCTGTTGTGGCCAGAAGCAGATCGCAGGATTTGGGCACGGTGTGTGCCGTCCTCGGGGGAGAGCATTTGCATTTCCATTTCTATTGTGTTAATTGTGTATCTCGGTAGTAATGGAAAATAATGTGGATACTGATGCTTCGAGAGAAGAGACGAGAGGGCGCAGAAAGATGGTCTGGAGTCTACCGGGGCTTGTATTACCAACAATCGGGAATGGCAATAGGTAAGGCACGCTTGAGCGAGGCTGCAGGTGCGCCTGCCATATTCATGGGATTGATCTCAGTGACATGGTGATGCTGTGTAGCACCTAGTAATAGGGACATGAGCATTGAAGCGTCGGTATACATTGCCAATTGGGGTTGGAGAATCATTTTCGAGAGTAATAGGCGTATTTTACTATACACAGAGCAACCGGGTGCGGTACTACCGGTGTAACGACAAATATCAGACGTCTAGGGAGCAAGCAGCACCTGTGTCCCGGAAGAAGGGCGTGCTGTAGGTGCATGCTAGGCAATGATATTCATGGTGCCCTGCTAGCTGCTTCTCAGATAGCAAAAGTCGCTTGAGAGTGTTGTAGGTATAGGTAAGGGATGAGGGCGAAGAAGAGCATCATTAGCACTCTAAACGCCAAGCGCCTGACACGTGATAGCGCGCTTTAGGAGCATGTTGCGTCATCAGCCATCACTGTCGCCTGCAGTCATGCACTTCTAGTAGACATCCGCACGTAACTACAGCGACTCCTGGACACTGTAATGCCGCAACATAGTGGCGCATATAGCATTACTTGCTGATTGACATGGTGACACCCGCCATGAACATTCAAAACTATCCTGTCGACCTCCCAAGTATACCATAACTACGCACGCCACGGATCGCGCCAACCCAGCAGGTGACAACAGACATGGCAGGCGCTCGCGCTCGATCGCGCCAGAAAGCTGAGCCGTCGATGCCAAGGAGGTCGGCACGGAGAGGGAATAAGACACGACCCGAGGAAGAGGTGCCAGCTGTGTTCCAGGATATGCTGCGCGAGGAAGAGGCATCCAAGGCTATCAGTGCCCATGCAGATGGCCCGCCGCAAAAGAAGAGAAAGACGGCGCCACCAACCACCAGTCCACGTCCCGCTGCTCTGCCCACACGGGTCTCGCCTGTGCCGTTGCACACACAGGCGCAAGCTACGGCTACAGTTCAGCCAGTCGCCGGCGAGCCTCAAAACACCAGCGGACGGCTGCGACAGACCATCATCGATTCAGACGAGTCGGAAGACAGTGATATGGAGTGGGAAGATGCGCTGGCCGATGGCGACGATAGCGACGACGACGACGACGACGCTGCTGAGGGCCGGGATACCGCACCACACATCGGTGACATCTCCATTGCGATTGGCACCAAAAAGACGGACGAAAATGGTGGGAAGAGAAAAGTACGACGGCGAGCAATAACCTCTGTCGATAAAAAGCGCCGTTTGGATATTCACAAAATGCACGTCCTCTGCCTGCTTTACCATGTCCACTACAGAAACGCCTGGTGCAACGACAGAAGAGTTCAGAGCACCCTGCGTAAGATTGTTTCCCCCAAAATACTGGCTAACCTCGTTCCGAACCCCGACCTCACACAGTATTCTGCATCCAAGCAGTTTATTGACGGGATGAATGATCTCAAGATGATGTGGTCTAAGCGATTCAACATCACCGCCCGGGGCATGCACAAGCCTCGATGGGCCGAGGTCGATGCCGCTATCCGTCCCTTTTCAGACTTTGACGAATTTGATAGCCCCATGGATAAAGATGATTTTCGTACTGCGGCGCATACTTTGCGGGGGTCTCAGGATGTTGGCACGCAGCTGTTTTGCGCCCTTCTCCGTGGAATTGGCATAGAAGCTCGCCTTGTCTGTTCCCTGCAGCCTCTGCCTTTCTCTTCTGCCGCTGAGCGTGTAACTCCACAAAAGACGAGTTTGCAGAAGAATACGATAGTAGTTGATCCGTATAACAAGCCAGCAGAGCCAAGTCCCACAAAACCCACATCACAGGGGCCCCGAAATAAGAGATTGTCAAGACTAGAGCGTGTAATGGGCGAACGGCATACAGTCCTGAACCATACTGGTGTGGCGCCTAAGAAACAGAAGGCATATCACACCCCGTATCCTGTATACTGGGTTGAAGCTTTCAATGCCGCATATCAGAAATGGGTACCAATCGACGTATTCTCTACATTCACAGTCAACTCGCCCGAGAAACTGGAACCACCGCTTAGCTTTCCTGACAACATTCTGGCTTATGCCATAGCATACGAAGCCGACTTTTCAGCGAGAGATGTCACACGACGATATGCAAAGTCATACAATGCCAAGACGCGGAAATATCGTGTCCAAAGTACACCTGGAGGGGACAAGTGGTGGCGACGAACTATGAAATTTTGGAATCGTAGATATCCGCTTGATAGAGACCAAGTGGAAAACGCTACCTTGGCGCGCAAGGAAGCATTGGAAGGTCTACCGCACAATGTTCAAGACTTCAAAGGACATCCCGTCTACGTACTTGAGCGGCATCTCAAGCACAACGAGGTCATTCACCCTCTACATCAGGTTGGAAAGGTGAATTGCGGCACTGCCATGAATCCCAAAATGGAGCCCGTCTATCGTCGGGTCAATGTACATACGGTCAGAACTGCAGACAAATGGTATCGCATGGGGAGAGATGTTAAATTTGGCGAACAACCCCTGAAGCGCGCGAAACCCAAGAAAGGGCGGAGGAGCTCCATTGATCCAGACATGGAAGGCGATGACGAAGCAGATGAGGTTGGGGCTGGTCTCTTTGCTGAGTTTCAAACCGAACTCTATGTGCCACCTCCCGTCGTGCGAGGCCGTGTTCCACGCAATGTCTACGGCAACCTTGACTTGTACGTTCCCTCCATGTGCCCACCAGGGGGTGTACATATTCGACATAAGCTTGCGTCCAAAGCAGCACGTCTCGTTGGTGTCGACTTTGCAGACGCCGTCACTGGATTCTCTTTCAAAGGCCGCCACGGCACTGCAATCGTGCAGGGTGTGGTAGTTGCGCAAGAATACGCCGATGCGGTACAAAGCGTGATTGAGGGCATGGAGTATCAGCAAGAAGAAGCAGAAGCAGCAGCGCGCAGAACCGAATCGCTTCGACTGTGGCGACGCTTCTTCCTTGGTCTGCGCATTGCAGAGCGCGTCAACGCCATTGAAATCGATGGCGAGAAAGGCCCAGCTATCGACGTGCAGGATGAGATTAGTAAAGAAGATCGAGAGCTGGCTGCCCAGGAAATGGCAGGTGGATTCTTTCCTGACGATGGCGCGGCTGCCGAGCCCTCCGGCAGTGGGTATCAGCCACGACACGAAGACGATACTGGTGGTGGATTCTTACCAGATAGCAGCGATGCTGACTTTGACGACGGTGGCGGTGGAGGCTTCATAGTAGACAAAGATGAAGCCGTAGCACCCACCACCCTAAACCGACACCAAAGCTTCGAAAGTTCCATTCTAGATGCACAACCACTTCTGCCCCCGCGTCCATGTAGTTGTGATGAAGTTTACTCTTCCGACGATGACGACGAGAGTGAGGAATGGCAACAACTAGAAGCTGAACCTTGTACGACTGCTGGAACTCGCACTAGTAGTGCGATACCCGTACAAGTCGACCCCCTTGCAAAAAAAGAAGCTGCACCAGTGATAATCCACGACTCTCTTCCGAAACACTCTCCACACCAGCAAAATGAGGAGCCGCAAGAAATAGCACCGGCCCCGGAACATGCAACGGATGCGTCCAACGGTATAGAGAATGCCGAAACCAAGTCACCTCCAGCAGCACACGTCCCTTCTTCTTCGTCGTCGCCATCGGAAACGGGGTCGCTCATGTTGGAAGATCCCGAGGACGAAGATGCAGATCCGGATTGGTTAGTCGATGCTACTTGAATTATTTTTATTCAACCATTTTGAATAGTCAAAGTCAAGAAGTGCAGAAATCTTTCCGTACCCATGTTTTTAACCATTTACTCTATTGAAAATTAAACTCGTTGGAGAATGACATTTTTTTGGGTGGGAGTTCATCATGAGCCCTTTGCCTCTGTCCATCACTTTGCAGTAACCAAAATACTACATATTTTTTGTCTAATTGCATGGAATGAATTTCACTTTCTCTTCAGCATATCCTCCAAGCCCTTAATCCCGCCCTCGAACCCCTCAAGATCATACTCCTTGGGATACCTCTCCAGCACATCCTTCAATTCTTCAGCATGCGCCCTCTGCTCCTCGGTCAAGGTCTCCCAAACGCCCTCGAACGCGTTCCGAATCGAGGGCTTCTTCTCCTTCTCCGCCTCCTCAAACGCGCGTAGGACCTCCTTCCGCATCGCACTCCTGGCCTCCTTTTCCTTGTCCTCGTCCCACAGCTCGCGGCTCTCGAGCCACTTTCGCAGCCGCGTAATGGGGTTGTCGCGGCGCTTCCAGTCCTCGACTTCGACGCGCTGGCGGTACGCAAACGAGTCGTCCGAGGTGCTGTGGTGGCCGACGCGGTAGGCCATCATTTCGATGAGGACGGGTTGGCCGCCGTCTTGGAGCGCGAGGCGCCGCGCTTGCGAGGTGGCGCGGCGCACGGCGAAGATGTCGTTGCCGTCGACGCGGAGGGTGGCGATGCCGTAGCCTGCGCCGCGGGAAGCGATGCCGTCGCCCCGGTACTGGTCCGAGGTGGGGGTGGAGATGGCGTACCCGTTGTTGCGGCAGATGAAGATGCAGGGGACCTGGCGGGTAGCGGCGATGTTGAGGGCAGCGTGGAAATCGCCTTCGCTGGCGGCGCCCTCGCCAAAGTAGCAGACTGCTACCCGGGGCTCGGTGTCTGGGTTCTGGATGTTTTGCATTTTGAGTGCGTAGGCGGCGCCGGCTGCATGTGGGATTTGGGTTGCGAGGGTGGAGCTAATGGTATGGATGTTTAGTTCTTTGCTGCCGTAGTGTACAGGCATGTTGCGGCCCAGGCCATTGTCCTTTGAGTTTGCGAAGAGCTGGTTCATGAATGAGGAGAGGGTGAAGCCGCGTTGGAGGTAGACGCCCGATTCGCGGTATTGGCAGAAGATGACGTCGGAGGGGGAGAGGGCGCTAGCGGAGCCGATGGATATGCCTTCTTCGCCAGCAGAGACCTTGGTCTGTCAGTATGTAGTTGCATGTATATGTGTGGTACAAAATACCATGTAGAATGACAATCTGCCCTGCCGTTGTGCTTCAAACATGAGAAGATCCATAATGCTCACTGTGCCATGTCAGCCTCAAACCCAAGACCAAAGTATCCATTCCACTGACGTTTAACCATGTTCTTGTACAGCGACAAGGCCTCTTCATCCGAAGTCTCAACTCCAACCTCCTTGTCTATTATCTCTCCGTACTGGTCCATGACGCGGTAGGTGGAAATGGCCTTTGCCTTTGACGGATGCATAAACTCCATGGTGTTTGTGAACTCGCTATTCAAGGCACCTGGGAACAGTACTCTGTAGCATCTCGTCAGTCTTTTTCCATTGCAGCACATGTCCTACGTCTCCACACTCACCTCTCCGCCGTGGGTGTCGAAGCAACACCCCGACATGTTGTCTGCCACGGCGAACCTGTCGGCCTGGCAGACGCATTGCTAGGACGAGCCCTTGGGCTCAATAGCCTCTGAAGTTGCAGTCTCCGCGAGGTATAGCGGAAAGACATGTTTGAATTATGCTACATTATGGAATATGCGGGGGAAGGTGGTATATCAAGCTGGGGAAGTGCGGGCGGCAAGCGTCGGCGTAAAGTGGACGTCTGGAGTGCGTTACCGCGGCCAAACATCCACGGCAACCACCGTCCGTGTCGAACGGTCCAAGCTACGCTGCATACAATTGGATTGCATTACATTATAACCCGACTAGACTACCCTTGCGTACCTGCAACCATGTTCGTACTAATGTGCGGATGTGCATCAGACGGGCGCTAGCAAAGAGGGCCCTCCCCGCCGGCTACTATGCGCGTGTCATAGCGCATCGAACGAAAGTCGAGATTGCCAAGGCCGCGTTTCTTCTGCTACAACCACCCACCACCTACCACCCCCAATTGCCCGAAGATGCAGGCTTCACGGCAGCAGATAGGACGTCAATTGCTCTCTGGGCGGAGGAGGCCAGCAGTAGGAGAAGCATACAGATGTTTCTCCTGCTCAACCAGACAAGCACGGCCTCAACAGCCTTCATCATCATCCCCGCCGCCACCACCACCACCACCTCCAAAGTCCCCGCAAGATGCACCGCAAACAACGCACTTTGGCTTTGAAACAATCGCCGAAGCCCTCAAGGAGCAACGAGGTATCCATTCCCCCCCACCCTTCTCACACCTCCCAACCCAAACCCTCAAACTAACCCCCACACACAGTCGCCTCCGTCTTCTCCTCGGTCGCCTCCTCGTACGACTCGATGAACGACTTCATGTCTCTCGGGATCCACCGGCTCTGGAAAGACCACTTTGTGCGGAACCTGAACCCAGGGCGGAACCCAATCAGCTCTGCTCCTTCCGACTCGCCCGGCATGACGATCCTCGACATTGCGGGCGGCACGGGCGACATCGCCTTCCGCATGCTGGACCACGCCTCGCAGATGAACCACGACGCGCACACGCGCGTCACCGTCGCAGACATCAACCCGGACATGCTGGCCGAGGGCCAAAAACGCTCCCTGCACACGCCCTACGCGCGCTCCCCGCGCCTGCAATTCGTACAGGCAAACGCAGAGCATCTCCACATGGTCCCCGACCAATCCGTCGACTTGTACACCGTCGCCTTTGGCATCCGCAACTTCACCCGCAAAGACGTCGCCCTCAGAGAGGCCTACCGCGTCCTCAAGCCCGGAGGCGTCTTCGCCTGCTTGGAGTTTAGCAAGGTCCAGAATCCCCTGTTTGATGCCGTCTATCAGCGCTGGAGCTTCGGTGCTATCCCCCTCATAGGCCAGTTGGTCGCCGGCGATAGGGATAGCTATCAGTACCTTGTAGAGAGCATTGCTAGGTTCCCCAGTCAGCAGGAGTTTAGTGACATGATTAGGGAGGCTGGGTTTTTGGTGCCTGGCAAGGGCTGGGAGGATTTGACCAATGGCATTGCCGCTATACATAAGGGAGTTAAGCCTGTTGGGGTGACGAAGAAGAAGGTGTAAAGATATTTTTTGAGGGGATTTTTTTTTAGGTTTTTCTACTCATTAGATGCGGGGGTTGGTTTTTTTTTTGGGGTATGATTAACTGTCATATCTCATTTTCCAAAAAAAAGCAGATTCTTAATGGCATAGACATTACACTCTCAAGAGACTATTACAACGACATGAGTGGAGTAATAACATATTCATTTCATAGCCAAAGACGACGGACGAACTTGACCAAGTTATATCAGCTCACCACCAGCCTATGTTAAAAAAAAATTGCGCCCCCTCCTCTCCAAACCCAATGTCCCAAGAAAAGCCAACCCGAACCCCCCTCCCCCCCCAAAAACGCCATTCGCCCACCTTTGTGCATCAAAGCGTATTGTAATCTACAAAACGACAAACTATTGTGGACTTTGAGGACCATTTCCCTCGCCAATCCCATATATCTGAGAGTTAGATGTTCCTTCCCGGATAATATGCAAAGCCCACTATGACTGGCAGAAATAAAAACAAAAAGAACGCCGGGCCCATCCAGCTCCAGGCCAAGATAGCCATGTAAAAACAACTCAATCTGAGAAGGAGAAAAACAAAATAAAGAAGTGGAGAAGTGAAGGGAAAAAAAGATTCAAAAAACTATACAAATTTATCCCATCATATACGAACCCGTTCAAGAAGGTGATGAAGAAGAGGAGGGAAGAGAAGAAAAAAAAAAAAAAAGATGAACCCCTCAGGGTAATAACAATTATGACAACGCCCCTCGAAAACAAAAGCAATGTAATAATATAGTCAGAGAAGAATCAATCAAGGTACTTTGTTGTAATGTCGCGTCGAGCTTTTCTTTTCTTTGCTTTTTTATTCTTTAGCGGAAATAGGATGCGCGCTTGCCTGCACTGCCGGCGCTGAGCCTGCCTCTTGCTTCCTCAAGACTACGCCGGGAACCGCCGGCGCCAATCTCGCTCATCTGGAACAGCAATGGTTCGTCGTCATCTACGTTGGCTGCGGTGCGACTGTTAAAGTTGTAGCGACTTTGGCGCTCAGTAGAGCTCGTGCCACCAGTACTGAGACTTGTCGAAGAGCTGTGTGAGAAGAATCCGGATCTGTCCCGGGGACCACCAGCCTGGGGGCCGCACTTGGCAGCAATGTTTGACGTAGAGGCAGGCCGAGGCAAGTCTTCGCGAGAGTCGTTATCGGTATTTTGGTTGTTGCGGTTCGCCAGCATCTCGGTTTGCGCAAACAGCCCGCTAGAGGTGAGACCGGCGCTGGTGAGGCGATGCAGATCATTCGCCCGGTCAACCTCTTCTGATGGTAGACTGGCTGAGCGCACACCAAACACATCTGGTTCATCATCAGGCAAAGTGCGGCCCTGTTGAGCTACCGAACTTGACCTGCGGGTGTAGTGCCAGGGGCGTGGCGAGGTGGGGATGGCGATACCGTTGCCGTTTTGGTCTTCGTTCTCGCTTTGCTCTTCCACATGAACTGGATCGTGGTCGTGTGACCTTCTGTTAGGTCGACTCCGACTTCGTGTAGGCTGGTCATATTCAATAATGCTATTGGCACTCAGGCGAGATGGGATGGCGGGCGTATGGGGAGTATGAGGTGAAATAGGCTTGCCGGGTGATGATGCTGTCGAGACCGAAGTACCGGCAATCATTGCAGGCACGCTGGACAGATGACGGCTTGACGAGGACGATGAGCGATGAAGCATGGTCGAGGAAGAAACCGACTCGGCAAGGCCTGTGTGCGACTCTCTCATGCGCTGGTACTTGGACAACTGAGCAGTCGTCTTATGCATAGTGGCTGTCTTGGCGGCATTATCGCTGCGAGTAAAGCTCTTGAGGTCCTTCTTTGATTCCAGAAGCTTGAGAAAGTCGGAAATGTTCTCGTCGTCTGTCCTGACCTCTCCCGAGCTGCCACCAGCACCCTCGTTCAAGGTATCGGACCCACGTTGTACCGATGATGACGGACTGGCCTTTCCACTGCTAAGATTGTCGTCTTCTAGTTTGCTACCACCGCCAGAGGAGAACTTGCTCCTCCTGTGGCCAAAGCTGCTGCTGTAGCGATTGATGGGCGCAGGTTTTGGCGAGCTAGATGCAGACGATGCGATGGCGGCCTCGTTGGGCAATGAAGGCGCTCGGAGAGCAGCCTGGGGGAGGGCGTTGAGCGAGGTGCGGTTGCGTGGCTGATGGAGCGGACTAGGGGTGACGTTTCGGCCTAATGAGCTGCCCGGCCGTCCCAAGGAGCTGGTGGGCGAGCCAGGAATTCCACCTCCAGGTGCTGGCGACGACGAGAGCGAGCCGGCTTTGAATGGTTGGAAGGAGACGGATGTTCGCCGCTGATGTAGAGGTGTGTCGACCGAACGCAGCGACGACTTGGAGCCTTGTGCAGTGCGATGGTTTGGTGGCAGTTTCTGTGGTGGCGACTCTGTTGGTGACGACGACGGCATATCTCGAACTGCGCGGAGGGCTGAGATTGGGCTGGTGCCTGTGGGTGGGCCGACTTGGTGAAAGGTCGAAAGGCTGCCGTATGCTTGACCAATGTCGGGCGTCTCTTGGGCATTCATTTTATCCACGGGCAGCGAGCCGGGCATCTGGCGGGCTTTTTGCTCAAAGTAAGTGTCATCCAAGCCCATGAATTGCGAGCTCAAGAGGGATTCCGAGTTTTCCACGGTGAACTCGCAGTTGGCACGATATTCGACAGTGACAAACAAAGGGCCGACGGGCGAATTTGTAGGCTCAATGTTTTGGACCTCTGTAATTTCATCTGGGTTTTGGTTTGGGTAGAGCGGCAGTCGCAGGGTATCGACATGGGGGCTCCGGAAGTCTCCATTGGATATGCGGTAGTTGAGTTTTAAAGAGGGAGCAGTGGCGGGCTGTTTGGCGAGAAGCTTGTTGTATCTGAATGCTGGCATAAAGCGAAGGGAGGCGAAAAGCGATCGGAAAGTGACAACGGCTTTTTTGTAAACGTTGGGGAGCGGGTCGTTGAGTTCTGACGGCTGTACTGAACTCTTATCTCCGACGTGCACTCTCCAGCGCTCGAGCACCACCTGCGTGGGCTTGGCAGCACGACTTGAATAACCAGCAGCGGCGTCGGCAGAGTTGAGCGCAGTGGCAACATCCCATTTCTTCCCATCGTCGTCCTGAATGGCAAGGGACTGTGTGTGTCCGAGAGCTTGTATGTCTAGGTAGATGTCGATGCAGAGGGACGGGTGTTGGCCGGCCATGGCGTCCATGACTTTCCAGTCGGTCAGCTGGCGCTGGAGGGCGTCGCTGTCGGGGAGAACAACATTGAACTGGGAGGAGATTAGTACGTGGGGCGAGTGGAGAGAGAAAGAGAGAGAGAGCGCGAGAGGGGCGGGGCGTAGCATACCCATTTGTTCTGCTTCAGATTGCCATCCTTGTTGTATGCTGGGGGTAGGACTACTCGTGAGGATATGACGGCAAGAGCTGCCTTTGTGAAGAAGTTCTGAGTAAGAAGAGAGTCAGCATAGGTACAAAGGACATATGGCGTAGTAGTAGTAGAAGAGGGGCAGGGCAAGGCTAGGTACCTGGATTACTTGGTTGACCTTGTGGTAGTGCTTCTGGTCGGACTGGGCAGGGTGGTCTCCTCCTCGCGACATCATTTCGCCCTCGGACTCGTCGGCGGCTCGGTCAGAGTAGGGAGGGGTTGTTGAGTAGGTAGGCATGTCCATGGAGGTATGCCGCTGGTTGTTTGTTCGCGTGGGGTTGGTCTGGAGGCTGTTGGCGGGTGAGGCTGTCCTGGGCGAGGGGCGCGAGTAGGGATTCATGGCGGCGGCCTCGTGCAGGTACCGGAGAGCAGAGAGAGGGCTTGGGACGACGAGGCTTCGGGTCGGGGTGCAGGTAGGTTAGGTAGGACGGTTATCGTTGCGGCGGAAACAGGCGAGCATGGATGCGCGTAGCCATCACGAGTTCAGGCAGTGTCAGGTTGGCGCCGGGACAGTCAGAAGTGTCTCTCAGGAGACTGGAGCACGCGGGGTACTTGTGGGCGCAGGCAGGAAAGCAGGCAGAAGGGCAGAAAGGCGGGCGGGCTCAGGCAGCAGCCATGATGTAGAGCGACAAGTGTGGGCGGGCGAGGGTTGTTGGGGTGGGTGTGTGTGTGCTGGCTCGGGCGAACTTGGAGCTGAGCACCTGGTTGGGACAGGCGAAGGGCGGCGATGCGATGCGCTGCGATGCACCACCACGACACGGCCAAGGAGCGAGAGCGAGAGCGAGAGAGTAGCAGCAGCAGCAGCAGCAGCAGCAGGCAGGTGACGGCGATGCTGGCGAGCAGGCGGGGGGGAAGTCAAGCAGTCACGCGGCGAGGGTGGAATGACGAGCAAAGGCGAGAGAGCAAGCAAGCAGAGCTGAGCTAAGCTCGAGAGCAGCGATAAAGCTATCGGAAGCTGCAGGGAGGCAAGCGAAGGGAAGGCAGCCAGGCAGTGCGCAAGACGGATGAGTCGAATCGAAAGCGTCAAAGACAGGCAGATGCACATGGGGCGCTGGGGACGAGCAGGCTTGGGCCCGGTCTGGGGTAATTCGCCTGCCTGGCTGCCTGCCTGGCTGCCTGCCTGGCTGCCTCTGCTCTCTTTTCTTTGGGCGTGCGTGTGGGTGAGGTGCTCGAGGCCGCTGGTGACGCCCACGTACAGGTTGCTGCATGCGGCCGGATCGGGATGCAGCTGATCGCGCGCCATCTCCCCGGCCGCCTGCGACGAGGCCCAGTTGCAGTGTGCACATGTACATACGTACGTAGTACGTACTGCACCCATCTGGCTAGCCGTCGCTATCTACCCTCTGCCGTCCTCCATCGTCACATGGCGTGCCCGGTCCCCGCCAACATCTTCCACCGTCCAGCGCCCTGACCGGTCGCACAACACGGCCGGCTCGTCTGGCCCTCATCTGGACACACCCGTCGTCGGTCAGTTGCGGCGAGGCGCCAGCGACCATTGCGACGAGTCGGTCGCTGCCAGCAGCCGAGTGCATATGCGCGGCAGGCCGTGGCATCCATCATGTCCTTCCATATCGTCATCCACTGCCTGTTGCTTTTGCTATCGATACGCGGCTTGGCGCCTCGCTCAACAACCACCGCCTCCATGCCTCCCCATGCATCCCACACCCAAGGAACCCAAGACGCTGAGCACCCACCTGTTCCAGCATCCACGCACCGGCAGCCTCGCTTTTGCCTCGTCCATTGCTTTTATTGTCTCGTGAACCCCGGCCTGGTCGCCACCACCCACAGTCGGCCCTAGCTTACCAGAGTACCTCGCAGCACCCTGGCCAAGTTCGCCCTGCCAACTGCTTCTAGCTCCCTTCCAACTCTGCCCCGAACCCAACTCCACTACACCCACGCCGCCGCACGTAGCTGCTTGACCGCCTGCCACGGTGGAGCAAAGCGTGCGCTGTATATATTCTTCGTGTCGTCACCTTGCCCGTGCCTGTCTGCCTGCCTGTCTACCGCTGCTGCTGCTGCTGCTGCTACTATTGCTGCTGTCCCCGTCCCTCAAGCTCACCATCCCCTCCCCTGTTGCCATGTCTGCCACCCGAGGTCGGAGGGTCTGGTGACGCCAAAGCCATTGCCCCATACACCGTAATCGCTCCTTGCCGTCGACGCTCCATGCAACGTCGACCTCCGAGAGCAGCTTGTGGAGGAGAGACCATCTCCTATTGGTCAGCCTTTGGCGACCTGCCGTAGAGACATGCCCGCCATGCGCTTCACAACCACAGTGTCTTTGCGACTTGCTTCTATAACTCATCTCCTTCGCCTCCGTCCTCCAACTAACTAGCCCAACTATTCGCAAAGTAGAGAGTGCCCCCCCCCCCTCTGACTCATCCGTCTTCGACATTCGCGCCCCTCCGACTCATCATCCCGCTCGCTATCGCCTCGGTAGTTTCGTCATCGATACCATCGCTCTAGCACCATCCTATCTTCCCACACCCAATTCGCACCCCGCCACCCGCGCCTTGCCCTCTGCCTCCCCAACCCATTCGCGCCCGCCCAGCAATACTATCGTGCCGTTGTACTCTGTGCTCCTCCGCTGCCCATCTACCACAGACACTGAACAGAAATCGCCAATCTCGCGACGAATTGCCACCTTACCCCTTCCCTCCGTGCGCCCACCAACCACCAACCACCACCACCACCACCGCCGCCCCTTCCTTACCCCCTACGCACTCCACGTCTCCGAACCCTCCACAAAAATCTAGACTTGGTCGCATATATTTAACCAAGTAATCGCCTTCGGCACCCCCCTCCCCTCCGCCCCGAGTCGTCCACAGCTTTACAGCGAGCACCTTTAAATACGCTTTGACCCAACGAGGTTGAGGCCAGGTGCTACTCGTAAAAGCTTCGGATTACTCCTTCCTCCAACCAGCACATGAGCGGCTATCTCTGGAAATACTTTCTCGAAGATGATGTCGACAGCTTTCGGCATGTCCTCGCAACACCCACGCACACCAACCGGCCGGCAGCACAGAAGAGCCTGAGTGGCTGGCAGTCGGGCCCATCTCCCGCGCCTACAAATGGCAGTCCGGGTAGCTACAATGCTTCTCCCATGACAGCTGCAAAGGCTCGCAGAACAGGCATGGGTGTAGCCGCCAGCTTGAGTCGCTTTGACATCAACAGTCGCGATGCCGCAGGAATGACTATACTGCATCATGCCGCCTCATCCATGGCCGACAGTGCCGTCGATTTTGCACAAGCACTGCTAGAGCACCCCTGGACAGACTTGTACATTCAAGATGCCGAAAATGGCTGGACCGCCCTCCATAGAGCCTTTTACTTTGGCAACATTGCCATTGCACGCCTCATCTTGAACAGAGATGCCCAGGACATTTTAGGCCAGGGCTCCAGCGCTTTCAACCAGCATGCCCGTGGACTTGTCAAGATCAAGGACAAGGAGGGTTATGGTCCCCTAGACTTGTTCTCCATGACCATCAAAGACCGGACTTTACGCCCGGAAGAGGGTCCTATTCTTGATTCAGATTCGGACGATGAATTGGCTCACGCAGACAGCGCTGACATGGATGACGAAATGCGCAAGAGGCTGATTGCCCCGCCCGTCTCGCTGGATGGCGATGAAGTGTACACGTTTGGCAGCAACAAAAATGTAACCCTTGGTTTCGGAGATGAAGATGATCGGCAATTCCCTGAACGCATCACTTTGCGCAGACCAGATCACCTTCTGCAACGTTTCTACAGGGAGCACCTTGACCGGCAAAACCAACATTTTGCAGCCTTGGGCATTCCCACTCAGGACTCGAGCCCGCAACCGCGCAGTACAGTAGACTTACCGATACATATTCGAAACACGCCAATACTCATTCAAGATGTTCGAATGTCCAAGTTGCACACCGCTGTACTAACGGCAGATCCAGTTTCTAACTTGTACATGTGTGGCCATGGCCCAGGTGGTCGCTTGGGCACAGGCAACGAAACTACGAGATATCAGTTTACCTGTATTGAAACTGGTGGATTGGGGCACAAGCACGTTGCCGCCATCGCTCTGGGGCAAAATCATACTTTGGCAATTACAGAAGAAGGCGAAGTCTTCTCATGGGGCAACAATGCTTACGGACAACTTGGTTATGCATTGCCCAAGCCAGCCGTGAAAGACGATGACCCAATCTCGACCATACCACGACAGATCTTTGGACCGCTCAAGCGCGAAATCGTCACAGGCATCGCCGCATCGCGCATACACTCAGTTGTACACACATCCACTTCCCTGTATACATTTGGCAAAAATGAAGGCCAGCTGGGCATTGTCGACTCCGACGCTCGATCTTTGGGAATGCAAGTCATCCCTCGGAAGATTGCCGCTGCCCTCTTCTCCAGTCCCATTCATTCGGTATCGGCTATCGACGGTGCAACAATATGTCTCTTGGAGAATCGTGAAGTCTGGGTTTTTGCAAACTATGGTTACGCAAAAGTCAGCTTTCCTTTGGATGGATTCACGAGCAACTTCCTCAAAGAAAGTTGGTTAACCACCAAGTACGACACTGCACCCAACAAAATCAGCAAAATCACTTCGGGCGGAGACACCATATGTGCACTGTCCACTTCGGGCGAAGTCTTTACTGTCGCCGTCAGCCGGCGCTCCGAATCCTCGCAAGACTCTGGTACCTCTACAACGAATCCTAAACAGATTAGGGGAGCTCTCTCTGCCCCTTTCCGTATTTGGTCGTCTAAGAAGAGTCACATGGCAGCAAGGGATGTGGATGTTGACCAGGACGGATCCATCATATTGACGACCGAAGTTGGTAGTGTCTGGAGACGCACAAAAAGAGCCACCATCAAAAACGCGGCAGTCACAGCTGCTATCGAAAGCAAACCAAAAGACTACAAGTTCCAGCGCGTTTCAGGTCTTACTCGAGTTATTGCTGTCCGGGCGTCTGCTTTTGGGGCATACGCCGCGATACGCAAGGATTGTGATGTTACCCGGACACAGATAGGTGTCGATGAAGCCAGCCTGTGGGAGAACTTCTCGCCTTTGCTGGCTTTCCACGAGTTGACAAACTACGAAGAGACGTCTGACGATGAGGAGCCTACGCCGAGGTTTTGGACAAGGGGCGCAGACGCACAAGGCCTTCGCAAGCGAGTTCTCAAATCCAAAGATCTGGAAACTGAGACAACAGAGGTTGTGCAACGTGCGTTGGCAGCATCCGACCGCTCTTATAACATGGAGCTTGGATCTACTCTGTCTGATGTCCGCATCCCTGTGCATGAGTTTATCCTGGCTGGACGCAGTCGCATCTTGCGGGACGCTCTACTCGACTTCCGTGTCAAAGGCTCCGACTACGCCATTCCGGATTTATTGACCATAAAGGAGGACGACCAAAAGCTCGTCTTGATATTCCAAGGTATCGACTTCTTGACTCTTTTCAACTTGGTCCTGTATGCCTACACCGACTCAGTTGTCGATTTCTGGAACGTCACTCGGCACTACCCTACCATGGCACACAGATATCGCGCCGTGAGGACTGAACTGATGAAGATTGCTCTACGTCTGGAAATGCGGCAACTTGAACCTGCTGTGCGACAGATGGTACATCCGCGAAAGTCTTTGCACGTCGATATGGAGCTGGCTATCAAAGACGAGTCCTTCTTCCAAAGTGGCGATGTCATTGTCGATCTTGCCGACGGTGAAATGTTACTGCACTCGGATGTTATCTGCCAGCGCTGTCCCTTTTTCGAGGGCCTGTTTAGAGGACGCGCTGGTGGTCAATGGCTTGCAGGAAGACAAAACGACGAGTCTTCTCTGATTCACATCGATTTGACTCACGTCGAGACGCGTCTTTTTGAGCTTGTGGTTCGCCACTTGTACACAGACGCTGGCGAGGAGATTTTTGCAGATGTTACAAGCGAAGATCTCAACGACTTGCTGGCCCTCGATGAACTACTCGACCATGTCATGGACGTCATGTCTGTTGCCAATGAGCTGATGTTGGACCGTCTCTCGCAAATTTGCCAGAGACTGATTGGTCGTTATGGTATGTTGACACTACATGATTATTGCATATCATCACTAACCCAGTTACAGTCAATGCTCGAAATGTTTGTTCTCTTCTTACAGCAGTCGCACCTAGTTCGGTGGCAGAGTTCAAGGATGCCGCTCTTGAATATGTTTGCCTCAGTCTAGAAGCGGTCATGCAAAATGGCTCTCTGGACGAATTGGACGAGGACTTGCTACTAGAGCTCAACCAGGTTGCTCATGAGAACCAGCTTGCCTACTTGCCGTTTGCGCGAAGTGGGCGGGCTGAGACACTTTTGTTTGATCGATACCCGGAGCTTGCTGAAAGGATAGAGCGAGGAAAGCGCGCCAAGATCGACGCAATAGTGTTGTCGAACAAATATGCAGAGAGCGAGAACATGTCAAGCTCCTTCAGAGCACAGAGTCTAGAAGAGGTAGCAGCCTCGCCTCTCCGCCAGCGTAACAAAAGGCGGGCGTCCAAGGAGGTCAAGAGTCCTGCGCTGGCTCCCACGCTCCAAGGCAAGTCTTCTGCCCAAGACTTGATGTTTGAAATGTCGGATGGAGAGGAAGAGACCGACATGCCCAAGAGAATCAAGCCCCCACGTTTCACCGAAGAGGGAGAGGTCGAGAGGGGAATTGAAACACCCATCGGGTCCCTCGAGTCGCCCTGGGGATCTGTTCAGAAGCCAAGCCGGCCATCACTGCAAAGTTTTGTAAGAGACGGAGACATTCCTCTCAAATCTGTTAGTCCTTCACCACCACCTGCCATCAAGGAGACAAGGCCGCCCGATCAACCTTGGGGTACAGCACCACTTGCAGGCCCTAAGCTTGATCTCAAAGACATAATGGCCCAGGATTCTTCAGCTACGCCTTCGAATCTATCGCTCGGATTCTCTCGAGGAGAGAACGAACGCATTGCCAAGGCAGCACATACAAAGCTTTCTCAAAAGGAACGCAAGCGCCTTCAACAGGCTCAGCAACTCGGCACATCAATCGAAAAAACACAACCTGCGCCGCCAGCTGTGTCGCCATGGCAGGCTGCTGCGCATCGGAAACCAAGCGCCCCTCCAGCTATATCTCCGGTAGCACAACCACAGCCTAAGCCTTCGCCACAGCCTTCGCGTGCCTCCAGCACACCTCAGCTGACCATGCGCCAAACCGTTGCGAACAAGGGAGGAAACTCCAAGCAAAGGGAAAAGCGTAACGCATCGCAAAGCCAAGAGGCGCTCGGCAGTCCGTCTCCTTCAAAGACCCGTCCCGCAGCTTCTGAGCGAGGAATGTCAGTTTCAACAGATCCAATTCCTACACCTCGGTCTGTGCGCCATATCCCTCTACCCCAACATTCTCCGACTTCACCCAGTCAGCACCTCAGCATGATGGAGATTTTATCACTGCAAGAGGCTGAAAAGACGTCAATACGCGATGCAGCAGCAAAGCGTAGTCTTCAAGAGATTCAGCAGGAGCAAGAGTTCCAACAGTGGTGGGATCAAGAAAGCAGGCGCGTCATTGAGGAGGAAGAGCAGACAAAGCGCCTAATAGAGCGATACTCCAAAGCTGCTGGCCAGGGCAGAGGCAAGGGAAGGAATCCAAAGGGAGCAAAGGCAAAAGGACAGGACAAGAAAGACGGCGGCCAAGACGCTACACACGGCAAAGGAAAGAAGGAATCAAAGCCTGGTCCTCTCCCTCCTCCCCCTGCCTCTGCCAGCGAGAATCCGCAACCAAAAGCACCTGCAAAACAAGACGGTGCCAGCCGAGGCGGCCGAGGAAGAATCGGTCGTGGTGGGCGTGGTGGTTCTCGAGGCGGACGCGCTCAGGGAATACCCAGAGATGGTGCCGCGTCGCAGCAAGGACCAGTTGCCACGGCGTCGCAGTCTTGAGTTGTCGGAAACACCATAATTTTTTTTTTAATTGTATATAATAACATGTAGAATTTTGAGTATATTTAAAAAATGAATTTTTTTTTCATGTAATCATGTACTACTTTAATAGTTGAACGTAACAATGGACATGTAGAGAAGAAAAAAAAAGTTCACGTGTACTTTTTTTTTTCTTTGAACCAAGACATTTTTTTCATCTTGCAGGTGTTGAAGTAACATTATATGTCACATGGTCGTCGCATGAAGCCATTCCACTTTCAACATTCCCAATCTTTCATTATTCAATAAAACAGTCTGATTTTTTGTTTGAATTAAGAAAAAAACAAGTAGAATTTCCTATTATACACATGTACCATGCATAGGGCCCAAAGTCGCTTTTTCTTTTCTTTTTTCTCTTTCATCCTCTCCCTTCCCTTCATATCGACCCACCCCCACCCATCCATGACTCTTCTTCATTTGTAACTTTGCTCGCAGAGGAAAAAAAAAAAAAAAAAAANCCCCCCCCGAAAAGAAAACTTGTGCAAAAAAAAAAAAAAAGGTCGGAGAAGAGAATAAACAGGCTTGCACTACAAAACTCATCACCCACACACACCCACACACACACAATCGATACTATATGCCTGATCTTATAATGTCCAGCAGCTCAAGCAATAACCGGGATTCGAAAACCTCGCGATAGCAATCAGAAAAAAAAAACCCCCCATGGAACCAAGGGAACCTGCTAAACCTATCTGCTCGTAACCAGCAAGTTGCGGTAGTAGCTCGTGCTAAGGTCAATCGAGTGTTTGAGCCAAAGATCCTCTGTAAGCGGGAGTTTGAGAATGGAATTGCGGTTTGTGCGCTGCGGTGAACTTAATTAGTCCTTTTGCCCAGAGTTGATGATGGAACGAAGTTTCAGAGGGAGGTAGGAAAAAAAAAACATACCTGGTTCTTGGTGATGAGATTGGCAACGGTACCAGCAATGTCCATGAGAGCGACACGCTCTTCAAGTCCGCATGCACCGAGTCTATCGCGGCCGGCGATTTCGAGGGCGCGCTGGAGCTTGACGAGAAGTTCTTCGACCCGGCTCTCGAGTTCCTCGTCGACACGGTATGACGAGCGTGCGCCCGTCAGGTCGATGAGCTCAATGTAGTCAAAGTAGATTTGTCCGCCTTGGGCCCAGCCTTGGACTGGCTCCCGTGGAAGTGGGACGTTTGACTCCGCAACGAAACCGGCCATAAGCTCACGTAGGGCGTCGTAGTCGCGAGAGATGATGGCTTCTGGACCGACCTTCCTGCACAGCACCTCGTGTGCCTCTTCAAACTCATCCGCCTTGATGAGATGAGTTGCCTCACCAAGAGCATCACCGCTCGACTTGGCGTGCAGAGCGGCGGCTGCATGTAGCCATGTTGAAGGGACATGGAGATCTGCTGTGAGGTGTGTATAGGTGGGGTTGCTGTCTTCCAGGGAGAACAGACCAGAAAACTGGGTGACTAGAGAGCGGATGTAGTGCTCACGCATCGGTGCAAAAGACAGATGGGTGTAGACCCAGATTGCAGTCGTCCAAAGCTCTGCTGTGTGTAGCGAGGATGCATACGTGAGCGTAATCTTATCGTTCAGCTCTACAAGCGGATCCGCTGCTTGGACATCGTCCGCAGCACCTGGTGCAGTCCATGACTGCAATGAGCGGCGGAATCGGTCGTCGCTGTTATCTTCGGAACGGACCGTGGGCATGGCCACCTTGCGTTCATCTGCCTCGCTAACGTCTTCTTGTCGTGACTTGAAGAGCTGGAACAGCTGGAATGAGAGTCGAGCGTTGAAAGGGTTGCCAGAGACGTTCTCAGGAGCCAGAACATTCTCAATGTTTGCAGGGAGGTCCATCTTCGCAGAGGCATAGAGCTTCAAGATGCCCCAAAGGAGGTCTTCTCGATGCTCCGGACTAGGATCTTTCCAGCCCATGTCGACCTTGTCCTTGACGAACCAAGGGACAGGCTTGACAACTTCCCTGCCATCCCTGACTGCGTCCGCAAACTGGGCGATGGCCATTTCGATAGGTTCATTGGCAAGTGTGCCGTACCACAAGCGTAGTCCGAAAGCGCGCCGCCAGTCGAGACCGAAGCGATTTGAGATGTTGAAGGTAGAAGCCCGATTTTCACTGCCTGCTCCACTCTTGCCCTCGGATTGGGTGCAGTTACCAGCAAGAAGCTCATACAACGCCCGATGAGCATCTTCCATTTCGGAAAGTGTATCAAGGCGACGCCACTCATCAATTTGAGCAGACATGCTCTGTCTCATTGTCTCATCACCTCCAATCTGAGCAATCATCGTAGCAAGTCGGAGATCCAGGCCGTCGAGCAAAGTATGGCAGGCATCAGCAACATTGTTGCAGCTAAGATGCGCAAGAGCACGCTCTTCAGGAGATGCAGCTGCTTGGACATGTTTCTGTGCATCGTCCCATACCAATAGCCTCCAGAACTCTGAAAGCCTCTCCTTTCGATACAACTTCATTTCCTCCACTTGGATACCCGCAGGGACCCTGTCAGCATCATCAAACAAAAGCGAAAGTAGCTGCCAAGCCTGTTGCTCTTGAACACCTGCAGTGGTATCAAGTGCAACAGCTTTCGCCATGCTAGAAAATTCCACTGGAGCAGGATCGGTCATAAGCTTCGCTGAGGGAATGCCGGCTGGAGTGTAAATTTTTGTGTGTTGTTTCTGGACAGACAGAGTCTCGGGTGCAGCCTTTGGTTGTTAGTATGCGCTTTCTGGCATCACGTATCGCCCTCTACTTACATCATTGAATGTGGGCATTTTCGCAAATCGGATGTCCTTGGTAGCGCCAACAAGTGGTTCTTGAGCAGTCGGAAAGACACCGCCTTCGAGATGCGCAGGACCCTTGTTGCCGTAGATCAGGATGTTCCCTTCGCTGAAGTGTGGTTTGCTACAGGCATAAAAGTCTTTTTCGGTCTCATTTAGCTGGTCGAGGTCGGATGAGGTCTTTGGTCGCTTGGAATAAGGTAACTAGAAAAAAAGGTTTCAGCAATCTTGTCCATTCATGACTACATACGTGGGCGGACATAAGGTCCAAGCGTCAATCTATGAAGGAAAGCCATGTAGGAAACCTGCCACAGACCACGCCCCCATTATATTAAAACGCCACAGGGGAGGGGAAGTCAAACCTCAATACCATGTCCACCACGCTTAGGAAAATGTTGCTTTTCCGTCTCACCGAAAAGCGAGTCCATGAGATCCATGGCTGTAGTCATAGGACGACCACGAAACGACTGCGAGAAATTTGTGGGTTGAAGTTCTTGTTCTCGCAGAACATGACCCTGACTTTCACGAAGGGCCTGTCGATCTTGCTTCTTGGGACTAATAGTACGTTGTAGCTGATTTGCCCAATCGTCATCGAACACTGGCTGTGCTTTGGAAGGTGTACCTGTTGCCGGCTTGAGAAATTGACCGGCCTTGAGAATAGATTTTGGCATCAGTGAGCCTCTTGAAATTTCATCCTTGGCGGCGAATTGCTCCGTGGTTTGAAATGGGCTCGACGCAGAATCCGCCATGTTCTGGTCACGCGCCAATTCCGATTCGCTTTCTTCATAATAGTCAGCGTCATGCTGTCTATCAAGCGAACCCACGGAGCGCTGCCCTAAAAAAGACTCGCCGTGGGTGTCTTGCATCTCTTCTTCGTCATCATACAGACTGTCGTCTCCAAAGCCACCTGGCACGTTAGTACGCCCTCCACGCATGCCCTTCTTGAAATCAAACGTGTCGTCAGGGCTAGACTGTGTGGGACTGGCAAATGAGTCGTCCTGTGGCGTGCTGGTCATTTGGCTTGAACGATGCTGCTGATCCAGGGGTGTATCTGGGACATCGCTAAGCTCACTTGAAGCATCCTCGTCCTCATCCTCGCTATAATCATCATAATCCAGACCGTACGAAGAGAAATGTGGGACGGTAAAGGTCCATTCACCGGTGGCTTGGTTGTAATCGACAAAAGTAGTTCCAGCAACTCGCTTGAGTCGCTCCAGGTGCTTGACATCCTTCTTTCCAGCCCTGTTGCGCGGCCAGGAGTTGCCAAGCACAATCAGAGAGGGCTGGTTCAGGGCAGAACCAAGTGGAGGCTTCGGCAGACAAGTGCAGGTCTCGCCGTAGACAGTAGCGTTTCGTGGGTTGAGCTGAACAATGTCACCGAATAGCTTGTCGAGATTGACTTCAGATAGATCGACAGGCTTCCCATGGTTGAACTTGATCTCACCAATGTGCTGACGGCCCACAATGAAGTTGGGGACGCTCTTCAGCTCCTGCTTGCTCATCTTCCTCAGTTTCTCCATGGATGGGCTGGACCAGTACTCGCCCGGCTTAGGGTCTTGTCCAGGCTGAATATTGACCGATGACATCGACTTGGGGGCAAGCGCATTGTCTTCATAGACACGTGCGAGTTCTGTGCCGTTGACTTTTTGCATTTCTGGGGGAGAGTTGTCGCTACCTCCGTCATGGCTTCCAGCCTTGGGTGAACCCTCATCATCATCCTGTCTGACGATCAATGCAGTCTCTCCGTTAGTGTTGCCGTTGACAGTCTCACCCGCAGCAAAACTGACACGCTTCTGCGATGGCTCATCAAATAGTGGAGTACGGGCAGCATTGATGTTGCGGTTGATGTTAAGTCGCTTCAGACTACCATTGCCAAAGTTGCGTCCAGTGGTCGAGAATGCACCCGGAGCCAGAATGCTGGTGTCAGCAGCGAAGTTGTTGCGTAGGTTGCTGGAGGATATGCTCTTCCCTAGTGACCGGGAAAGACCACCGTTAGCGAAAAGACTTCCGCCCAAGTTAGGGGTGCCAGCCTGGCTGGAGGCGGCTGAGCCACCATAGGTTGAGTAACTAAATCCATAACCGCCCCTCTTAGTCTGCGGAGTCAGGAGGCGAGTCGATGCAGCTGGATTGAGCTTATGTTGAGGTAGGATGGCATTCTTCTTGTTCTTTTGGCTGCTGGAAAGTGGGGTAGCAAGTGGACCAGGGCTTTGAGTAGGAGTTCCTAGTCCAGCGAACAAGGCGTCGTTGCCATAAGGGTTGGTGTTCATGGAAGTGTTCAGCAGAGAACTTCCTGAGGCACCAAACAAGCTGTTGCCGTTTTGCTGTTGTTGTTGTGGCTGCTGGTTCTGGCTGGAGAAGAGAGAGCCTCCCAGGGTTGACTGCTGGTTGTTGTTTTGCTGGCCGAGACCACCGCCAAACAAACCACCGCCAGTGTTTGTGTTGGTTGTGGAGCCGCCAAACAGACCGCCAGGCTTCTGCTGATTGTTGTTCTGACCACCAAAAAGACCGCCTCCAGTGTTGTTTTGCTGGTTGTTCTGTGTACCGAGGTTTCCGAACAGACCTCCCCCAGACGTTCCTGTAGTAGAGGTGTTGCCACCTCCAAACAGGGAAGTACCGCCTGTAGCAGGCTTCTGACCAAAGAGACCGCCTCCAGTGCTGTTATTGTTCGCAGTAGAACCTCCAAACAGTCCACCACTAGCGGGCTGGGTCTGGTTCGTTTGGCCACCGAAAAGACCGCCTCCTGTGGTGCCAGTGCTTGCGCCGCCAAACAGACCACCTGGCTTTTGCTGATTCTGTTGGTTGTTCTGACCGAACCCACCACCGCCGAAGAGACCTCCAGAAGTGGTGTTTTGCGTCGAAGCTTGGTTGTTCTGCCCAAATGCTCCACCAGTAGTGCTGCCACCGCCAAACAAGCCACCGCCAGTGTTGGTAGTAGTGTTGGTAGCGCCAAAGGCTGGTGTAGAAGAGGCCTGGTTGGATTGACCGAACAGACCACCACCGGTGTTGTTGGATTGGCCGAAAGCGCCGCCAGTGTTCGTCGAGCCGCCGAATGGAGTCGAAGTGGCGTTAGTAGTGCTGCCGCCTCCAAAAAGACCTCCGCCAGTTGCAGGCTTGTTCTGGCCAAACAGGCCACCGCCACCAGTTGACGAGCCGAAGCCACCGCCTCCTGAGCCAAATCCTCCTGTGGTGTTGGTAGTAGAGCCGCCACCGAAGAGACCGCCCGTTGTTCCAGTCGAGGTGTTATTTGTGGAACCGAAGAGTCCTCCGGTAGCAGGCTTGCTCTGTCCAAAAAGACCTCCACTGGTGTTGTTGTTGGTTGAGCCAAAGGCTGAACCTGAGTTTTGACCAAATGCAGACGTAGTGGTAGTGTTGCTGCCACCGCCAAACAAGCCGCCACCGGTGTTGTTGGTTGCGCCGAAGCCTGTGGAGCCAGTGGTGGCAGTGTTGCTACCAAAGCCTCCGAATCCAGTGCTCTGCCCGAACGCTCCAGCCTGACCATTGCCATTGCCGTATCGTCGGCCTTGGTTGTAGTCGGCTACACGTAGTTCTTCCAGAGAGTAGTTCTGGTATGGTTGCTGAAAGGTGATGGTCTGGTATTGAGCGTTGCCGGTGGTTCCATCTTTTTCAGAGAAAGGTTGGAAAGGGGTGTTGGCGGTACCGTTGTTTGCAGGAGGATTGCTGCCTCCGCCAAAAGCGCTGCCAGTGTTGGAACCGAAGCCGCCTGTAGTAGTGGTGGTGTTGGTCGAGCCAAATCCGCCCCCAGTACTGCCACCCCCGAACAATCCACCGCCTCCAGTCGTTGAAGTGCCAAAGCCGGTCGTCTTGTTCTGACCGAAGAGGCCGCCTCCAGTGCTCGTGGTGTTGCTGCCGAAGGCTGAGGTGGTGGTGTTGTTGGTTGATCCAAACCCTCCAAACGTGCTGCCGCCAGTAGCGCCACCACCTCCAAAGAGACCACCACCTGTCGTTGAGCTGCCGAAAGGCTTTGAGCCAAAGGCCGTGTTGTTGCTGGTATTGGCGCCAAAGCCACCTGGAGTGTCAAGTCAGTTTCTGGTCCGGGCCTTTCTTCAATATATCGATCCACGCGCGAAGTAGGTTGTCCCGCAATCGATCGTTGGAGCGCGCAACATGGAGCAGTCTATTCGAGCGAAAAGATTCAAGTCGGCGGACTCGCAGGAATCCAACGATAGACGCGGCGGCAGAGCGCAAACTTTCCACATACCTCCGCCTCCAAAAGGAGAGCTCGAGCTGGCATTGTTGGATCCAAACATTGTGCTGCCCGTAGTGGCATTATTGCTTGCGCCGAATATGCTTGAGCCAGTGTTCGTGTTGGAGCCGAAGCCTGAGGCGTGAGGCACGTTAGACACGGTTCTTCGACAAGGCCGTGGCGATGTCGCGATGCGCATCGAAGGAGTCGCGCGGGAAAGTTCTGGATGATTTAAAAGAAATTATTAGCTTACCAGACGTGTTGTTATTAGTTGATCCAAATCCGCCGAAGCCAGTGGACTGGGTGTTGTTGTTGTTATTGGAGCCAAAGCCCCCGAAACCGCCGAAGGACATTGTGGGCTGTCCAGCGGGTTGCGCGCGTTCTTCTTCTTAGTTGGCTATCAATGCGCAGGAGAATCGCGTGGGCGCGGGGTAGTTGAAAGGATGGATGTGCAAGGGAGCTCCGGGAGAGGCAGTTGGTGGTGAGAGCTTCGCGGAAAACGCGCCAAGCAAAAGGCTGCTGAGGGAGCGCAGCGGCGTCTGCGGCAGGCGAGGGAGAAGTGAAGGCAAAAGATTAATGAGAAGAAGCTCAGACGCGGAGCAGATTAAGTAGTGAAATAAGCCGTCATGGAAGAGAAATGCGACGGGCGCGACGAGTTTGGTGGGACAAGCAGAAGTGATGTTGCACTTAGGAGCAAGGCACGTCGCCGTGACGCTAAGCCGCAGGTGGAAATCACGTGTGCACTTTTTATGTGTTTTTCCCGCCTGGGCTGGTTTCCGCCCGGGCCTAAAAGACGTAGAGATGACAAAGACAGCCAGCCATTGGCGAATGAAACAAAAATGTCTTGTACGCGGAGGTTTGGGGCACAGGTGCCTTTTGGATGCCTGTAGCTACCTGCGGCTGCCTTGCTGCCTAAGGATGCCTTGCTTCCAAACCCGCCCCTGCACACTGATGGCGAAACACTTTGCAGCAAATCAATCAGACTTGATCATCTGCGAGGGTCCAGTCGACCGTATAAAAGATACGCTGACATGGCCAGACATGTGGGACAGCATGGCTGTGGAGTGGCAGCCTGTCTATGCTGGCGGAAACCTGGTTGGCATGACATGCGCAGTGTCAATTGGAGCGTAGCTGAACACATGATATGGTCGCACAGGTTTGAAGACTAAGTCGCAGTCCACAGCCTGGTATCCCACCTACGTCTCCTTCCATGCTTTCTTTTCTCCTGACAACTGTACCGTGCCAACAGACATTAACAACATCCATCTCAGCCCTACCAGCGCCATCAGCCCAAGGTTCCCCACCTGCGCCAGAAGCAAAATCGCGCTAGGCTACACCCAGGCCTGCCCTCTCATACGCCTAAACGCGTCGCGCGTCTGGAGCAACCGCATATCCCCACGTCGGCTGCAAACAAAGAAACAGTTGCAAAGCCACATTGTCGCAAATCGGCGTGTTGCCAATCTAACCATTCTCAACTTTTCAACCCCAATTTGCCCTGTCTGTTCTCAGCCTTATACCCAAACTTGGCCGCGGTCGGCGCAACCCGAACACCACCCGCTCACTAGAACAATCCGTAAACACTCCAAACTTGCGCTCCCCCCCACCAACCCACCGCCCACACCGCAATCCACTCTAAACACCACCACCCATGGCTACATCCTCCAACACCCTCGGCCCCGGCCCCCGCTACGGCCTAGGGCGCACCGCAGCACCCTCACAACCCGCCGCACAACCCGCCTTCAGCAGCACACCCGCCTACGCCCCCAACCCCAAAAACGCCCAACGCCTCGAGTCCGACCGCCTCGAACGCGAGCGCGCCGCCCGCGAAACCGCCCAGCGCATGGAAGCCTCTGGCGCGGCCTCGCTCGCCGAGCTAACCGAGGAGCAACGAGAAGAAATCGGCGAAGCCTTCAACCTGTTCGATCTCGACAAGGACGGCTACATCGACTACCACGAGCTCAAGGTCGCCATGAAAGCCCTCGGCTTCGACCTCCCCAAGCAGGAAATACTAGCCATTCTCCAACAACACGGCTCGCCTGTGCCTTCATCATCTGGCCAGAACTCGAAGCAGCCATCGCGACAGCAACAGCAATATCCGGGTTCCGGTCGCCAATTGCTTAGTTTCCAGGCGTTTCAAACGCTCATGGCACAAAGGATACTCAGTCGCGACCCTAGAGACGAGATTCTGAGGGCCTTTGAATTGTTTGATGAGGGCGGGAAGGGCACCATTACGCTGCAGGATCTCACGCGCGTGGCTAGAGAGTTGGGCGAGGCCCTCTCGCACGATGAGTTGGTGGCTATGATTGAGGAGTTTGATATGGATAACGATAATGCTATAAGCAGGGAAGAGTTTATTCAAATCTGTATGGGCACTTAAAGGGCAAGGTATGGAAATGCGGTTTTGTTTGCAGTGCTACGTACTAGTCTTCGCACGGCGTTTTGCGGCGTTGGTTCGCCCATTGTCAAATCTGGTTTCATGAGAATGCTATTTTGCCGATTCGGTTTCAAACTTGCTTTGTTTATTTGCACCGAGAAACCATGTATTTACAGCTCAGCTCTTTCAAGTAAACAGCATGCCGAAAAGAAAAAATTCAAGAACTTCAAGAAACATGCTCAACACACAGGGGCCCGCATCTACTGTCCGGGCGCGATAAGCTGGCCCTTCTTGGCGGCATCGTGTGCCCAGCCTCCCGCCAGCGCCTCACCGCCGTGCTTCAGTCCATAGTCCTTTATCCTGGCCTCGAGCTCGGGTCGGAAATGCCTGATGAGACCCTGCAGGGGCCATGCAAACGCCTCACCCAACGCACAAATCGTGTGTCCCTCAACCTGCTTGGTCAACTCCTGGAGCATGTCAATTTCACGCTCGCGAGCCTGGCCCTTATAGAAGCGGTCCATGATCTGGTGCGTCCACTTTGAGCCTTCTCGGCAAGGTGTGCACTGGCCGCACGACTCGTGGTGGTAGAACTTTGCAAGACGGGTAATGGCACGGACGACGTCGGTCGACTTGTCCATGACGATAACGGCAGCAGTACCAAATCCAGACTGCGAGTCCTTGAGAGCATCGAAGTCCATAAGTTGGTCGTCGCAGATGTGCTTGGGCAGGATAGGAGTGGAAGAGCCACCAGGAATGACAGCCTTGAGGTTGTCCCAGCCGCCACGGACACCTCCACAGTGCTTCTCAATGAGCTCGCGAAGGGGAATAGACATCTCCTCTTCAACGGTGCAAGGGTGGTTCACGTGGCCAGAAATGGCAAAGAGCTTCGTGCCCTGGTTACGCTCACGACCGAAGCTGGCAAACCAGCTGCCTCCTCTGCGGCAGATGGTGGGCGCAACAGCAATGGTCTCGACGTTGGCAACAGTAGAAGGGCATCCAAAAAGACCAACGGCGGCGGGGAACGGGGGCTTGAGACGAGGCTTTCCGGGCTTGCCCTCTAGCGACTCGATGAGGGAAGTCTCCTCACCGCAGACATAAGCACCCATTCCTCGATGGATGTACACATCAAAGTCGTAGCCGGAACCGCAAGCATTCTTGCCGATGAGACCGGCTTGGTATGCCTCCTGGATAGCGCGTTGAAGAACGGTGGCCTCGTGGTAGAATTCACCTCGAATGTAGATATAAGCGGCGGTCGCGTTCATGGCACGTCCAGCGACAAGGCAGCCCTCAATGAGCTTGTGAGGATCCTTGCGCATGATCTCGCGGTCCTTGCAGGTTCCGGGCTCGCCCTCATCGGCATTAACAACCAGGTAGCGAGGCTTGTCATCCTTGTCCCAGTCTTTGAAGTTCATGAAAGACTGTGTATGTCAGTGATGCTGTGTCTGCCAATGTAGGTAGAGCTGCATACCCATTTCAGACCAGAGGGGAAACCAGCACCACCTCGGCCACGCAGGCCAGAAGCCTTGATCTCAGAGATGATCTGTATCAATTAGCCCAAGCCGTGTATTTCCGAGCCATGCATCTCCGTACCCAGTCGTGACCCTTGAGAATGATCTCCTTGGTCTTGTACCAGTCGCCATACTTCATGGCGCTCTTCAAATCCGCGCCATGGTGCCCATACAGGTTCTGGAAGATCCTGTCCTGGTCCTTCAAGCCGCCATATGTTCTCTTAGGAGGCGTGTCCTGGACGGTTGCGAGTGTCCTCTTCTGTGTACGGTTGCTGGGGGCCGCGGTCGAAAGGCGAATGGCTGCTGAAGCCGCGGGCAGAGCTCGGTGTGCAGCCGCGCTGAGCGCCTTCTGAGCAGGAGCGTGTCGTGCGAGCATCGTGAGTGCGGATGGTGTGTTGTCTCACGCAATTGATGCTCGGGGGGCCGGCGAGCGGTCGTTATCGATGCAGGTGGTGGCGGTCGTGAAGTTCGAACTGGATGACCTACTGTTTTCTTGGCATCTCTGATTGGTCCGCGCGACATATCGTTGACATCAATCCGCCTGGCCGGTCCGATCTTACTACACTAATGGCCACACCATCAACAGCACCATGCATGGATTACGCCAATTGAGCTACTCGGCTTTGGTAGGTGTATGCGTTCGAAATAGTATGTCTGCAATTCCTGATACAATTTGCGCATGTCTTCGCGTCTGGCCAAGAGCTTTGTAGCCCGACTCTGAACTGCTATGAACCTATATTAACATACCATCTACACAAGCAAATCAAGTGAAAATGGATAGGGAGTATTGTGCAAGAACCAAAGTATGGCTGTTGAATGGGCGTTGGGATTTACAGTCAACATCAAGTTCCAGTGAAGATTCGGTTAATTTAAGGTCTCCGTCAAGATTTGTTGCATCATCATCATCATCGAATTTGCAGTGTGCGGCTTCATCTGACTAGGGCTTGTTTATCCGCTTTTTAACCAAGATGTCTTTAGGCGAAATACAAAGAAACAAAACACGTCTCAGCAAAGGAGATGAGCTCATGCGAAAAGGCAACGAGTTCGTTGGATCAGAACACTCCGCCAGTTGGATGAGCTATGCTCATTATCACACTACTGCAGCGCCTCTTCGCATGTGTTTGATATCTGTAGGTATGTAACGAAAGCATCTCTCTCTACACGTATTGACACGAGCAAAGCATTAGTTAGTCGAAATGCTACATCATATATAGCAAACACTATCATTGGAAGTGAATGAGTAAGCTGTTGATATTCCGCACATCTCTATGGTACCTTATACAACATTACAATCACTCTACATGCGACCCTGGACACAGTACGAATGTCAAATGTCTCTTTTCTCATTTTTCCTAACAGACTATCGATCCTAGATTCTAGAATCTCACCCATATCGCCCTACTAAACATTTTCGGTCGAAACAATACTGGTTTCCACTCACCTTATCCTCATCATGTCGATCTTTCCAGAATCCAATCTTGGATGCAATCTCGTTCATTCAACAGATTCTTTCCACAAGCCGCACAAATTCCAGCGGACATTAGCAACAACGTCACGTAACACAGACGCTGACTCATATCCTCCTGAGTATAAATAATGGGTGGCCGCCCACCATTCAGGCAAAATTTTGTGGCTTGTTGCATATGCGCATAGGCCCAAGAAGAAGTGATTGGTCCAAGCAGTCAAAGGCATAAGTCTTGTCACCTACGCCGCACCCCTGCATATGCGCCTCGTCATATCCTCACACCGACCTGCCTATTGCTTCTATGGAAGCCAGGGTGTATGAGGCTGTTGCCTAGCTTAACAGCGCAAAATGTAGCAGTTATTTGACGATCTCTAATGCACAATAGAACCCTGTTTTTATCAGGGTGTCTAGTTTAGACATCTACCTAACTTTTAGGAGAAGCAATTACAGAAGATGTACTTTATTTCACATCAAAAATACAGCACTCTTTCATTTCTGATAGAATAGAAGAACTTTAAGAGTATAGAGAGAGCTTTATGTGATGAAGGAACAGCTGTGTTGGCTTGGGGCCGTGTCATATACCTCAATTCAACCACTGTAAGCATTGCACAGCCCTCGGAACTGACCACCTGTGGTGCTCAACAAACGTGTTGTTCCGTTTGGCCCCTAACAATTGTACAGTAACCCAGTCCTCTGATCATATGTGCCCCCAGAGCTGCGGCAAGGCCGTCTTGGCTGCAGACTGAATGTGTGCGACGCCTACCGTTCGAAGGCACAACTTAGTGACCGGGGATTAAGAGGACCTCCTCTTGGTACTGGCCTGACCTTTTACAGTGGCTTGATGAACGTTTCATCGTTGGAGCTAGGGTGACTCTATCCAATAAAATTCGTTCATGTTTATTGGAATTCCGAATCCTGTATAGGCTGCAGTTCCATGCGTGTACGAGTTCGAGACTGGGAAGGTTTTCAAGAGAATTTTCCATAGGCCCAGACTAGGCCTAGTGACCAACACGTGTGTGTTTGCTAATTGCTGCAAACTTTCTTTAAAGCTAACATCCGTCTGCTATAATTGAGAATTATCTTCAACTTCTGCTCTCTCTCTCTCTTAGATAATATCGCTGTTTCTTCCAAGAAAGTCCCTAGAACTAGACCCTTTTCAACATTGAGTTTCTCTAGGTTGTTGAAACAACGATGGCGCCCCTCACACATGCAGAGATCAAAACGAAACTCCTTAAATCCACTGGCACAACTGCCAGAATTTACAAATACACAGACCTTCTTGGGTTTCGGAAATTATCGAAAAGAAGTTCACGGCGCGGTACACAAGATTTTATTGGCAAACCAGGGGAATTCTACAACGCGTCCAAAAACGTGGCAGAGGTGATATCAAGACGATACGGATCATATACCGACCTTCATGAGAGGATCAAAACTCAGAATGACTTTCGGGAACAAGAAATCGAAGACCTCATCGAAAATTACGGTCCGATCATCTGGAATGACGGGCAGCCAAACTTTGTGACCAAAACAGACGATCAAGGCGAAAAACATCAAAGCTACCCGCGTTACCTCATATACACCGATCGAAATGACAAAGTAAAGTCAGTTGCAAAGCTTTGTATAGCATTTAGGACATAGAACTGACGAATGATTCCAGAATACGGACTTATATCTACTGCCTGGTACTGCAATGCACATCTTGCAGGATGAGAGGCCGTCTTACCAATGAAATTGCTGTGCAGGCGGGATTGCCACGCGCAGCTTCTTACAGCCCTGAAATCGGGCAGTCGAACGCAACGTCACCAGACCTAGACACCACGTCCATCACATCCCCTAGAGCCACGGCTATCAACACCATGTCTTCGGTTTCGAGTGTCGGCAAACGGTCACGGGACCACAATCATCACAATGTAGCTGTGGCTCAGATGGTTCCCAACACTTATACAGAGGGGGCATCTTCATCTTCCGTTATGCTACAGTCTACGGCTGTGGAGAGCGTTTTACCGATGAGAAACAGTACCACAGCTGCGGATGAAGACGGTCAGGCGAGAGAAACGTCATGTTCAGACGACCCGCGCATGACGACACCGCCTTTGGACCAAGTCCCAAGTCCAAACTCTGATGAGGAAGAAACAGACGGACACAGTATCCACAACAAACGCGCAAGATATAATCAAGGAGAAACTGCTCTCACAAAATTTCGATTAGGGAAGTTGAATGGATCTGCAAGGCGAACCGCTAGGTTGAAGAGAAGAGGCTATTCATCTCCCTGGGTGGGATCGGATATACCTCCAGTAACCACCGCCGACGCTGGAGAGCAGGAGAACACTGAGCCAGCTCCTGAAAGTGCTACAAATGATAACCCGAATGGGTTAGTAAGTGCATGCACGTCTCATGACAGCACAGACACAGCTCAGGAGTGTGACAATGAAGTTATTGCGGTAACAAGCGTTCAAGAGGAACAGACTCGCCTCACACCCTCAGCCACACCAGCACTGGAGACCAGACACGAGGAAGCAAGCTCAGTGCAGAACTCCCCTAGGCCATCACTGGCGGCTGAAGTCCGAGTGTCTGTAGAGCCGACCGCCCAAATTGTCGCGCTACCCTCAGAAGACCAACCTGAAAACATACAGTGCTGCTTTTACCGCGCGCGCCTCGCTTCTATACTTCCTCACGCCTTCGACCTGCAAACCCAACATACCCAAGTCCTCGAAGACACAATCACCCTCATCGCCGATATCAGATCCCTCGAGGCAACCTTGTCCAAAAGCTCCGTTGACAACCGCATTGCAACCTACAACTTCGTCCTCGACCAATGGCTCAGCCTCGTAGCCATATACCTCACCTTCCGCCGCGCCATAGACTTCCACGACACCCAAGAAGCATGGACTGCGCATCTCCTATCTCTGCCCCCAACCGAGCGCTGGGTAAGAGAAGAGCCACACCACACTGCCAGCGTGTCTTTCCAACAATGGCGCCTGCGTAATGGATCCTTGGCCGCCCCAGTCTGGTCCCGAGAAATCACGTCCGCGTTGCTCAAAACAGCGAAGTGGCGGCGCCAACGGGAGACGGATGATGTCGACGAGATGAATCGGCGGGTGCAGAAATTTAACTCTGGGCTGATAGAGTGGCTGGGCTGATCGTCATCCTCTGAACAACAATAAAAGTACTATGTGTGGGTGACATGCTTAGTGCAATGTACTATAGTACACCGCTATCGGGGATTTTAAAGAATGAGAAACAAACGCAGGATAGAAACATAACATCGGTTTTACTCATATAGACGTAGATACTTGATGATAAACTTCTTAACTAAACAAACTAAACGCCGCGCGCATCCTCCCCCATCCTTCCCCCGTACCGCTCGCCCACAACCTATAACATACTTCCTTTGAATCTAAGGCATAAAATTCCGTTTATACGCGTAACTATACGACATCTGACTTTTTGCCAAGCCGGTACTACCGACAGCGCGCACGTACCCCCGTTTTAGAATGGGCGCATTTGCACGACTTAAGAAAAACGCAAAGACCATATGTGGTGGTGCGTGTGTATGTATATATGTGAAACGCGGAGGCTGGATCATGGCATGTGGGTCGCGAGACATGGTGTGCCCTGTGTGTTACTCTATGAGCGGCAAACGAAACGGGGGAGATATGAGCATGGTTGGGGGGATGCTGTTACATGGTTGTTCGTTGTTTGCTGGAGTGGGTGTAGCCGGCTTGGCGTTACTTTGTCTGAGGGCTTCTGGAGCGGGTTCTGGAATATGTGTGGTGCAATGTTCCTTGTGCGGCGACTGATGTGTTGCGCTAGAGGTGTCGGGCTAGAGGTGTCGGACGGCTAACTTTACTAGTAAGTGTGCGTGCGTATTGATTGGACGGGTGGTTTTTGGTGGGTGTTCCTGGTTCGATGTCAGCTGCACGGCGTATGTGATATGATTGGGGCCCCTTGAGTACGATGTAGAATTAGGTATGTTAGAGATGTTGGAAAAACAAAATTTAGGTTGAGTATATCTTGGTATTACTGGTTCGGCATAGTCGCAGATGTTCTAGGGAAAGAACCACCAAACTTCACTGAAAAGTAGTACGATTCTCACGTGCATTTTGTCCTTTGAAAATGTCCGATAAACGTCTGGAAGGGATTGCCCTTTCAAGGTAAGCCAGGATCAAACCTGCATGTCTCTACCCGAACACCGGTACCTGCTGCAATTGGTTAGTGCTTCAATAGAAGGCTGCCACCGAAGCAGTAGAATGGCCAAGGGCCTACTGCATATATTGCCCTTAGACGCACTTCTATTATGATCGTCGGGCGAGTCATGCATGGGGATGCTTATTTGCGCCTACATCCGACGTCTGTTGTAGATGTTGAGAGATAGGGGTTGGAATTGCACCTTCCTACAAGCGAAGTTGGGGGCGGAATAACTTGTTGATTTGCTCAAGCAGACAGTCCCGCTATAGATCGAACCTTTTCAATAGACTCGGAAATTGATTTTCGATTACTTCTGTGTTTTGCTTGGAACTGAACAGGGGTCTTCCGAAGTTTAACTGTAGTTGAAGTGTCCTATTTGCAGGTCCAAGTGCAGTCTAAATGGGGACACTGAAATATTCTTGTACAAGCAGACAGAAAGATAAGGGCATGACATGGTTTTGCACGTCTGCACGTTTTTGGCAAGGCACGTGGTTCAAGCCTGACAGTTTAACCACGTCCTTTCGATTCTTCTCTTCTTATTTTAGCAATTGAGCGATAGACTCACTGCTCTACAGATTTTTAATTTTAATTTTGCACTTATATATGGTAGGGCCAAGTTATGAAAAAGGATTCGCTCCAAAAGTGGCAGATTTTTCATCAATATGTTCAGTAAATTTGCCATACAGTCTGACTCGACAGATTAGGTTTGGTGTCGCTAGGAACAGACAGGCATTACATGAAGCAGCGGTGGACCAGCGTTCAACTGTGCAAATATTGAAGAGAGGCGCAGTCTTCCACACAGAACATAGTAATGCCAGTCGAATTCTAAGGTACTAACCGAGGTGACGTGGTAACAATGCGAGGAGTACATGTCGGGCATGTTAATTGTCCGCGGCTCTAAAGAAACTTGACCGGGTCTCTTCTGGATCGGTCGACTTTGAGATCGAAAATGTCTAGTCGTTGATAGCCTCCAACAACATCATGGTACTGTTTTCCTTCGATGCAGTCTTCCAGTTGCATATCGGCGTACAGTATATCTTCTTCAGACTGTAGCGCATCCGCATCTTGTTTTTGCGAATCTTTGTAGATGAAACTAGGAAGTGGAGCGCCGGTAGGATCCAAGAAGAACGTGGCAGCCCGTGGCATGGCACGCAAAGTCTCGGTTACTACATCCGGCTGGCTCGCGCCATCGACAATTGCCTCAATGGCATCTTCTCCCAGGTGTCCGGAACATGCAACGCCAAAGCACTTGGCTTCAAAGCAATGCGCTGCTGCGCGTGTTCTGTTAGCCGCCAAATTATCATAGTTGGCTCCACGTGTGCTGGCCTGATGGACGCCACTTTCGGCGCTCGGTGGGATTTTTTGCAATGTTCGCGTCGGCCAAATTGCGGGCCAGGTAGAGATGTGCACTTGTTCAGCTTGTGCAATCATAGAATACCTTGCGAGCGCGTTTGTATTCTCGCCGCATATGAGGGTGCCAATTCGCCCAAACTGCGTGCTAGCGACGTGTAACCCATGACCATCTCCAGGGCTCCAGGTCAATTTCTCAAAGAAAGTTGGAACAAGCTTTCGGTGGTGTACAAGTACCTCGCCCTCGGTCCCAATGATCAGGTTCGAGTTGTAGAGGCAACCGTTGCTATGACGGGACTTTTCGCTGAAGCCGATGCTGACCAATACACCGCTTGATCGTGCAGCCTCGCGAATCGCTTCCAATTCATCACCATCCGCATAGACTGACTCTTGCACCATACGCTGGAATAGCCTGTGATTGTCGGTGGGTGGTCTCAACGAGCTCCAGATCGGGAAAGCAGATATGTAGGTTTCAGGGAAAACGACCAAGTTGGCCTTGTTCGAGGCCGCCTGCTTGACGAGAGCTATGGCCTTGTCTGTTGTCCGACGCGCATTCAGAAAAACTGGAGATGCATGGCATGCAGCCACGCGGAGGACGCTTGCCATTATACGCGGTGTTATGGCGATGCGAAAACGGTGGTGTTGGCGAACACATGATCTAATAAATGCCCCTGCGTCTGATTAGGCGTGCCTCCCCGCATTCTGCAAAGAACCTGTGTTTGCCAACATCTGTCATTTTGCTGTTACGATTCTTTTCTCAGACTCCTCAATGTTTCCCATAGTAAGGCTAGCAAGAAAAAAAAGACAAGCTGGAAGGTGCGGATCATTTCACAAGTGTGTGGTACGACTTGAGCGCAACGGGCTTGAGGTACATTGCTCGGCCAAATTGACGTCGGAAAAATTTACAGGGTACTTAGCCGCACCTGGCGGCCATACGCTGTTATGGTACTATGCGTTATCGCCACAAAAGTAAGTATTTGTCCCAATCAGACCAGGGTCATCCAGTAAAGGCAGGTCGGATACGAGGAGTATTGCCACACGGCGGTTCCGGATAGTCCAAGAACGGTGCAGAGGTGAACATGTAGTACACAGATACGACAAATACGTTACATGTTGGATAAGGACATATCTCGGCGGGTGACGTAGAGAAGCGGAAGGCGGACTCCCGATGTTTCTAGGCAAATTTTGACAAGTCCTCCGTACCCCTGCAGAGTCCCCTGCATCATGCACGTTTACGTCGTTCGGAGGTGTTTATGACTTCCAACGGTGTGCTTGCGATGTCTGGGTAAGATGCTGAGAGAGAAGCAGCTGGCCAGGCGGCCGCATGAGCGTGCGCGGGTTGGAAGAGAGTGCTGACATATGCGGGGTGCCAAGCATTGTAGCATCTCCCGCTCGCTTCGACTCGTTACTCGTTACCTATCAAGCTGTCCTTCATAACGTGTAAAACCCTTCAGCCCAACCGCTCGGCCGGATCCGCTGTGACTTTTCTGCCGACAGGTGGATGGCAAACCTCTGCCTCCGAGCCAAGAACCCATGCGATGATACTGTAGCGCTCAAAGTCGACTAGGCTTTACCTCGGACACAGCTGCTGTTTGCAGTGACCACCACATTATCTGATTCACACCAGGTAAATGCGGCTCAGTTTCTGAAACAGCAGATACCGCCCGTCCAACCAAATAGTCGTCGCTGCGCTACAGCTTGCCCATTTGCATGAAACGAATCGCTTGAACCCGCGACTGTGCGCAAGCAGTTGGTGTCTTGTGCTCTGCACTGCCTGCATAGCACCCAACTACTTGCCGACATACTCTGTATGCCCATACATACACACATCCCGCAAAATCCATCGAACCGGTTATGTAGCGCACGGCGCATAACGGCCGTTTATCGCTTGTTTGTCGAGTTAAGCAGGAAGGAAGATTACATGGAATTGAGGCCGGAGCAAGTGACGCTTTCGTCGCGCCCCGCCCACACCCCGGCCCAGCAATCTCGACATTTGCGCAATGTTTTTACCCAAGCGGACCAATCATCCTCGCATCTTGGCGCCGTTCCGCTGGAGACCAACTTTTAGGGTGGATCTCCCGCGTGCCTGAACTGACAGACCTGTCATAAGCGTGTTCGGACCGATACCGTTGCAGCCCTCTGGGGCAGCTAATTCATGCTAAACACGAGCGTGGATGCAGCTGCCTCTGGAACATCTTGGCGGCTCCCACGGGAGATAACCTGGCCCACCTTCAGACTTTGGTCAGGACCGCTAACATGGACAAACACCTTGACGGCCCTTCTAGGATGACGCACATTTTGGTTTCAAAACGCTATCTTGGCAGACTATACCACTTGCACTAGTTCATGGCACACACACACACACATGATGAAGAGACAGGGATCGGATCAAGATATGGGATGTAGCCCGTTATCCGGTACATGCAGCCCAGTCGAGCTTTTTTTTCTCAGTCGCCCCTGCAATAATCTTACCGACTTGTAGGCCTATGTGATGAAATATAAATGTCTTGAGCCTGCTTCCGTTCCACCACTACTTCACAGTTAATCACCAACTCTCTCACACTCACTGAATCCATCGCCCAAGATGCGTTTTTCATTCATTACCTTTGCTACTTGCGCTCTTGCTGCCGCGCCCTTCTTGGACGAACCTGACACTGGCATTGACCAGCAACTTGGTGCCTTCGTCGCTAATAAAACCGTCCCTCCTCTCAAGTCCCTCGTCGGACTCCCCGATTTCGAATGGGTTGGTCGTAACTTCATGAACGTCTCGTCCTACACATACTACCGCAACGGTGCTGCTGGCGAGTGGTCTTACCGCAACAACCTTGAAGTCTTTGCTCGCTTCCGACTTCGCCCACGTGTTCTACGCGACATCACCAACGTTGCAGCCTCCATTCCAACAACCATCCTTGGCCACAACTTCTCAGCTCCTTTCTTCATCTCCCCATGTGCTCGTGGTGGATATGCCAACGATGAAGGTGAGGTGGGTCTTGTCCAGGGTGCTGCTAAGGCCAACATCCTCTACATGGCCTCGCTCTTCTCATCAAAGACCATGGACGAAATCTACGCTGCTCGCCCCAACGGCTCTGAGCAAGTTCTCTTCCAACAGGTTTACTTGACCGGAGACATGTCAGCTACCGCGAAGCTTTTCCAGAAGATCGAGAAGATGGGTGCTAAGGCTATTGTTCTTACCATCGACTCTCCTGGTGATGGTATCAGGCACCGTGCTGCACGCTACAGTGTCGGATCCGCAGATTCGTCTCTCAGCCTTCTCACCTGGGACCTTTACCACCAACTCGCCAACATGACCTCTCTTCCCATCATCCCCAAGGGTATCCAGACCGTCGAGGACGCTGAGGAGGCCATCAAGAATGGCGTCAAGGCTATCTTCCTCTCCAACCACGGCGGTCGTCAAGTCGACACCTCGCCCTCTTCCCTCCAGGTTGCGCTCGAGATCTACAAGAAGGACCCTTCAATCTTCAACAAGGTCGAGGTCTACGCTGACGGCGGTGTCCGATACGGCACTGACATCCTGAAGCTCCTTTCTCTTGGCGTAAAGGCCGTCGGCGTTGGCAGGCCTTTCATGTTCGCCAACATCTACGGAGCTGAGGGTGTCGCCAGGGCCGCCGAGATGCTCAGGTACGAGCTTCTCAACGACGCCGCCAACACCGGTATCCCCGATATCAAGAAGATCGGCCCCGAGTACGTTAACTGGAAGGCCAACAGCATCTGGGTTGGCAGCGATGAGCTCTAGTTTGCTTGATATTTGGAAGATACCCCCTCCTTCACTTCTTGAACGTACATATATACATGTTTTGTTTTTCAAGTGTATGTACATACTTTTTTGCATATAGATTACCCCAACACAGTTTGTTCTTTACCTCTGAACCTGAAATCCTCCACACCCAATTCATTCAATCTGTGACTGTAATGATTATGACGAAATGCGAAACCAGAAAAAAGATTGCCAAGGACTTACCAATCATTTACGCAACTTTCCACACCCCCGCAAGTCCGGAATTGCATGGGCCAAGCTTAGTGACATTTTTCCTGTCAGACGGGCCGAAAAGCGAGGCTGGTACCTACTGATGGCGAAAACCTGAACACTGATGCCCTCGGAGCCGAGAAAAATGCCGAAAATCGAAAGTCAAACGAGTAACAAGTGGAACGGTTCTTCCGATAACTCTACATTTACTATCCGTGGGAAAAAGTCTAGCGCATCCAATAATGCGGATACTATCAAACTTGGCGTCTCTCGTGCTTGCTGGTCCGAGATCGTCAATCAAAAAAACTTTGTCTCTAGTACTTTGCGACAAAATAGTGCAGCAAAAGAGCACGGCCACTTGAATGCATACTTGCTTCCCTGAAGAGAGGAAACAAAAACAACGTAAAAAAAGGAAACTGCGCCAACAGGGAGCCTAGACTTTTTTTTTTCTCAAAAAAAGGCTCGGGTGCGGAGAAATATCATCTGTGCTGTTGCTTACTTTGCGCTTTTGTCAGATTGTTCCGTACCGAGTTATACCCACACAAACACGTACGCGGGCGGTGCACCGGGAAGACTGGTGGATGCCCAGTTATCTTGGGATGCAGAAACAACATGCTGGTGTTACGTGTTCATCGCTTGGAAGAGGACAGATGAGTACAGGGTTTATCTGGGTGTGGGGGGCTGTGAAGGACGAAGATAAAACGCGGTGACGTCAGTGCATCGGCTTGGAGGGGGGACGAATTACGTGAATCGGTGTATTACAGGGAGAAGAGGGCTGTGCTTGCGTACGTACCGAATATACCGGGTATCACTAGCGTTTTTTGTAGATACTCCGTCGGTAGATTTTTTGGTACCGTACTCTCGTGTGTCACGGGATCGGATGAGGACCAAAGTAAAGAAAAGAGCGACATTAGTGTTGAAATGAAAGACAATGCCGAACCAGGAGGATATTTAGCCAGTTTCTCTAGAATATCATTGCAAAGATGACGGTGTAAAAGAGGGAGGTCGAGAACTTCGGCGTAAGAGCTAGTATTGGCACTGCGAGATCAAAAGCAAAATGAACAAATGGTAAAAGAGTTTTCCGAAGGGTAGAATGGATTGCAGTTCCGACCCCTGGCTCTGGTACGGCAATGAGATGGTTCAAAGAATGGCACTTAGAGAAACACTAGCGATCCAGCCATGAGGACCTTGGCGTAGTACAGCTGAATCAACGTGACTAGACAGCTGGTCAACCAAGACTGTACGTTAATGGTCCGACCTGGCTCTTACCGAAAGACAAACAAGTTTGATAGTACATGGAGCACCATGCGCTGTACCTGCATACTCCCATCGCCGCTAATACCGACAGCACAGGAAAAGAAAAACATACCTATTCCTACTATGACTAAAAAAACCTCAATCATACCCAGCAGCAAACACACCCCAAGGCCCCACCTCGCGATACTCGTCGCGCTCAATCCCATCATGCTCAGCATGCACATAGTGATATACCCAAAACGAGCAATACACAAACGCCGCAAGCCCAGCCCCAAACGCCGTAAGGTACATGACCGCGATCTGTTCCCCTCACACATAAGAATTAGCATTGAACTTTCCACTTTCTTTTCCTCCCCCTCTTCGTTTGACAAAAAATACATTTGATAGAAAAAGAAAAAGAAAAGTAGTTGCAGCATACGTACATTCCACCCTTCATCCCCCCACGTCCCCTTCCTCTCCCCCCGCACAATCGGTACGCCAACCAAAACCGTCAGGCCAGCTAGAAAAGCGCAGACAGAATACGACATGAACATCAGCGGTGCTTGCCATGTAAACACCATCTTGCGCCGGGGGACGTAGTATTGCTTCGCACCACCACCACCGCTTGCATCCTCTTTGATCATCACAGGTGAGAGAAGTAGCGGCATGTACCTCTTCATCGTCGCGTCATGCAATCCATCACCGCCGCCACTGCCAACATTACTAGGTGAGGTAGAGGAGGAAGAGGGTGATGGAAGATGCGAGGAGGCAGCAGCAGCAGCCGTGTACCTGACCGGCCCCAATAAATTCAAAACCGTAATCTCAGACGCCGATAGCAAGATCCCTAAAATCGATAGGATTAAGCTGGTATGCCAGAATCCGGGGGTGAGCCAGTGCGCGGTGGAGAGTGTGGGCCAGGAGAAGGCGCCGATGACGGCGGCGGCGAGGACGGTGCACTGTGTTCATTATTAGATCAAAGAAAGAAAATATAGTAAGTTAAGTTTAACATGTGCCTTTTTTGTTCTTGGGTGAATTCGGTTTAGACGTGTGTGTGTGTATGTTGTCGGGACTGGGTGGATGGTGGTGGTAGGGGCGATGAGAAAAAAAAAGGGGGGAGACTTACAGAGATTGTAGTAAATTGGAGTTCGTTAAGTTTTCTGGTACGCCAGCTTGATAGTGTGGAGTGAAGTTTTTTGGTGTCGGGGTTGGGGGATGAGGCGAGGTAGGCGAGGTTGCGGAGGGGATTGATGGTGTTGAAGTGGTAGAGGCGGTAGTATGGGAGTGTTGCTATGCGGATTATGAGGGTTTCTATAACGTTCCAGAGACGCTGGTTGGGGGTGGGTTAGTGATTATTGTATCTTTCTTGATTTATTGGTGGTGTCTAGCTCTGTTATGAAAGACGGGTTGTTCGCTGCCAAGGGATGTTCCCATGCTTACTTGTAGAACCTGTGTAACGCGTCCGATAGCCCTTGCCAGTGTCGCAAAGTTCAGCGCAGGCGACATTCGGGAACTTGTTTCTTGAGTACTTGGCAGCGGCAGTTTCCCAGCCATTTGTCGACGCTGTTGTGCTGATTGGGCGTCACAGGTGTGGTGGTATGAACGCGAGACAGTAACGATGTCGGCGGCGAAAGGTCACGACGGCGGCCTGAAAGCTGGGCTGCTACTGCAAATTTACAGTTTACCGTGGCGCAAAGTAATGGGCTATGTACATGCAATGCCGGCGTGGCTGAGGTACGATTGGCTACTTTTCAGCCTCGCCGCCTAAAAGGGCACAGCTAAAGTGCGGCTGAGAAGCTGTTCGCTTATCCAACATTGGTATAAGTTGAAGGCTTTCAGTAAAGCTGAAAAGATTGATTGAAGAGACTTGGAGCCCAGGAATAGCCTTGCCTCTGGCATATAGTTACTTAACGTTGAAAGTGCCTCTTTCTCATAGCACAGCAGATTCATTGCTGTCAGTACGATGTTTGTGGAGCTAGTCGGTCCGTATCTACCTGAGGACGCACGGGACATGACGGAAAGACATGAGATCCATCAAAAATGGGAGTTTGAAGTATCGGGGAGAGGAACTATGAGTTTTCATGTGCGATAACGAGGATATAGCCTTTTGTCCAAAAGAAGCATTACTGACTCAATTGTCTAAACTTCACGATGGAACAGGGCCAGTTCCCTAGACCTCCAACATGTGAAAAACTCTTGTTGTAGCAATATTGATTATATTTCATCTTTTCAAAATAGAAAATGCAGATAAAGGTATTTACATAGAAGTCAAATCATCATCATCCCAGGCTCTCCGCCGAGTCCTTAGAAACGCCACATCGCCACATCATTTCAATATCACTTTTGTCAAGATCGCACCTCAGTTAACTCCAACAGCAATGGCAGCAAGTGCCCAATCCATGAAACCAGCATTGGTGTCAAGGATGTTCTGGTTGAACTCGGTGAGAGTGGGGTAAAAGTTGGTTGCGTATCCAAACTCCATGGTGACTACAGGCGTGCAAAGTCAGTATACATACACCACAAGGTAGAAGAATCAAGACTTACAGCCAAAGACCTTGTTAGCACCGGATTTGGCGTACACGCGGCTGGCGGCGTAGTCATCCGAGGCACCGGAAGTGGCGTAGAGACCAACGGATTGCATGGATGTGTATGAACGTCCACCTACAGCGGCCACTAAATACGAATGTCAGTTCAGATATTATACAAAACTTCTGAAGGGTCAACTTACTAGCAGCAGCCGTCTTGGAGGCAACGCTCTTGATGCCGGTGACATCGGCAGAGGGCATGTACTCCTTGTATGTGCTGTCGCCGATACGACCTCTCTTTCCGTCATAAGCAGTGTTAAGGAAGTTCATAGCGCTGTTTGTGGACTGTGTCTCGTCGTCACCCCAGTTGTATAGGATGTCACCAGTAGCAGAGTGGATATCCATGAACCACCTGATCTTGGGGAAGCTGTCGTAGATGCTGATGTGGTTCTTGGTCTCGGGCTCAGATGCGGCGGCAGTGCCGTAAAAAGCCTCCGAACTGGGCGAGGTGGAAGCAGGCGAGGTGGATGGGTCGAAGAACTTCTTGAAGTTCCAGAGGAAATCAAAGTTGCGGTTGATATCGACACCGACGGATGCGCCGCTTGTGCCGGAGCGAGTGTTTCGGTTCTTGCGCCAGAGGGAGCCAGAGGATTGATCGTAGGCAACTCCGTCAGGGTTGACAAGGGGGAAGAAGACAATACCGGCAGCGAGAACGCTCTTGACCTGGGCGTTGGTGTAGGTCTTCCTGCCGTATGTGAGACCGGTTCCAGCCTTGTTGGCAGCAAGCAAGTCGGAGATCCAGTAAATGAGCTGATCGGGACCACCTCGCTCACGGGCGTGCATGCCAGCACTGAGGTAGAGCTTGTACTGCGACTTGTCCGTACCAGCACCGACGTATCCAGCGGTCTGCGTAGCACCCTGGAAAGTCTTGTATGGCAGAGTAATGGTGTTGATACCATAACCGTTAACGAGACCCTTGATTGCCGAGTTGATCTCGGTAGGGTTCATGATGGAGCTGACTGTTGATCCCGCAGCTTTGGTTCCAAGACCTGAAGGTGTGACGGCACCACCTTGCCACCTGTCACCAGTGCCGATTGGTGCGTCGGCAGCCCTCTTGCTGAGGTCGCGTCGGTGGAGAGAGATCTCCCCAGAGTGCTCATATTCCCTTTCGAGGTGGGCAATTTGCTCCTCGGTCAGGAGAGCATGAAGCTCAAAGTGGCCGTCCTCATGTGGTACAGCCTTTGGTCGGCAGCCCAGATCGTATGTGCCATTGTTGACAATGTCGAGGAAGTGGGAAGGGCTGGGTGCCTTGAAGTGAACGGGGAGAAGGCTGCCAAGTACAGTTGTACCCTGGAGAATCAGGGCTGCGGCGAGAGAGTACTTCATCTTGAGATGGATTTGGAAAAAGAATGAGGGATGTGAAAGCGAAAGCACGAAGTAACTCTGGCGGACTGGTTATTGCAGCACGGAAGAGGCCTTATACATTCTGTGCGGCCCCATGGCATGATGAGCGACCTTCTTCTAACGGCTGTGATAATACATCGTTAAGCCTAGTTGCGTCGGCGTGGGGATGGGTTGGCAAGTCCGTGATTGGGCGGCTTTGCGAATTGGCTGGGGGCGCTAGCAACATCTCCTTCTTCTTTGGTCAATCCTCCGTAGTCCTTCCCTTATGCACCTGCCCGGGAGGATCAAGTAGATCGTGCTGTGCATCGTGACCAGGGCTGGCCTGCCCGTATGAGCTGCTTTGTTTGATAAGATAGATTGGAGGGCGACACAAAAGCAAATGTTTCGGGGCAAAGCTTGAATGGTGATGCGCAGCTGCTAACGCATAGGGCGGTTGTCTGCGACTTGGCGTTCCAATCGAGTGACGCCATCGTCGAGCAGCCTTTATAGGTTAATGCAAAGAAGCTGCCCGAATGGTATTCATGATATTTCGCTGTCTAAGATGACGCCGAACCAAGAAAAGGAACTGCGGAGCAGCCCATGTGAACGGAAGGTGTCTCCAGCTGGGCAGCCTCAGGGGTACCGGCGCGTCCGACCCTCGATTCCTTTCTTTTCTTCTTCTTCAGTGACGCAGGCTCGGACGTGTCGGACTGCCAAGCTGCCAAGACTGCTCACGTGCTCAGTAGCAGCGGAGAACCCCGCCGGGCTACCGCTCGTCGTGCTCACACCTTCGCAAAGAGGCAACGTGCAAAGACTGCATTGGACATGCAACATCATTCATTCAATATGTACATACATGCAACTCATAACATCATGACTCGGAAATCGTCAAGTCGTGCGCGTCGTCTCGTCTAGCGCGTAGGCCCAATGCAAGCCTAAGAATCAAATATCGCCCCGTACGCCGGTATCCCCCTCTTCTCCATGTCAAACACAATCTGTTGTGTGAACCGTTTGTTGCTAATCACTAGCACCGCCTCCGCCCCGCTCTCCTTGTAAAGGTTATACGTCAACAGACTCATATCCGGCTTTCCAGACATGCGCGTGTTGTGAATGACGGCCTTGGGGTCCCTCTGGAGTACATCCTCGACCATTGCCTTTCCAAACGTTGCCTCGTGGTTGGGTGCTGTCCAGAGAATGCGCATGGCAATGTGCTTGTACGGAAATATAGAAAGACACGGGCCGATGCCGGACCCCGTAGCTACCACAACCACACTCTTGAATAACGTTGCAATCCGGAGCACGCCCGAAGTGGGAATCCCGCGTCTCCATACATGCGTTGGCGCAGTGTCGATCATGTGTCCTGTAAAATCGCCAGCCCGACTAACAATCACAGAGTACCCGCCGTTGTTCGGTCCATTGGTAATTGTCGCAAAGCCATGCCAATCTCCAAGTGGGTGTTGCGCAAGACGGATGCCTTTGCCTGGCCCGAGGTTCGAATTAAAATGTAACCGGATGGCATGAGAAGAGAGGACTTCGGGTATGACGGGAACACGTCGAAGAAATAGCCACGGGAAGATGATCGCCCAGGTAGCGACTGCGATGAGCCAAAGCGACGGATTCCTGAGGTAGGCTTCCGACGTCGAGTATCCCACTTGACGACCCATATCTGCGGTGGACAGTCCAATGAGCACCCAGTAGAGGATCAGTACTGTCCATCCACCAAACCGATGCAAGCCCTCCCACAAATCGTGGTATCGGTTCCGGAGGTACGGGTGCGACATCGCCGTCATTGTAAGCAGCAAGAACATGATGAAGTAGGACAGTACCGCCGGCGCTACTGAGATGGCTCTCTCATCCACACTCTTTGCCATCTCCAAGCTCGCACCGATGACAAATATGACGAACCATATAAGCGCGGCGATAGCGCATCCCACGTGTATACCGCCAATGTGAAAAACATTTGCGCATATGCACCGTATCCTAAGAGGCACCCATGTGGGAACTGATGAAAAAACTTTGAACAACAGGTTGATGACTGGCTCTGATCGGATCAGGATCGCAGCGCAGAGATTCGCCGCAGTTGCGTTTGCGACCGCGGAGAGTGGGTATGTGTGTTGCTTGATGTTGTCGTAGAGAAGCCAGCATGCGACTCCGATGTTAGTAAGGACAACGGGAAGGAGCAGCCAGCGATATGCAATCAAGCCGCGATGTCGTACCCAGGCGTGTGTGTTCGACAATGTGGGTTGTGGCAGTGCAGTTAGTGTCTCGTATGGCTCAGGGCTTTCGGTTTCCGAACGACGCTCAAGACTCTTAGTTATAAAACCTTTTTCGAGATCAACATCGCGCGACGAAGCTCGTGGACTGTCATGTATGATGGCGGCAAGGGGAGCTTCAACCTTCCTAGCCTCATCTGAGACATCAACGCCCGAGTCCATTCGCACATGCCCCTTCTTTGTGGTTTCGACTTCTGCCTTGGAAGAACTTGTTGCTGCAGCAAGCGCTGTAAGTTGCGCCTTGTCGACTTTTCCGTTGGCGTTCAACGGCACGTCGTCGACGCGAAACCATCGTTCCGGCACGGAATAGTAAGGCAGTTGTTTTCGGAGGAAGGTATCGAGTTCTTGCTCGTCGACGGGGATGGAAGATGCGTAGAAGCCATGAAGGACTCCGTCAATGACCAAAGATGCACCTCGTGTGACTCCAGTAAATTGCTATAGGCAATTATTAGCAAGTATTGATAATTTGGCCTGGGAGTTATTTACTTCGATAACGGAGGTAACGCCGTCAAGTTCGACACGGAAGCCCTAGAAAGGTGAGCGGAATTCCTGGAGACATAGTTGTAGTCTTCGACAAACCTTGATCTTTACTTGGTCATCCATTCGACCGAATGAGTCTAACGAGCCGTCGGCTCTCCAGCAAACAATGTTGCCAAAGTTGTACATCACGGAACTGGATAATTGTCAGTGCATTCTAACATAGCCGACATCCTACGTACCCATCATTTGCGAATTTGTCGAGCTGGAACTTCTCTGCAGTAGTCAAGGGCAAATTGATGTAGCCTTTTGCTATACCCCTGCCCCCAACCCACAATGTTCCTTTTTGGCCCACTGGCACGGGCTCTCCTCTGTCATCCAGGACGTAACATGACACATTTGGTAGCGGCCGACCGATGGACAAGTGCTCGCCTTTGACATGTCGATGTGAAGACAGCAAGAAGGTCTCCGTGGAGCCAAGCAAGTTATAAAATGATCTGCCTTGAGCCCAGTCATCGGCGAGACTAAGGACGTGTTAGCATAATCGCTGTTTCTAGCACATGTGATGCACTCACGCCTGCGGACATGCCTCGCCTGCTACGGCGAGCACTTTGATGTTAGGAAAGCTCTGTTGGTTGTACTTGGACAGGATAGATGGGGTACATATTAACGTGTCGATCTGCAACGCTATTAGTTGGGAGTTGGCTAGTGGCAGTGACTGTTTGCACCAACCTGCTTTAGTGTAGCTTCCCAGTCGGATCCCCGGAGGTATAATGTTCCTCCGTTCATCAAAGAGGCCAACATCTCCCATGCTCCTGTGCTACGTTTAGAAAAACGGGGCCTTTTTCTCAAGCAGTGCATAACTTACCCATAGCAAAAGAGATGCTCAAGACCTGTCCAACCTTTGAGCCAACTGTGATTCCCAGCTTCCCCGGCTCTGAAAGGAGAGCGCTAGTCTTAGTGCCGTGTTTGACATCGACGCCTTTAGGTACTCCAGTGCTCCCTTTGATAGCTGTTAGCGAGTGATTGATTCCGGGCCCATGAGAGAACTTACCTGATGTGTACATGGCGTAGAGACCATCTTCCGCAGTGACCTGAACACCCGGTCTCGAGGGAGAATAGAAGGCTCCAGTGTTCATGTTCAATTCCAGGACGATAGCGTCTGGGCTCGCGAACTGCTTGACTTTATCCCAGTACCTTGGAAGGCACAGAATGAACCTCGCCTCGGTATCTTCGAAGATGTGTTGCAGGGCCTGGTCGGAAGCAACACCACCGTCGATTGGAACATACTGACAACCGGCTTTCAGGATTGCCAGGAAGCCGATAAGCATCTCTATCGATCTCTGAACGACAAGACATACTCTTTGTCTTGGGCGAAGGCCTGAGCTGATGAGATGATGTGCGAGACGGTTGGCAGCGAGGTCCAACTGTAGGTAAGTAATGCTTTGACCTTGGTGAACCGCAGCCACGACGGCAGGATGCTCGTCAACAATGCGCTCAAAGGCTTCGTGTACCGTCTCGGATGGAACAGTGAGTCTTGGACCATATCCGAATTTGGAGACCAGGGTTTGATCTTCGAGAGAGAGACCGGACATATTGTGGAACATGTTGGGCTCCTGCATGTTCCCAGCACGCAACGGAATGATGTTTGGGGTACAAGAAGGTGCTTAAAAGCCTGGTAGACTAGAGGGACAACGTCTGTTAAAAACGCGTGAGCGTGCTGCAGGCTTAGCAGCTGGGGTGATGCGGTGTGGTAGCGCATGTCAAAAAACGGTGCGATATGCACCTATTGGCCCACGGCATAAGGAAAACGCATTATGTAGCAAAAATATCGATTACCGGATTCCGGTCTAGTCATTCTCGACAAACGCAGTGTGGCTGCGTCTCGGCTCTCGAGTGTTGCATTCTTCATCAGTGCGTCTCCACGACCCCACCGCTTGCACCAATCTGGTGCTTATTCGCTGGACTTCCCGTCCGGCTCACACATCAGTACAAGTACATGTAAAGGTGGCTGCTCTCGGCCTGGGGTGGGGTCGTCAAGCCTGGCTATGGCAACCCGACAGCCATCACCTGCAGCCTGCACGACAACGCCGTGATGCTGCCGCCATGCCGCAATACCACATTAGGCTCGACGATCATCGAGCAGACGAGTGGACTCGTTGGATTGTCATGTGCGCATCGAAGGATAGTTGAATAAGTGTTTATCGCTGTATCGCCAAATTGCTGGTTCTTGCTAGTTATTTAATATGTTTGATGACGATGAACTGTCAGACTAGAAACTAGCTACTGAGATACTTGAAAGCTCATTACTGATGCATCTCATAGATTAGCTTTGCAAAGCTATGCATGAAATATCATAGACAGACGGTGGAACGGCGGGAAACTTTTCCGGAAGTGTGGACAGCTGGTCGATCCTGTGGAGAAGTAGTATTGTGCATACACACTTCAGACCTACCATAGTTTTTCCAATACGTAGCTAATGCATGACTGGTGACTTCCTTTCGGTATTTTCTACACTCGTCAACATGGCGCCCAGGCCCAACTTGCTGTTCCTCCGGCTAAGTGGCTTGAATAGTACTGCATTCATGGATGGCACTGGCTTCCGAATACAGAAGATGCGTCGGCCGAAGTGGTGGGTTCGTATCCAAGGCGCAACACTACGGCACACCATGCATGCACTGATTTTGGCTGGAGGCCTTGCCAGTCAACTTTTTACGTACGAATGTAAAAGAGTCTCAGGACAGAGTATAGCAGAGTCTAAGCGGATACCCCGATCGATGTCGGGCTCGGTTCTGATGAGTCCAAGGTGTGGCTTTGGGCTAACTTGACTGCAGTCGCGCACCGAGGCAAAGGACGATGTAACTGCCAACGGAGGCAGTGGCGAGTATCCACACCGCACCCCGCTGCGTAGTTTAGTCGTCATCGTCGTCGTCGGCGATGGTTGCTCGGTAAAGTGGCGAGATGCAAGGCAGTGGCCTCAAGCCAGGCAGTTGCTTACACCCGTTCGGCACGGCTCGCCTGTCACAAACAGGCGTAAGCAGGCGGCAGTAGTCGCCCGATCTTGCTGGTGTGCCACGCCAGATGGATGTGCATATGGACGGTGCGTTTCTGGAAATTCCTGTACGGCTTACTCACTTGGGTGTTGCTGGGTAAGCATCCCCAGTGGCAAGTGGAGGCCAAAATGGGTTGAAGGGTAGCAGTGTGCGTGCTGCGCTGGCCGTGCAGCATCAGCATAGCGCTCGACCAACAACCCGAAGTCGTGCTTCTCGGGGCGTCACAAACGGCGGCAGCCGTGTACGCGAGTAGGTTGAAAGTCCTGGGCGGCCGGAAGTGGCTTGGATTAGCGTGGTTGAATACTGTGGGCGGATGCGTGCAAGCTAGCGGCGTGGGGAGCATGCTGCTAGGCGGACTAGCTGTTAGTTGGGATCTGCCGTGCAATAGGAAGACGAGAGAGCATGTCCGTCGCCGAGGCCGGTCCAAGGTGTTGTTTGTTGTGGTGGTTGTGGGCTACTGGTGCAGGCCATGCACAGTGCGGGTAGTACGATGTAGGATGTCGAGTCAGCCACTTGTGCTTAGCGGCTTGGCAGGGTCCCGGCCAGACACGTGTAGTGATAGCAGATCGAAAGCCCACTCCAACTCCGCTAAAACTGCATCCCTCTGACGATCTGCAAATCCCGCAATATCCACTAGTTCGCATCAAGCATCGCTAGGCAAGACCAGCCACCTTGATCCCTCGACTTGCGCCTGTCCGGAGCTCTGGGCTGGCTATGCCCGGTGCTATCATGCCCACGTCCTGGCCTACACGCATCCCACTCGGCGTCTTCTGCGTTTCCCCTACGTACGCCTATGTATCTATGTCTGTCAGCACATTAACATCGACAGGCGATCTCTCTGTCCTGGTACGCTTGCTGTGCATTGCAGCCGCAGTATGCTCCGAGTGCAAGCCATGCCTTCGGTCCCACATATTCAGGCCCTAGGCCGTGGGCTGAAAATCTTCCCATCCATTCACAGCTCCATCCCCCGTCGTTGGAATAGTCGGTGAAGTCGACCGCCGGACACGTGATAGCACGGCCTCGTACAATGACTTGTGTGTCTCAAGTTGCTCTGCCGTCCAAGGTATCATTACCCCGCTTTAGTGTGGACACTCTAGAACATGCGGCTCTTGGTTCAAACTTTATTTCCTGTCGAGTGATGCCACCCACTTCGCGCGACGCAGAGGGACGTGTTGGCTTCTCATGAGCTAGACGCGCGACTATGATACACACAGTCCTCAGGTTCACACCCACTCGCAGATTCCTGCCAACTCGAGGCACAATTGTGGGCTTGGATCTGCCCATCTATTCCAACTTGAGTCCTTCACACATTCATTCATCCCATCCCCCTCTCCATGTCCAGGCTTTCTATGGTGGGTGTGCCGCCATCACGATATTGACCCGTCCGAATGGGTTAAGAGGAAGCTACTGCGTGGGCCTTTATTGCGTGTCCATGCAGCAATCCCGTCGCCACGAGTTGGATGAGCAGCGACAGTCCTGGCAACACCTACGGCCTTTGTTCGGTAGTCCTCGTCTCGACATGCCAACAAGATCGGCGCAGTCAGGATGGCTGGTCAACCAAATGGCGGCTTTCCCGCATTTAGGCTGACGATCGCTGACTCCGTACCAGCAGATGTGTAGTATAAATTCTTACTCAAGCCACTGAAGCCTCTTACTGGCTTGAAATCATGGCATGGAGATAACAATGCCTTTTCACCCTCATTCCTCAGCTCGCCCCCATCCATGTCAACGCGATCCGGATGCACGCGGACCCCGTGGGCTTGTGACCAGGGTAACTTTCCGGTTTAGTTACAAAGACGGCGACCACACTGCCTATTTTGCTCCTTCGATGACCTATGGGTATCCTTCTCCATTCATTGGCCAAAGCTCTCTGGAAATAAGGCCGTCTTGCCGTGAAGTAAACATGTATATAGAAATCCTATATTGGAAAAGACCGCCCGAGACTCTACCCTGTAAAGCCGAGCCGCGGCTGTGCAAGCGCCGGCGCGCCTTCGGTACGAGAAAGTTCACAAAAAATACACTTCAATAATCGGATCCTTTAGGGGAAATCCGGTGGCTTGTCAAAGGCGAAAGCATGCGCAGAACACAAGGGGGCGTCGGCAGTTGCTGTCACTCAAGCACATCTAGTAGTGAGCGTCAGCGCGAGCATCACCGATGACTGCATGTGCGGGCGAGAGCGGCAGACGTGCGCCACCAATGCACGTGAAAATTCCTTTTTCCTCAACGTTGCACAACGCAAGACCCACCCCATTAGCTTTAGTCTTATAGAGAAACATCGTGAGAGATTCTGATGTTCTGAGCATCTACTCCAACAGTCGATACTGAGTCCGTTGATGCGCTAAATGTACAAGTGAGCGCACGGTTAAAAAAATGTATACCTCGAATTTTCATCTAGCAATCGCATCTTGTGGGACTTCCACAGTCTAGATCGCTTTGAACTTGAACGGACCCGAGACGTCGAGAAGCATCTGCTCACTACTCCCTCTCCACCTTGCTTCCTTGTCTTTCTCTTCGCCAGCCAGCAACTCCTCTTTTGTTCCTCGCTTCCACTTCGAAAACGCCCCAAGCAATGTCTTACTGACCTTACCAGTATATAATTGGCCGCTTTCTAGCTCCTCCAACTCTCCTCCATTTGAAGTCTCTCTGTCCAGCTTTTCAAGCCAAAACGTCTTTTCATATGGTACGTTGGGCTTGAGTTCCTCGAACATATCGTCAGAAGGGAAAGGCTCTCTGCCCTCAAAACAACCTATACCGTACGGCCACTCTACCTCTTCGCCGTCCTCATCGACGACGTGTGCGATTTCCCCCAACCCGTGAAGCTCTCTGAGCGGTGTCTTGTGCAAGCACACTGTAATGGTCTTCTCATCATGCGACACAACTTGAAGCTTGAAGCCGAAGCGTGGCTCGCCACTTAGGCGGCAAGTATCCGCTGTTGGTTGCAATGAGATCGAGAGCTGCAGTGGTGATGCAGCATCGTCAAACACATTGAACTTGATCGGTCGTGGTAGGAGACGCACTGGTAGGCGCTCATGAGACTCTTCATGACTATTTCCACGATATGCCCATGGAAAGTTTCCATCATTCCGCCAGCGTATCTCATAGTTATGACCCGGTGTGAGAAGTTGTGTCCAGAAGTCCCCACGCGTATCGATTCTGAGATCAAACCATCGGTTTCGTGCTCCAGCTTCGACGACTAGTCTGCCAGGTTCCTGGTCGCTGGAAGGGATCGAGATCTGTGAATCCGTGCCCACATCGAAGAGGTCAAACAGGCCTCCTTGTAAGGCGAGAACAGGATTGAAGGTGTTGGTCGATGATTGATAACCTGGGATGACTAACGTAGCAGCATGAGAGGCATCGTGCATCTGAACCTGTAGTGTAGGTATGGTGCCTGAGGTGCCTTTGTGGCCAAGTTGGAAAGAAAGACTACCGTTTAGATACAACGATATGGTTGGGCTAGTACTGGCCATGTTGCGAAGTGTTCAGGTGCTTGATCGAAAGATGCAGGTCGGTTTGCTTGATGTCCAAATTTACTCGAGATCACGTACTCAGTATTGTACGAAGCAAATAAAAAAGGACTCTAATCAGGTCGCAACAACCTGGTGTGGCAGAGTTACGCGAGATTGGCCTTGTTTACGAGCTACGTCATATGCAACTTTCAGCCTGACCAATCGCGTTGAAGTAGGAACCTTTCTGGCCCCTATGTAGTAGGCTGAAACGAGGCGCAAGGCAGACAACCATTCTCACATGATTCGGGGCTTATTTCCTCGCAGATCCTAACCATTCACGTGACATAGGTTGGCCTAATAATCGCAGAAAACGCGTTTCTGTGACACACGATTCCTTCATGAATTCCTTCTTCGCCCCATACGCATACACTAACATCGTATTCTGGTCTCCCCAAGCACAATACCATGTGTAAGAATGACGGAAACTCTTGCCGCGTATGCTCTCGTCGAGTCAAAGTTACGCAAGCAAGCCTTTTAGCACTATCAGAATTGGACAGCGGCTGGACGTCCAATCCCAGCCCCCCAATTATATTCGTCATAAATCACCATATATAGATGATAGGAAATTTTTGCGCATCCTTCACAGCCACAGGTTACAGTTGAACCCCACACAGGATCGACACTGATCCTGGAAGGCAGAGTCTCCAGCCATCATTCAGCCACCCAACCCACTTCCTGTTTGAACTGTCTTAACAGTAAATCTGCTTGACAGTAACATGTATTTTGGCTCACGATATGCCCGATCATTCTAAATAGCCAATACTAATAACCAAATTTCAGTCCTATACTAGCTCGTAAATAACATTTTGAGTGAGCAACGAAATCCATACAGCATGGACTACACTGCAAGCTGTCTGGTCCAAACACTCATTAGTTATGCCTCTGGATGTGAGAGAAACACTCCCCTTCATTTCTTCATCTTCGGACACCGAAATCTCAAATCAAGCTTCCATACATTCTTAATCCATAACTCCCATCTCGATCTCTCTGCATTCAAAACGTGACATGATTCGAAGAATGACCTACATACGTCAGTAGATGTCTCTCCTCGGGAGGCCCCAAGTCACTTCCTGGTTGCCTGATACTCTTTAGGGCGGAGTTGCATGATATTGTCCAAATCGAGCGAACTTTCCTATAACTCTGACCATGCTATTATCAGGCCTCCTACAATCTCAGGTCAAGAGACCTTCTCTGTGTCCTAGAGATACTACTCAGCCTTCAGCTGTGGGGCCGGTCGTACCACCAGCATTGATTCCTTCAATAGAATCCATGATGTTTGCCTCCAGAATGGGAAGAGATACTGTCGTTGTGTTGAGACTACTCTGTGTATTTAAACCTGTCCAGTTCAATATTGTTTGAGCATCATTTCACACATTCACAAGATTGATTCAGTAGATACAAACCCTTTCCCCGTCCAAGATAATCATGGTTGGCTTCAGTAAACACCTGCTTGTAGCAGCGGCTGCTTGTGCCGTTGTTCAAGCCCATCCCCATGGGTAAGAGACATTTTCCATCATCGCACCTTATCCAAACACCTCCCATTATCGAGAAAAAACGAACAGATCTTCCCACTAATATCCCATCAGAGGCTTCCAATTCACCAGTCTAAACTCTGCCTGGGCCGTCAAACGTGCTCTATACAACCTCGACGCAGTCACAGATCAAGACCACAAAGACAAACTGACCCAAGGCCTCAAAGACGCCATCACCATTGCCGCCAAAACGCTCGAGAAAATGGACGATGAACAGCACGTCGACAAGCTCGAATTCTGGTTCGGCGACCAGCACTCCGACGCCAACGGCCGTGAGCAGATCAGACAAGTCTACAAGAACTTTGTTGGCGAGAACACCGACGGCACAGGCGCCGACGTCAACGGCGATGTAATCGTCGACGACACGGATTACTGGAAGCCAAAAGCAGGTCAGGCGCCTAATGCTGATGGCCAAACCCCATTCTGCACCTTGCAACAGGACGGCAAGACGGGGACTGCGTATTTCAAACGCCGCAGCGACAAGAAACCCGGCATGCACTTTTGCGACAAGGTCTGGAGCAGAGATAACCTTGCTTCTCTGCTCGCCGATGATTGTAGTAAACTCAGTGGGCAAGTCAGCACTGCGACTTGGTCGAAGAACTTTATCGGATCGAATGTGCTGCACGAGTTTATGTACGTCCATTCTCCCCCGTGACTACCCCTTCCATTCTCCTTTAGAAAGAAAGGTGTTGCTAACACCGTCCTTCACAAAAACACAGGCACTACCCCAAGATCGGTCAAGAAGCCCTCGGCACGCAGATCACAGACTGGAAATACGATGCTTTTCGTAAGAGAGACAACCCCCACACCCCCACTACCCCTTGGTTTCCGTGTCCGTTGTTACTAACAATCTCTCTCTCTACCCAACAGAATGCCGCGCCCTCGCCGTAAACGACGACGTCGACGAACGCGCCAAAACCCTTACAAACGCAGATACATACGTGTGGTACGCACTTGTAAGTCAATCCTCTGCTCCAACTTCCCGCTTGAAGCTAGTATCTTACGAAAGTAAAAAAAAATAGCACATTGCCTTCACCGAACTCTGCGGCAAGAGCTTCTCCGGCCCCCGCGACGAGCGCGACGACGACAACACGAACCAGGACTGGCCGGATTCGGATCCCGACGAGGATGCCCAGACTGATACGTGCAATTGTGATGAGAATGGGTGTGCGCCTGATTCGCCTACGTGCTGTGCTAATGGCACCTGCTAAAGTGGTATATGTTGGCTTGGGGCAAGGGTAGAGTGTGGGGTGGGTGCATGGAGTAGTCTTGTATACCGGACGCGATTCGATAAGTTTAATACAGGAAATACTACATGGTGTTGACCTTACATGCCGAGTTTGAATCCTCCGCTGCATCCATGTTGGAATAAGCCCTCGGGGTCGACTTCTCTTCTAACGCGGTGAAGAGATTCCAGATCTTCTTCTCCGTACCCTTCAAACGGCTTCTGCCACTTTGCACAGTAGTTCATGTACCGGTATTTATGCTGTGTTCCCCTTTTCCGAGCGTACGCATCTATCTGCCCAATCGCTGCTCTTATGATGTCTTGCACGACATCATCGTCTTTACTTAGCGCCCAGTTCACCGTAAAACTTACAATGACCAAGGCTTCTTCGTCCTTGTCGTCAAGTCCCATGGGGTTAGCGTCGCCCTTGCATGTCCAGGTAGGAAGTAGTGGTTGAAGCACGAGTGTCCAAGCCATGCCCTTGACATTGTGTTGTCGGATTTTTTGAATGGCATTGCGATACACCGTATGTGTCGCCGTCAATGTGTCCAAGTCATTTTTAATCGTCGTAGTAGCGAATTCCTGACGGCGTTGCGGCGGATTCAATGCATTCACTTCATCTGTCGCTTCCCTCAACGTCCGCACTTTGCACGTACTCCAGAATCGCAATGTGCTTTTGAATCCGGAATTGAGCCAAGTACTTGGCCAGCCTTTGTTCTTGGGATCCGGCGACGTATGCACAAGGTTCACGGCGATGCCTTGGATGCCGTAGGACTGGAGATAGGTAAAGCAGGCCAGTGGGCCAGCGGCATAAGGATCGAAGCTGTGATTCGCTTCGCCGGATGTGGTGCGCGCGACGAAGGAGTGGAAAGCAGAAAGAATTTCTGGGTGTTTCCAAGATGAGTAGTAGACGAATCCGCTCCAAACATTCATACATGGAAATGTACGAACGGTGAATCGAGTAACGATGCCGAAATTGTTTCCTCCGCCCTTTAGCGCACGCCAAAGATCCGTATTGTTGTGCTGATCTGCCGTGACAATCGATCCATCCGCGAGAACAACTTCATACTCGACAACATTGCTGCACACAAACCCATACTGAGGCGAGAAAAACGATAAACCCCCTCCAAGCGTCAATCGCGCTACACCCACGGCAGAATTCCTCCCTCCCACAACCGCAAGCCCATCTTTTTCTAGCACTGCATAAACATCGATCCATCGGCATCCAGCACCTATACCCACGCTCTTTTTACCTTCTGATAGGATGACCTTGTCAAACAGACTAAGATCAACAAGTACCCCACCTTGCATACTCGATGCACCGCCAACAGGACTGTGTCCTCCCCCTGCCACGGCAAAAACCGGTTCCAACCCCTCTCTTGAATCTCCACTCTGGTGAAGCCGTCGGTCAAACTCTTGTCGGAGTATCTTAACGGCCTGCGCCAATTCCCACACATTACGTGGCCGCACCACACACGAGGGTTGAACTTCACGCGCTTTCTGGTCCCAATATGCACTCGTTGATTTTTCGAATTCATTTACGTTTTCCGGTGTGATGGTAATATGTGGGATGGTAGCGAGGAGTCTGCTGCGAAGTTGGCGCGCAGATGCAGTTAACCCATCGTTGTGGCGAGGGCGACCAGGTTTCTCGGCTTGCGCATCACGTTCCAATTGCGATGTGTGATTGCTTAGGCGCTTGCGGACGTAGACGGAGGCGAGGAGGATCGCGATGCAGGTATACGCGACCCATGAAAGTGCCATGGTGAAGGATTGACTAGGTTGATGTCTAGGATGTTGGAGGTTAGAGAACAGTTTCTAGGGGCGTCATTGGCTGATGCTGGCCATTGATCTTGGCAGAATGCTGTGGTATGGTTGGAGAGTGGGCGAGAGGTTGGATGTAATTATTACAGGTGCAAATGAATTCGGAATCACGTGGCATGATTAAATTACCCAGCTCGGATACAGGTTGGCGTAGTCTCGTTAGCGGAGCTTGCCAATGATTTGAAAGTATGTGTTTCGAGACTACGTAATGTTGGCAAGACATATTATGCCTACTAAACCCCCCTTTTGCATCCCAACCATAACACCCATAATAATTAATACATAATAGTAAAAGGTGTAAAAAATGCCTAGTAGTGGAAGAACGATCTGATAGCTTGATTATCCCAGAGTTGAGTTGGTCAGATTTCAAGTCGTTAAGCTGGTGCGGAGAAGTCCTTGTCCATGGTTCAATCTTTTGACAAGAGACACATATAACAGAGCGCTGAGCATCTTCTATGGCCCGGCGTATGCCACATTTTATGGACGGGTCCTGGAAATTGGTGTTTTACTGGGATTGGTACTTCGATCATATCCCAGCTTCCGGGTACCATTTCTTAACCCATTGATCGAGCACTTTTGGCCCTAATGGCTTAGTCAAAAACTCATCTGCACCAGCTTCCTCTGCATTCTTGCGGTCAGTGGGAGAATCTTGGCCTGTGACAATAAACAAGACACTCTTTTCCCATTTATTCTCCTCCTCCAATCGCCGGATCTGCCGAGTTGCATCGATTCCATCGCATTCTGGCATCTGCAAATCCATGAGAATCAGGTCGAACGCTGTCGCAGATACGTCTCGTTGCAGTAGAGGATCGTATCTGGTGATGACTGCTTCTGAGAAGATCTTGACGGCTTGAAGTCCATCTTTTGCTGTTTGATATGAAATACCGCGACGATCGCAATACATTTGTAACAAGCGCAGATTGACCGTGTTGTCGTCAACGAGCAAGGCCCGCGGTTTATTCGAATTTACGACCAGTTTTCCAGCAGGTAATGAAGGCTTGGATCGTAACCTCAAAGTTTGCAAGGATTCTGCAAGCTGCGTTTGCGTCTTCTTGGGGAATATGGAGCCCTGTTTTACCAAATTTTCTGTTTCAACAGCGTTAACTTGAGGGGCTGATATAAGCTTAGGCTCAGCAACAGCCGTGCAAAATGGGAAATCTTTAGGTTTGAAGGTCGGCCGTCTGGATTCGACCAAAATTGCAGTTACAAGCTCCATTGCTTGCAATAACTGCTCAGTTAAGAAAGGCCCTTGAACGTATACCGCATTTTCTTGTCGTCTTACTCGTTTGTTCTGAAAATCAAGGAAAGTTGCATTTTCAGGAACAAGACAAATGATGACTTGTTCGGTACCGACACTCGCCAATTGCTGATAAAATTGGACGAGATCCGAATGGTAGTCCACAATCACAAGACTCTCACTTTTTTCCTTGGACTCTAACCAGCCAGTATTCGAAAGCCAGTGACTGAAATGATGTCCCAGCGACGACATTGGTGATTCTGATGCGAGGCGGTAGAATTTCTGGGGGAGTCGAGCCATCCCATTCTTGACCGGGAAAGGTGGTGAAAGAGAACTTGCGCAGATTGGGTTGTTGAAAGTAGTTCTATAGAATGAGGTTGAATCATGCTTTGAGGACAGCACTTCGACTTCTCCGTTGAGAAGTGCTGCTGCCTTACACGCTATAGTTAAGCCTAAAGCAGATTCAGCCGTAGTAAAGTCATCCTTGGTATAAATGTCGTTCATTGATTCGGAGGGAGACCTGACCGCGTCGAGTCTGGTATAGTAGATGTTGACTGCGAGAGATCGGTAATCCTCTTCCACCGTCAACACCACTGCTACAACTCCACCAGCAGACTGTTGGGCGGCAAGAGCCACGAGTGGCTGGATGCAGTCTAGGAAAACACGAATATCAATCACTAGCATATCGCAGCTCTTTGGAAAGCGATGCGATATCATGATGGATGGCCGGATAGACAAATCATCGGGCAATCCCATCAAAACCTCGTGGAGTAGGGCAGCCTCGATGTCGGAAACCCTGTGAAGCGCCATGACTCGCTCTGCTTGAGCGATTTCTGCCCACTGGTTCAGTTTTATCAAACTGTTCACGGTTGAGATGAGCTCTTTGGCCGAGGTCCTGATTGTCTGAACGTAGGTACTAAGATCCAGCTGCTCTGTTTCAGGTTTCGTAGCTGATGGACATGAAGGGGATAGATGGGCAGCGTTTCGCGTCTTTAGAACTTCTGTCAGGAGTTCAGCAGAGCCGAGAATGCCGTGTATCGGAGTCCGGAGTTGATGTGTGATGCCACGGAGGAAAGATTCCTTGACTGCAAGTGCCTCTTGAAGTGTACAATTTTGCCAGAAGCGGCACAAAACCATCTGTTTCGGAATTTGGGATCAGCTGTTGCCAAACACATTTTTTGTTTTCCACAACTACTTACAGCACATGTTTGCACAAACCAAGAATCGACGTCGTCAAAGATTCTCTTCAAGTCGTTGCAAGCCACAACAAGAAATGTTGGCACAGTCTGGCTAGCGCATTGAGCTGCAATCGCGCGTACTGCCCGAGGCGCTGTCATGTCTAGGTGATTCAGGTGCTTTACAGCGTAATCAAAGTAATCCGTATCTTCCCAGAGACCGTGTTCGAGCTCGCAGGTGGAAAAGGTTGTACCACTCTCAAGTGAGATGTAGCCATCCGTCGTTTTCTTGATAACCACTTCCATGCCTGGGTAGATTTCTTGGACTATTTTCGGAATTTCTTGCTCCATATCGGCATGTTCATCACAATGACGTTGGGCGTCACAAATCAGCTCCAGCATGCGCCTGCGTTCTTTTTGACGTCTGGCCCTTGCGCTGTGAACTATATCGGAAACAATGCCATCCGCGAGACGAATCAAGGACTGCTGCACGACTGGAGAAAGGAGCTCTTGGGGGGAGTTTGAGGCAACACAGAGAGAACCGAAAGCTACGTGTTGGCCAAACTCGGTTTCGAACTTTAGTGGTACGCCAGCATATGCTCGCAGTCCTCCTACTTCAACGTGGGGGGACTTTTCAAACCGCCAGTCGTAGACCATATTGTGCAAAGCGAATATGCTCTGTGATCATTAGTCATGGGATATGTACAGGCACAAGAATAACCTACGTCTGGCGTTTGATTGATGGTATGGGAACACGTGCTTTCGCGGCGCGGCAAGATTGCCAGCGGGAGATTTACCGTGACCAGACGAGTATAGGTGTTGTGATTCAAAAGACCAGTAATGACAAACTCCCAGCCTACCGTTTCATGGGCGAGAAGGACCTTTTCTTGCAAACGAGACATGAGCTCTTGATCCTCGAGTAGCCCACGGGTATAGTAGAAGAGCATGGTCAGTCTCAGCCGCTCATTGGGTGCTAGCACGGGGAAGAGGTAGCGTTCGCCATGGCACCGACGAGGACATTGCTCCTTGGCGGGAATGGGCGAAAGGGCACATGTATCGGTTTTGTCTGGATACACAGCCTGCATTTCCGCTGGGGTCCAGGCATCAAGGGGAATATCGACATGCTCCGGGTCAAGAATGGGAGCGGTCGTAGTAGGGCGGTCGGCCAAGACGGGGGCAGCATGTCTGGACGTCAGGACAGCTGCGTCAGCCTTTGGGAAGAAAGCAACGCGCTGTTGGCCCGCAGATGGCATTGAGGTGTTTGGAACACGTCGTTTTGCTCAGCATCGGAATATAGCTGTGCTAGATGGTCTGCATATGTAGGATGGATGGGGAAGATGACGGCAACCAATGTTCTCAACGTGGCGAGACCCAAGTCGGTCCGGAAGGTCAGGGTCAACGGTGGATGTAGCACACGCTGAAACACTGGCGACGATGGACGGTATGTGGTTGATCAAGGCAGCGACAATCGTTGTAGGGTATGTCGAAATCTGCACCTGTACCCTGTGCGGGATGTCGGCAGTTGAAGCATCGTCAGCCCGAGCCGAGGGCAATCGATCGATGTCCTTGGGCCCCCAGTAGTTTCTTTGTCTGCATCGCCGATGGTGCAAACACACGAAGTCGACGATAGCGCCGATGGCCAGCCACCCACAACGTCGGACTGATCTGCTCTAGAAGTGGCTGAAGTGACAGAAGCAACTTGGGCTGACGGGCTATTGCACCACCGACGCGTTTTATTGGTGGTTGGCGCACCCGCACGTCGACTCCAGCACTCTGGCCGGTTCTATGGCACGCCCCTCCGACTGTATGCTGATTGCTTGGGAACGCTAACGGCACCCTTTTGGTCTAGAGTCTAGAACCCAGGCGGGAGTCATAAGGGCCGACTGGCATCTGGCCGGCTAACTGGCCGACGTGCAGGTCACCCGGTAGCCACTAGTAGCAGAGCGTGAGGAAACGTTCCGACTCGAGAACACCGCTCTCCTTCTTTTTCCATCTACTCTTTCTAGGCGCCTCTTCTAGTGAGGCGATCAGTCAGCACCAGAGCGAAAGCTTGCGCAGTGTAGGTAAACGTCAGACTTCCTTAATAGCATGGCCGCTTCATCCTCTACCAGACCACAATTCTTCTGGAGGATTTTGCGCGCGATGCTCACAGCCCTGTATACCTCGTGTCACATCCAGTCGCCAAGCGGTCCAGATTTCCAACGGGAGGAATAAAGTACTGGGGAAAAACCAGTTTGGCCAATGATCCTTTCGTCTATCGTGCAGCATCAGACCATATCTGGGGTTTTGGCCTCGCTGAATAACGGATCCTTCGACAAAAGCATCGTACCCCGGTACCATCGACCTATTTTGCGCACCCTCTGGATCGAACGAACTGTTGTCTGCCATATGTGAGGATGATGCAATTCTGCATGGTTCTTGACCCCTCCGATTTTGATGCCTAAGACCGGTTTATTGACTAAATGGGCAATGTCTCACGTGGCTAACAATCATGTCCTAATTACTGCATGGTTACCTGAGGTGACGGCCATTTTCATGCAAGTCATACGCGGAGCGGGCAATCTGCACGCTTGGTGGTCGACCCGCGTGCAGTGAAACGTGAAGGTGTATAGGCACAATAGTACAGTATAGCAAGAGGACACGAAAACCGCTTCACCAAGAGAATAGCAAACGTCTTTCATTGTGCACCACATTGTCCACATACTCCACAATAGCAAGCTCACTGTACAATAGCAATAATGGGCCTCTACTTCTACTTAAAAACTAGAATCCACACTGCAAACTTCCTCTCTTTCCTCCCAAGCCCTCCAGTGTCTCAGACTTTACCTTCAGAAAAGCTCATCGCCCACAATGTCTCTCCGCAACGAAGAAGACTTCGATAACTTCGACGACTACCTCTTCCACATGGCTGGCGGCGACGTCGAGCAAGCCAGTGGAGGAGATGTCTCCAGCAACTCTGAAGCAGCATCTTCGCAGTCCGCCGCCGTGCGCTCCCCACCCGAAGAAAGGGATTCTGACAGCGAAATGGACGTTTCTTCGTCCTCCCACCCTCCCTCTCCCCCTTCCTTCGGGAGTAGCGTAGAAGAAATGGACACGGGGGCTTTCGGGCCGAGCAATCTCTCATCGAGTGAGGAGGATTCCGAGGGGATGAGCGACGCACCTTCAGACCATGAAAGCACCGGGGCGCTCGACAACGAAGAAGTCCAAATGGTAGACGTGGAATCGTCTCCAGAAGAAGTCCAAATAGCGCGTGATATCCCTCTTCCCTCACCCTCACTAGTAAATCCTCCCGCTGAGGTCGGAGAAATCCACATGCGGGACGCAGATCCGGCTCCGGCTTCAGAGCCGCACCAGGAGAAATCCGTCGAGCCGGTTTCTCAGGGAGAAGAAGAAAAGGAGCATACCACTACCACTACCACGCAAGAAGAGAAAGAAGAAGAAGAAGAAGTCACAGAGATGCAGGCATCTCCTCAACCATCTCCTCCTCCACCACCAGCCGCCCCCATAACACGCGACACTCCTGCTTCCCCGCCTTCGGCATCCGTCCAAGAGCCCCAGCTTCCAGCCCCCGAACCAGAATCCATCCAAGAAGTCCGCGCTCCAGCACTTGTGGCCAACGAAGCCATTCCGCCCCCCACACCATCACCACCACCATTCGCCAAAAGCGCGCGGATCCAAACACTTCTCCCTTCGCTCGCTCTCTTGAATGAAACGAGCGTGGCGTTCTTTTCGCGACTGGATATTTTGCATGCCAAGATTGAGGCTTTGTAAGTTTGTTTTTCGGGGAGCACTTGTTGGTACATCTCTGGGAGAGTGACACGGCGTTAGTTGAAGGAAAATGGGAGTACGATAGCATTGATATTTCTTTATAGAAAAAAAAAAGTTACATCGCAATTACTAGATTCCAGAATTGGTTATCATTCATGATTGTTGTTAGCCGACATGTAGATTTTAAATGTGTTGTTGTTTCTTGAGACTGTGGGGTATGCGATGGGGGTGGGTATATATATGTGCCTGGGTATTTGGGTTGCTAACACGAATAGCTTTCTAGCTTGCCAAGTACGATACGTAGACAGGCCCGGGAGGAGAAGAAGAAGAAGAAGAAGAAGGGAAATAAAAAGGCTACACCGTGCCTATGATCGAAAAAGGGGAAGCTAAAGGGACTAGAGAATCTTGATCAAGATTATACGGCCAGATTGTAGTCCCAAACAAACCATGTCCTGACATGCGGCAGTCGCCTGCGTTCGAAATTTTGGCGGGATCCACAAAAAACGTTCATGATTGCGCAGTATCCACCGCTCCTGAACTATACAGTAGGAAGGTTGTGCTTGTGAGCTCGAGAGTGATGGAACATCTTTAGTTCCATCTAAGGCACAGTCGCCTCGGTCTGTATGGAGTAATTGGCCATCTGGCGAAAAGTCGATAGACCAGATGTATCCTCCAAGACGATTTATCATGCTACGACAAACCCCAGTAGCCACTTCCCACAGCCTTACTGTCTCATCGTAAGATGCCGACGCTAGCAGCTGGCTGTCTGGCGAGAAGGTTACCGTGATGACCCATGAGTGATGACCTTCCAGCACCCCACGACACGCCCCTGTCGCCACCTCCCACAGTCGTACTGTGTTGTCATTAGACGCCGATGCAACCAGCTGCCCATCTGGCGAAAAAGTCGCTACAGTGACCCAAGACGAATGGCCCTCGAGCACCTTAGATGTCGCTGTCGCCACCTCCCACAGTCGTACTGTCGTGTCGTCAGATGCCGACACGAGTAGCTTACTGTCTGGCGAAAAGGCCACCGTGTTGACAGTGGAACAATGGCCTTTGAGTGTGCTGTGCCATATTCCTGTTTCAGTCCCCCATAGCCGTACTGTCTTGTCTGCAGACGCCGACGCGATTAGCTGTTTGTCTGGCGAGAAGGCCACCGCTCTAATCCAGTTGGAATGACCGTTGGTCATGCTGCCACAAGCATCCCGGCTTGCTTCTTCCATAGACAACTTCAGGAGCTTCCCTGACACTTTGCTCATAAACGTTTGACGTATCATACTATTCTCCGACGCGAATACAAGTGCTGAGGAGTAGATCTGTAAAGGGGCATCTCCAAGTATCAAGTGAATTTTTTCCATCATTTGAATAGTGTCGTTGAGAAAAGTCAACATGTTAGTCGAATATGGCTGTAATGTATGTATGTTAGTTGGGAACTGAAGAAGTTGCCTTGTGAAGATCTTACATCTACAATTGCTTCGAGATCTTGTATCGAGCGATAACAAGCGTACGCTTTGCCTATAAGACTCATAGCTTCTATCCAATGGAGAAGATGGTTTGTGAGAAAGACGTGCGTCGTATCTCCGTCGATAATGGCTTGCTTGCTGTGCGTGAGATGACCCACCCAGTAACAACACGCATACTGTAGGATAGGTGGCAAACTACGAGCGATTATCCCCTTGTCGATTTCGCTTGCTGAGACCCCAGGTCCCGAAAGGTTGCACATGTTCTCATGCAGGACATCTGGTTCAGACATCAGCTCTAGGCAACGTGTGGCTAGCTTCTTGTGTGTGCCTCTTTTGTCTATCCAGAATAGGCTTTTTCTTTCTTTCTAAGGGGCAACAAGGAATTCGCGGAAAGACAAATGTAAAAGTCTAGTAGGTGTGTTCTCGTCGTTAGGAACATTAAACACAGAGTACAAAGGGTCAAGTTAAGACTTAACCTCTTCTTGTGGAACTTAAATCAATTAGCTAAGTGAAGCAGCAGAGAGCGGGTTTTTAAGAAGAATAAGACTGCCGACAATTTTTCGAAAATTTTGAAGCTAGGATTCCTTATTATCCTCTTCTTATTTATTAAGTAGCTAATTGAGAACAGGGAGATAGGTCTAATCTAACTTTGAAAAGTTTACCTTTCGATACTGCAAAACCTTGATTAGGAAAGCTGTAGAACTACTTCCTTTACCACTAATATACCGACATACTGTGGCGGTATAGATAAAGAGCGGCATAGATAGCTCAACTAGTGCTAGAACCTGTTGTTCTGTTAGCTAATCTAGAGGCATTATGCGTTCTTTGCGTATTACACCGAGCTTATACTCCAAAAAGAGACGGATGTCGTGCTTAACTATGCTCCTTAGTACTTCGTGAAGGATAAGATCTTAGTATGTGTTAATTAAAATCTCTCTAAAGCCTAGGCGGATATAAAACTCTAGTTAACTAGTAACGAAAATTTGTAGCGGGACTAGGTGAACATCTTTTATTTAAGCAAGCAGCCGAAGAATCACTTAAATATCTACTTCTTGCTCACATTCGTCTAGTGCGTCTATTACAACAACACGCGCTAAGGCTTGTGAGAAAGGCTACTATATCCTTTAAAGTGGCTTTAGAACTAGGTTCTCAAACTGTTCTATTAGAGTCTTCTATAGTATACTTAAGCCCTTGTTAAGTGCCTCCCTAAGACTAAATAGTATACCTAGCTCGTAGGCAGCCAGGTCTGAAGCAATAGTAGTAAAGAATCGCGAGGCGTTACCGCGCTCACCCTCGCTCTACTTAAAGAAGAAGCTTGCTTCTAGCTAGCCACTACTAGCAAATAATTAAGCAATCGTTCGCGCAATAGTAGATTTTTCTATGCCAGCTATGCCACTCAGCCAAAATATATACTTACTATTCTTATTATTCGCCCATTTCCTAATTTCGTCTAGTAATTAGATGCGGGTGTTTGGTAAGCATCGTGCGTTATACTCTTCGTCGTGGGAGTTGAAGCAGGCGCCTGTTGCGATAGGTAGTTTGGGAAGGCCCAGCTTCTACTCTATACTAAGCAAGAGAGTTATATATAGTTAATAAGATACTTTATTTATAAATGCTAAATTTAGATAAGAAGGCCTACGTCTAATTAACTTACAACGCTAGGTTAAAGGTCTACTCATATCCTTTTAAGTTTAAAACGATCTTATCTACTTACTTCCTTTTAAACGGCCACTTAAGCGCACGTAAGCTTAACTAACTTATAGTCCTATGAGTCTTGCCTGGCTCTAGCTTCATTTATAAGTTTTTTAATTTCCTAAGACATTGTTAGAGCGGGTCGAGCAGACCCTAAATAGTAGTGAGACGCATGTTACCCTAACTCTCAAGCAGCCGCTTGATCTTCTCCAGGGTGTCGTTGATAGTACTAACATTTTTCTAAACGTAGTCGATATCGTGCTTTGCGTCGTTAACGTCTCTAGAATATTGAGCGCACAGTGAGGCGACCTTGACGGATATATCAATTACGGCGATAACGCTTGCTGCTACCGAAAGGCCATCCATAAGGCGAGGTCTGCGATAGAAATGAACTGCGCTTATATGTTGTAGTTTAAATATTTTCAGGCTAAAGGAGCAGTCAGGCTGCTGTTAGGCTTGGGGCAGTGCTGTCATCCCTCATTAGCCGCACAAGGCTGAACAGGCAGACACAGCTCAGCGCTGCGACGTCCATTGCATGCCACGTGACATTAGGGATGATGATAAAATGACAAACAAGATGAAGAGGGAAACACAGCCCCGTTTGACCAACGATGAGAAACAGTTTAGGTAGTTTTTGTATCTGTACTTTCTCAACTCGAAATTGAAGGTTCGGGGAGATGTGTGTTCTCTTCACATAATATGGAAGGTACATGTATTTTTTCTCACTTGGCGAGATTCGAGTATATGACTCCGATTATCTCCTTCTAAGCATCTCTATCGAGTATATGGTAGTCTAATCTCTTTACAGTCCCATATATAATCATGACATATAAATACATGGCCATGCTACCCAACTTACGCCTTCTTCTCCTGCGCTGTCTTCTCCAACCGTTCCACCTCTTCGTCAATCCGCTTGAAGCTCCAATTCTTGTAAAAAGGCGGGTACAAAAAGGGCCTCAGGTCAAAACGGTTGTCATCGGGAGAGTAGGCTTCGGCGTGGTAGCTGGGCGTCATGGTCGTCATCTTGTGACGGTTGATGGCGTAGTAGTGGAAGAAGCGCTTGACCTTGTCAGCAACTTGTCGGGGTGTGTACTCATCAGACCAGTCGTGAGAAAGGCGAAGCCAGGTGCCGTAGGGGCCGAGCTTCATCTCCTTGCGACATTTGCCAAAGACGCCAAGCTCCTTGTAAGTCATGCCCATGTCAACCTCATCGCTCTGCGCATACCCTTCGGTCAAAGGTTCGAGCTCAGCGGTTGGTGTCGCATCGAGGAACTCGCCAAGAATGGGAATATTAAATTCCTTTTGTGCGTAAGCAATGAAGCGCTTGAGATCAGTCTTGGATATGGAGCCGATAGGATTGAGGTCGGCGCTGCTACAATCATATTTGGTTAGGTAGCCACGAAGACACTCGTCAACATTTCCCGAGGCAAGAACTAGGAGACTGCCACCATTGGGTCTCTCTCGAGCAGTAGGCAGCATCTGTGCAAAGTAGTAGGAAGACACAAGCCTCGTCCGGGCTTGAATATTCTGCAGTGCTAGGTTCTCTGCAGGCTGGCCACCATGAGCCCTGAATCGTGGCGTAAAACCAGTGGCTTTAGTTAGTAGATTTTTCTGAGTTTCATAAATGTCATCGATGTCCGCCTCAAGGTGGTGACTTCCAATGTTCTCGGCCAACCTCTTGGCACGGCTTCTTGTCTCTGTGCTTGACTGTTGTGACATTCCCATATAGACAGTGTGCAGTATGCCGTTACATATCTGTTGTGGGCTTTCTGGCAACCAGTCTTGTCCGTGGTAGGGGCCCACGATGCGGCGGACGTCGGCAATGACTTGTTCATTGCCGTCCAAGACAGCCTGGTAGACTAGTCGACACATGGAGAACACCAAGGTTGCCGTGGCACAACTGTCGATGCCGCCGCTCAGAGGAAGCATGAAACCGGCCTGACCGGAGCGACGCAGATAGTCCCACATCCAGCATGCAGGACCTAGAGCGATTTCTTCCTCAGGAGTATGCAATCGCAGTGCCTGGACTGGAGTGGGCCGGTGATCGGGGTCAAAATCTGCGGTCGATGATGAAAGCCTCAGGTTGGCGCGGAAGTGCTGGTAACGTGGGGCTGATACGGCTTGCAGGCCTCGAGAGGGGCTAGTGCGGTACGACCAAATCTCTTCCAAATCAATGGTAGCAGTCACGACCTCGACGTCTTGCAGTGAAAACTGCGACCCCTGTGCGCGAATGGTGCCATTTACGAGAACCATGGCGCAGCCGTCATAGTAGAGACGGTCGCCGTCGCAACCCTGCTGGTTGGCATAAAGATAGCCACCACCACACTTGGCCGTGGCCTCTCTGATCAGGTCAATGCGAGTGTCAAGCTTGCGAAGTTCATGGTGGGAGCCGGAACTGTTGATTATGATGTCGCAGCCTGCTAGGGACAAGCCAATGTGAGGGCTCATGGGAGTGAAGAGCTCCTCGCACGTCTCGTATCCCAGCTTGCAGTCGAGAGCATTGATGATGCCATCACCAAAAGGGACAAAATGGCTGTCCTGCAGCGCCAAGGCCTCTTGCGAGAGCTCAAGAAGTTCATACTGCTCAACCTGCTGGGGACGGTTCCAAGGGATGAAGTAGCGGCCTTCGCGATAATTGCCGCCCGCAGCCAGGCTCATCTTTGGGCGGATGAGGAGAATGCGGCCTGACAGGACAATGACTCTGGCATTGTACAGGTTGCCTGATTGGCGAACGGGCATGCCGACATCGATGATGATGTCGTCGAGCGACCTATCGAGCAACAGGAGGCTCAGCTGCTCCCAGCTGTGGCGGATGCTGTCGTGCTCGAGGAAGTGGTCGAGCAGGCCGTAGCCGCACACCTCGAGCTCCGAGCCGGCGCGGTAGGTGCAGCCATTTTGTTTGGCAACACGGATGCTCTGCTTGATGCGCTCCATGTTGCCCTCCCAGTCCAGCTGGGCGCGTTAGTGCAGCCGCGTCGACGGGGGGTCACGAGACATACGGCCCATTGGTTGAGGGAGCAGGTGGCTAGCTTGACGAGGCGGCCCATGGTGCGGGATCAGCAACGGCGACGGCGGCCTAAGGGGGAGGGGGAGGGGGGTTGATAAGGTGGCGAGCAGAGGAAGAGGAGGTGAGGGGGAGGAGGGGGGAGAGTGAGTCGGACAGAGGAGCTAGCAGCCGTGGTAGCGGTGGAGTAGCGGTGGAGTAGCGGGAGTAGGAGGATCAGTACGTGTGTACTAATGCGGCAGGCCGGTGAGGCGAAGCGAGGCTGGTGGTGGTGGCATTGGCGGTGGTGGTGGTGGTGGTGGTGGTGGAGGGGCAGGCGAGGGCGGTAGTGGGGCAGGCGGAAGAGACGAGGCAGGCAGAGCGTGTCAGGGTCCAAGCAGCGCCCAACGGCCCAGGGAATCGTCGGGCCTAGCGCGCAGATGGGTGGCTTGCAGCACATGGGTAGGACAAGCCTCTTCTCCACAAAAACCTCTGGGCGTCCTGGTCCTGGTCCTGGTCCTGGTCCTGGTCCTGGTCTCTGGTTTCTGGTCTCTGGTCTCTGGCTCTCTCCTTCACTTCGACAACCCCCCCCCAAATGTCGGACTCCCACGACCAGGCCCTCGCCCGCTCCCACGCCCGCCGGCGCAGGCGCATCGACCACAGCGAGCTGGCCAAGGAGCGCGAAAAGGCCTTCTACCGGTTCGTCCACGCCCCCCTTGCCTGCGACGTGCGTGCCCGGGCATGGTGCATGTGAAAGAGTGAATTGGCACTGATCTTGCCCGCCCAGCT